TAAACTTCAATATGCCAACAAAGGAATTGACGCGGTTAATAAAAGTAATATTCTTAATCACAAAAGGGTCCAGTCTTGTATTCCCCCATATTTCAAGTTAAAGACTACACCTTGTATTTCCTACAAATATACATCGACTATTGCTTCCAAACTTTTTAATTACAAGAAAACTTTGCAGAATATCTGAAACATAATCCTCCATCGTGTTCATGTTCTTCTTCGCCCTATAACTACAGTTCTGCTGGACACGTTATTACTGGTGACGTAAATATAGTTAATAATGAGGACCTTAGATCACTAATTTTTAAAAGGTCCTAAATATAGGGAACCCCGATCCTTCAACTGGCGTCGGAATTTCACAAATATTATGGATTCTGTAGAGGACTACGCCAAGCGATGGGCCAGACATGAAAAAGAAGACCTTGACACATTGTCAGAATGGATTAAATGTATCAGATTTATGTTAAAATCGCGCATTAAAAGATTGAGGGGCAATATGAAAACCATCTATCCTTCTGTATTCAAAGCAGGTAACAACATTGTCTTTGTTTGTAAGGCTCATTATTTTAAATGTATTTTAGAGGAACTTGGATTTAATTCTACAAGTAATCCAACTTATACTCATAGTTCCCTTTCTAAGGAAGAAATTCTTCAAAATCATACGTCAGTTTCAAATATTTTTAATATTCCAAACAACCAAAATGAATTTGAATTACCATATTTATATTGGATTCCGAAACTTCATAAAAATCCTTACAAACAAAGATACATAGCGGGTTCCAGTAAATGTTCAACCAAGCCTCTTTCTTTACTCCTCACTAAGATATTAACAGTAGTGAAGGAGGAACTTCAAGAGTACTGTGCAACAATAGAGAGGTTGAGATTTTAAACTTGTACGCGTACGTGTACGTGTGTTCAAATTTTGACGTACACGTACACGTTTTTTGTAATTTGTTGAGATTTAATGACGTGTAACATGAACGTGTAGACTGTAATCGGTGTCTCTGTTTCAACTATTTAGTAGTTTTGTGATATAAGTTTGACTTTAGTTAGTGAACAAAACATGGTTAAAATAAGTGTTCATGAAACTTAACATCCTAAATAATTAACAACAATAACAATTTCACACATAAATTGACTCATTTTTATTGGAAAAGCTACAAGTTTACACCTACGTGTAGATGCCTTTTTACAAGTTGTAGGAACGTGTAGAAAACTTATCAACACCAAAACTGGTGACGTAATACGCAAGAAATTTAGGGAATTCCCCCACTAGACGTATCCGTACACGTATGAAATCTAAAACCTCTCTAATATATTCGAGAAGTGATGTAAATCAGATGTGGATAACTAAAGATTCCAAGGAACTTTTGGAAAATTTGAAATCACAAGATTTTACCAAAATCAACAGCTTAAAAACGTACGACTTTTCAACTTTATGCACAACCATTCCCCACGATAAATTAAAGTCCAGGCTTTTTGATATCATTGACAGCTGCTTTTTCAATAAAAACGGAACTCGTAGATTTACTTACCTTGTCATTGGTCATTTGCAAAATTATTTTGTTAAAAAACATTCTGATTGTACACACAAGTACTCTGAAGTTGACATTAAAAAGATGTTTGAGTTTCTGATTGACAATATCTATGTGGTTTTTGGAGACCAGGTCATCCAACAATCTATTGGAATTCCCATGGGTACCAATTGCGAAAATTGGGAAAAGAAAAAAAAACACTTGCTGTGACCTTCAACTCGACATTTAGATATATCGACGATGTATTGTCAACTAACAATGGCTATTTCCATTCTTATATCGATACGAAATATCCTGGTGAGCTTGAGATAAAAGATACCACAGAGTCTGACACATCTGTTTCATATTTGGATATTTTACTTGAAAAAGACGTTAATGGTAATCTAACAACTAAGCTTTATGATAAACGTGATGACTTTAACTTTTCAATCGTCAACTTCCCTTACTTATGCAGCAATATACCTTCATCACCTGAATACGGGGTATATATCTCTCAGTTGATTCCATACGCAAGAGCATGCTCTAGGTATGTACAAATTTCTATAACGAGGTAAATTATTGACAAACACCTTGATGAAACAAGAATATCAGCTGTCTCTTTTAAACTCATCATTTCGTACGTTCTATGGTTCTTCATAAACAATAGTAACTTGTAATTTATTTGTATTATTTGTCATTACTTATACATCCCAGTGAACTCGAAATAAAAGGCACAACAAAGTCTGCTACATTTGTTTCATATTTGAAAGTTTTATTGACTATATATATTTATGGCAACTAGCTAACAACAAAATTATATGGCAAACGGGATGACCCTAACTTTTCCATCATCAACTTCCCCTATTTATGTAGTAAGATTTCACCTGCATATGATGTTTTTGTCTCCCAACTGATTCGGAACGCAAAAACCTGTTCTGAGTATGACTAAGTTTTATACCGTGGCAGGATACTGACAGATGAAGTTGATGTTATAGGGCTTTCTACAATCTCGTTTAAAGTCTGCATTTCGCAGATTTTAATGCCATTATAATGCCTTATTTGAAAATACAACCTATCCTTATAGGCTGTGTTTTGTTTGACATGTTTCATACCAATGGTAGGACTATTGCTTTTATACTAATTTTGGCTACGGATTATTCCGTTTACCTGATTAATACATAGCGCTTACGGCGGGTGTGTCTAAGTAGACTGGGAATGCTTACTCGTCTGAGGCATCTGATCCCAGCTCTGGTGTTTGCAGAAGTCCGAGCTTGTGACCTGTTCACGTTCCGTATCGTTTACAGGATGTGTGAGATTTGATCACAGTTCGTTATCTTCACCTTAATCTTGATTGAATATATTGTCTGTAAGGTCCATGTAACTGAGAAAGAAATATTTAAATCATGTTTTTTTGACATAACTTTAATTTGACATAACTTTATTCGTAGAAATTCTACTATGAGTATATTGTTTCTGAGACTGAAAGAATGAAATATATGGTAATAACGAACAGTATTTAAGCTTCAAATTTCAATTAAAGAATACAAATCAGGAGCAGAGCAAGCACGGACTTCTAAAACATCAGAGATGAGATCAGGTGGGATTAGGTGCCATGGAGGAGTGAGCATCCCCTGCCGACCGGTCACACCTGCTGTGTGCTCTTGTCATGATAAATATGAAACACATATGTCAGACTCTGTGGTATCTTTTATCTCAAGCTCAAGTATCGACATAAGAATGGAAATAACCATTGTTAATTGACGACACGTCGTCGCGTATCTAAATGTCGAGTTGAAGGCTACAGCAAGTGTTTTTTCTTTTGTTTAATCAAAGAAATAACAGTCACGGTCACTAAATGATTATCATTCAAAATACAAAACGAGTAAACCGTCGATTAAGTTATATTCCATTTTCTTAAATGAAATGCGAAGATAACGAACAGTATTCAATCTAGAAAGTCGAATGAAACGATTTATTAAATTTTTATGTTTTATAGTGATTCAAATTATGTCCCGAAGGTCTTTAAATAATGTAGTGATGGCCAGGAATGTAATGAGAGGCGTTCTTTTTCCGACAAAAATATTGTTATAAGTATCTTTTTTATGATTATTTCAGTGACTCATGTCTAAAAAGTTTTTTTTATTCTTTTTATATCTTAAATGTTCAAATAAATATTTCAAAAAACAAAGAGTTGTATAATTCCCAAATTGCAATTAATTTAACTCCGTGACTATACTTTATTTAATTTACATTTATTCTGCAAATCCTATTTTGAATGATGCGAGAGATATCAAATCAAACAACAAAGGCATTTCATATGAAGAATGCATCAATGTTTTTACACTAAAACAATTTTTTAAATGTACAAACTATCATCTAAAATGAACATCAGCAAGTAAAAATGGAGTTATATTCACTAACCAATTGTTTTGCGGTCTGAAAAGTCGAATACAAATATTTTATAGCTTATGGTTCTTTGTACATAATGCTGTCTTTTCGATTCCTTGATAAATTCTGGAGAATTTTAAAGATAAATAGGAACATGTAGTAAAATAACGAAACAAAACTTTATTAATCGTATCTACCGATATATATTAGTTTCTTACATAAACTGTTGAGAAAAAGGACATAACAAAACGTAATTAAATCTCACAGAATACTAGCATTATGTAAAATTTATGCAAATAGATCATTATCAGTGTTGTTCAGTTCTTAAAACAGATACGAAAGTTTAAAAAAAGAGAACATATAAGAAATTATCTAAATGGTAAAACTATAAGTATTTTAGTATTTTGAAGTTACTTTGATTTTATTACAGCACACAATACATTTACCTGTGTTATGGTGACTTGAAGTCTAAAAGTTTAAAGTTTATTTATTTTCTGCTTGAGAAAGGAATGATCTACTCCAGCATAAATAAATTAAAGACTTGTAAACATTGACATTAATATTGTCTGATGAGCCCTGAACGACCACGCTTTTGTCTAAAGACTTCATCCATTTCTGTAAGAAAATCTCTGCTTAAAACCAAATCATAAGTATTGAAAATGTTTGAAAATACTTTATGAAGTTTTGTACTTAAACTTGTTGCCTTAGATCTTCACAATTGAAACTACATATTACTTTATTATTTTTAATTTTCTCATACTTTTCGTTTTAAATCGTTATTTTTCATGTGAAAGTATTGTAACAATCGATAAATGTATTGCAATATAAGAAAAAAACAACTTCTTGTATTTTTAGAGGCACAAATGTAGTTTGATAAAATATGAAAACGTTTTTTTTTATTTTCATAAATAATATGCATTAGTACAGAGAAGGGTAACATCATTGATGGTTCGTTTCACCTGTACATTTCTCTGAAGTGGAGCGGAACTTGTCCTTATCCTATATACTGTATGAGAAACAAATGTTGACACAAGAAGATTTCCGCACTTAGAAGTGGAGTAATCTTACCGCATATCGCATATTCAATATAGTGTGTATATACACAACGCACTTTATGGGACAAATGGGAAATGGTGATGTGATCCAAATCTATTTCTATTATGGCACGTGCGACCCGTGTACCTGTGGATAGAGGATGGGCATGGATGGTCGTGTTAGGTCAGCATTAATTTCTTCAATGTCAGCTACTTTTTTATATCAGCAAGTGCTGTTAATATAGCAGTAGTTTTTTTTTCTTTTCAGATTTTTTTTATATTAAAAAATGGGATTTGTTTATGTGGCTAATATTGCATAATCAAACAGCCAGTTTGTAAAGACACATTAAACGGGAAAGGAGATAGCAAGCTAATACATGCAGTTAGAATTGGTTCAGACCAGGTTTAAAAAAATCAATTTTTGTCGCAGTATTCCATGTATGGAACATTATAGGATTATCTATAACATAGATAACAAATTCTCTCTCTCTCTCTCTCTCAAACAGACCCACAGATGTGTGTCTTAAGAGATATTGTTACTTCATTGTGTTTGTATTCTTGTCTATATTTATAACAGCAGTTATATATTTTAACACAAGATCATTCTTCCTGTTCAGTTTAAAGATCACAGGGATTGCTGATTAGACCTCTGTTACAGATCTTTATCTTTAATAAAGTGTGTCCTCAATTTTCACACGGGAGTGATTCCCTCGCTAATCTCTTATTTATGATCACATAAGCATGATCACATTATATTATTAAAGTTCTGTGTGATTTACAAACAAATTTTAAAAATCCGTCATATTCATATTATACATGGTGAAAACAAACAAAAATACACATGATTTGAATTTATCGCTGTCCTTTATCGTTATAATTCCATTACCATCTTGGTAGTCACTATGGTTTGAGTTCTCCATGTATATTTTAAATATGTGTAGGTGTACATGAAAAGGCGTTCCTTCAAATCAGTTTCCTAAATGGTTTAGTTAAATAAAAAGTAAATGTAAATAATCACTTGAATAAATCAAAGAATTTTTTGTAATTCATTTAGGGACATTTGGAAACATGGCGCTAGTAGTTGGGACACTGAAGTCATTTGGTGTACTTTTGGTTGAGCTATCACACATTTACAACGTTCCCTCCAGTCTCCTGGCCTCTTCACAATCCCTCTGTGGCTGGTTACATCTAGGATTGGGTAGGTATGACTCCCCCGTCAGTCTGCTGGTCTCCTTTCAGTCTCTCTGTTGTTAGTGGCTGGTTACATCTAGCACTGGGTAGGTATGACTCCCCCGTCAGTCTGCTGGCCTCCTTTCAGTCTTTCTGTGGCTGGTTACATCAAGGACTATCTAGGACTGGGTAGGTATGACTCCCCCGTCAGTCTGCTGGCCTCCTTTCAGTCTTTCTGTGGCTGGTTACATCAAGGACTATCTAGGACTGGGTAGGTATGACTCCCCCGTCAGTCTGCTGGCCTCCTTTCAGTCTCTCTGTGACTATGTGGCTGGTTACATCTAGGACTGGGTAGGTATGACTCTCCCGTCAGTCTGCTGGCCTCTTTTCAGTCTCTCTGTGACTCTGTGGATGGCTATATCTTGGACTGGGTAGGTATGACTACCCGTCAGTCTACTGGCCTCCTTTCAGTCTCTCTGTGACTCTGTGGATGGCTATATCTAGGACGGGGTAGGTATGACTCCCCATCAGTCTACTGGCCTCCTTTCAGTCTCTCTGTGACTATGTGGCTGGTTACATTTAGGGTTGGGTAGATATGACTCCCCCGTCAGTCTGCTGGTCTCCTTTCAGTCTCTCTGTTGTTCAGTGGCTGGTTACATCTTGGACTTTCAATCTCTCTGTGACTCTGTGGATGGCTATATCTAGGACTGGGTAGGTATGACTCCCCGTCAGTCTGCTGTCCTCCTTTCAATCTCTCTGTGACTCTGTGGCTGGTTACATTTAGTATTGGGTAGATATGACTCTCCGTCAGTCTGCTGGCCTCCTTTCAGTCTCTCTGTGGCTCTTTGGCTGGCTACATCAAGGACAGGGTAGGTATGATGCTCCCGCAGTCGATGGCTTCTGTAGAGTCTTTCTGTGGCTGGCTACATCTAAGTCTGGGTAGGTGGTGCACCCACCAGTCTACTGGCCTCTTCACATTTTCTCTTTTGCTAATTATATCTAGAAATTGAAAGGTATAAATCAAATATATGGAAATAACGAACAGTATTCAAGCTCAAAAGTCCTTGAAACGATACAAATCAGGAGCAGGGCAAACACGGACCTCTAAAACATCAGAAAAGGAATAAGGTGCCATGGAGGAGTGAACATCCCCTGACGACCGGTGCCCCTTCGTGATCGGGAAATAGCAGGAAAACCGGTCGACAATTCAGTGTATAAATAATATTTATTTTCATTACTAAGTTGATTCGATATATCCCTTTGAACTCGAAATAAAAGACATTATAGAGTTTGACACATCTTTTTCATATTTGGATATCTTACTGGAAAAAAAACCCTAACAGCAAAACTTGATGATAAAGGTGATGACTTCTCTACGCAGGTGAGTTAAGGCTAGGTATAGGCATTTCTATGCAAATTAACTAATTAAAATGCCTAAGGACTATATCTATTATACAGAGAAAGTATTAACTTATTGTCTAATACATACTTGGTACCCACGACATGAGATAGCCAGTACACATTATGACGTCATTGTTCTTTACTACACAAGATTATAATGGACATCAATAAAAATACTTCGGCGCAAGGGCATGCTCTATTTTATTTAACGGAAATAAGTTATATTTAGAAGCAAAATATTCCAAAGATTGTTGGTATTGCTGCACAAATATCAACAGCTCATTTGTATAATTTCTATTTGTACGGTTTTAAGTTGAATCAGGGTAAAAATGTACAGTCCGGTATAAGTTTACTCATATTCCGATCAAATGAGAAAATGCCTAGGATTTGTGCAGCAGTTTTATTAATCTACAGAACATTCTTCTTACCATTATACAATTTTTATGTAAAATTATATAGGGTTATCCCTTGCGCCGAAGCCACTTTGTTGATGTGTTTTATTAACTCCAGTAGGTAAAACAATGACGTCATAATATGACGTCATAATGTGCACTGGCTATAACATACAATGGGTACTAAGTATGCATAAGAAAATAAATCTAAACTTTCTCTGAATAATAAATATACCTTTTATGCATTTTTATTAGGTCGTTTGCATAGAAACGCCTATACCTAGCCTTAATTCACATGCGTATCGTCAACTTCCCTATTTATAGGTAATATAGCATTATCATCTGCATATGGAGTTTATGTCTCCCAGTTAAATCGATACACAAGAGGATGCTCTACGTAAAAACAATTTCTAAAAAGAGGCAAGCTTTTGACAAATAAATTCTTGATACAAGGATATAGACAGCTTCGTTTAAGGTCAGCATTTCGCAAATCTATGGTCGAGACAATAACCTTGTCAGCAAATACAATTTGTCGTTACGTTGAATGTTGACTGACGTATTTCATATACATTGTTAAGCCACACTGAATTGTCTACACATATTCTGATCATGAAAAAGAGCTCACGGCGGGTGTTACAGGTCAGAAGGGAATGCTTACTCCTCCATGGCACCTGATCCCACCTTCTATTTCAGAGGTCCGTGTTGGCTTTGCTCATAAATTGTGTTGTTCATATGGACTTCTGAGAATGATCACTGTGTTATCTTTACATAGCATATTTAGCATTTTCTAAAACAATGAATTATCCAATAACCCAAATGATGGAATCTGGTAGATACAGATGAAAATATTTGCAGTCTTGGAACCTTCCTTGAGACCCACCTTTTAATTAAGTGTTAGCAATTAAATAATTTGAATGATGCTCGTATTACAAACAAATTTTACTGTGTTGATACAAATATAAGAAAAGAGGGGTGAAGTAGACATTCTGAACAATTTATTTAATCTATCATAGTAATTTTGTGATTTTATAACAAGGGACGTAAATTTATCGGTATTTTTGTGCATTCACAGCCCCAGTGTCAAACAACCTTAGTCAGCGATTTAGTCACCGATGGGTAGTGTTCTGTGGCGGAGTTCTTTCAGTTCTAGGATTGGTCGCAACAAGCTTTGTTAGAGATATAGAGTGGTTCTTTGTAACATATGGAGTCATTACAGGTAAGGAATAGCAATAGATCGGATTTATATACCAGTTGAATATTGCATTTTCAAGATGAATGCAAAAGTTTACTGAATTATTATCATTATTATTAGGAATAAACCAACTGTATCTTTTTTTGATTCACAGGACTCGGGTTTGGGCTCATCTTAGCACCTGGGCTAGTGATCCCGGGACTTTATTTTGAAAAGAAGCTTCCATTGGCCCTTGGTCTCGGTTCCTCAGGATCGGGCTTGGGATCCTTCATTTTCCCAAACTTAATGAGATTTCTTCTGGATGAATATTCTGTTAGCGGTTGTTTGCTTATTATGGGAGGAATTATGCTGCATGTTTGTCTATTTGCTCTTCTTTATCGACCAATACTGTACTGGGAAAAGAAAAGATTCACAACCAAGAAAACAAACTATAGCTCAAAGAAAAATTCTTTGCAACATACCATTGAGGTACAATATCAAGAGGAAGAATGCAGTGCATTACTCACAATTAAAGATGGAGGAAAGGGTTTGGAAATAGCAAAGGCAAATTTAGAATCTGCTTCCGTGTCAGGCCTCTATGAAACAAAATCTTTACCTTCCTTATCAATTATCCCTGTCAGACACAGCATGACATCTTCCATTAGCGAAAGCAACATATTTTCGAAGAAAAATGTTTCTGATTCCAAGTTCTCAAATAGCAACTGTACACCATCCTTAGAATTAAAGGGACATGTACAAAACTTAGAAAAACTTCCAATCATAGACTGGACGATGCTTAAGAATCCTTTATTCATTCTAACCAACATAGGTCTCGTTTTAGCTATTTTTGCTCATCACAACGTGTTTAATTTTGTCCCTTCTTTGGCAGACGAACTTGGCTTCCAAGAATCTGAAGGAGCTCTTTGTGTCTCTATAGTTGGAATAACTGACCTTATAGGAAGGATCTCCGGTGGTATCATAGGCAATGCATTCTTTAAAAGAAGAATAAAACTATACGTAATCTGTCTGCTGATTTTCTCCACATGCTTGATGATAGTCGTCCATATTACCTATTTCTACGTCTTCATCATTTTCTGTGGTGTTTTAGGATTAACAACAGGGGGGTATATCGGGGTACAGCTTTCTACAATTGCGGACGAGCTGGGGCGAGAGAACCTGTCCACAGCCTGGGGATATATAGCCTTTTTCTCATCCTTTTCCATTTTGATAAATCCTGTTCTCTCAGGTAAATAAATCGTAAAATTGTCATTATGATTATTAATATTTAAAATTTTGAATTCATCATGCTACATAAACATCGTTCAAGCCACTACTTCCTCAATTTAATGAAGATGAAAATGGCAGATATTGCTTAAATCAGTGAAGATGTCTGAGTGGTGTTTTCAGTGAAATGCTTTCTTAATTCTTTGTTCCAAAAATGTGAAGATAACGAACAGTGACCGATCCCTTAAAAAAAGTACAGACAATACAGATTTGTGAACAGGGCATAAAACAATGACCCCGGAAATTCCAGAGGTGGGTTTAGGTGCATTGGAGGTGTAAGCATCCCCTATTGATCGGTCACACCCTCCGTGGGCCCTGTGTATTGATCAGGTAGATGGAACATTCCATAGTTAAATTTAGTATAAAACAAGCCTTACAGTTGGTATAAAACACATCAGCCAAAAGAAGAGACCCAGTGTTAGGTTGTATTTGCTAACAAGGTCATTAAAATGACCTTAGAATTTACGAAATGCTGACTTTAAACGAATATTGTATCAAATGTGATTATTGTGTCCATTTCAGGTGCAATAAAAGACTACTCTGGGTCGTGGAAGAATGCGTTTAGATTGTCGTCTGCTTGTGGATTTCTAGGTACAGGTGTACTTTTCACAGAACTTATTGTCCGAAAACATTTACATAAAAAGTCTGAAAAACGAAGTAACTATATAAAGTAGTAAAATGATTTCACATGAAAGTCTGCCGTCCAGCTTTGCATTTGAACGTGTGCAAGAATGTAAAACAACGTAATTGTATTTCGCATAAATATGTCAAACATGGCCAGGATGTGCATAACACCTGTTTATTTACTCTTGTGATTTCCAAAAAATGTAATTAATAAAAAAAATCTATAAGTTTGTTTTCGTTTCAAGCATTACGATGTGTTTACTTAGTTGAGACATTAATGCAATGTGATATTACTAGTAATTATTGAATTAGATAAATAAGCTATTGATGATTGAATTTGATAGGTCCTATACTAAGATTGAATTAAATTAAATGCTTGTAATTTGTTCTCTTGTTCTTGGTGGGTTTTTTTTCTTGTGTTATGTTTATGTTCAACATATTTCCTTATCATGATATAAGTAACACCTTTCCTTGTCTTTCAGATAAAAAGTTTATTTCTAATTATTCACTCATTACTTGATTCTCTTGATTACACGAAGAAATGCATGAAATCTGAACTAAGGCATTTACATGTATATTACATGATGAAGTATATATATATATATATATATATATATATATATATATATATATATATATATATATATATATATATATATATATATATATACTTTTCTTATATCATTTGTAGAATTTGTGAAAGGTCAAATCAGCTTATTTTTAGATTGATACACAATGTTATAAAAGGGACTTAAAACTACCATCAATCAATCATACTTTTAAAGATCTAGAACTATATACACAATGATGAAGAAATACATAAGGTAAAACATGTAATAACATACAGCGGAGCTTTGTTTTTTTGTCTTATCCTTCCTTAATAATTTGTTGTTCACAGATCATATCTAGATTCTCAAACACTCGATTTCTTACTTCTAACTGTAACAAGGTGTCATAATTTCCCACTTCATAGATACCGGACATTTTTCTCACTTCATTTTATGTCAGGTGGGGATGGATCGTTAGAAGTTTTATATAAAAATAATCTGAAGAAGTTTACTGAGTATACAACATCACTAAAGTGCAAATCTGTCAAAGAATTTACAGCTACGTTGTGAAAGTACCTTAATACATTTCTTACCTTTTCGACTTCGATCTTAAATATTTCTCATATAACCTTTAAATAACGGAGAAGCATAGACGCCCAGACCTATGAATACGACCCGGATTCACCCGAATTCCAAGTTAACGATTCAACGATTAAAGAGAAATGGGAAATATTTCATCTCCGCAGTGGACATATTCTGAGAGACTATGATTAAACAGCGTTTTCTGCCAAAATATCCTTGGCATACAGCCTCATAGGCATCGATCTAATACAATTGCTGCCTTTACATGATAGATGCACTAAAATACAGTATCATGTCTCACAATCTCAAGGATGGACTGCACAGGGTCAAGACAAAAAAATTCACAACCAGAAATTTACAAAAATGGAAAGTTACCACATACTTCAACTGCATACACTCTGCCATCCACGTTTGAATGTTTCACGAGGTAGAATTCATGTATGCCTTTTAACAGAAATAATCTAATTGTTATTACCCTCCATTAAATCTAAAGGTTACAAATGAAGATTTGATTGTCATGCAAATGATCACAAAATCTTTTTAAACGTGCTCTTGAAAGATATATAGTAATTATATATTAATCGCGTGAAGTGTTGGATTTTAAAGTCATAAAAGTGTCCTAAAATTGCACCTTTCAAGGAATTTCAAGGTCTTGTGCTTTAAAATAAGATATGATTAGTCGGAAATAGCAGAGTAGTTTACGTTCCTTATAGCAAATTTGCTGAATTTGTACATACAAATATAATGTGCTTTTTTACATAGATTTTACTGCTACATATATCAGCATTTTGATTAAACCTTATATTAGCGTATTGACTTTATAACAGTTGAATATTTCTAGTCAATTGCAAGCAACCATAATTAGAAAAATTGGCGTGAAGTTCTCCCATCATTTGATCAGAGTAATATTACAAATTTAAAATGATGAAATAAATAATAGAATTCAAGTCTAAGTTTTGTAAATGCACTGTGGTTTGATAATATCAATAGCAGAAACCTTCTTCTGCATTTTATTGCCGTTTGATTTAGACAATTAGAAAGGAAGTTCTGCCCAGCGGTGATGATATAACATTCTGTATTGTGCTGCGGACAGCGGCCGATTATCTACACGCTCTGCACTTTTACTTTTAGGAGGTGCTGATGATTTTGGACGTGCTCGAGGTTGCTTCTGTTTGGGAGATTTTGGTCTCGAGTCTGCTGACGGATGACGTATCGGCCAGAAATAGACTTCCCTTTTCCTTCGTTTGCGCTTGTGGAGGTTTTCCTTGTCCTTTTTCTTTTTTATATCAGGTTTACCCTCTAAATCCAAAACAGTTTCTAATATATTACTTTCTCGACTTTTATTCACTCCTTCAGTCTGTTCTTCTGTATTTACAGTAACGGGCTTGCTATCTCCAGCACCAGTATGTTGGGCGGCAGTTTTAGATTCCTTTGACGCAGATACTTCACGCGATCTTGAGACCCTGTTTTTTCTTGAATTCTGATTTAATATTTCAGCTTCCTCTCCAGATTTGCCATTATTTGTCTCTAAAATGTCCTTTTCTTTTGTTTGCGTCTTTCTGTTTTTCATTTTGACGTTCACGGTAGAAGCACTTTTCTCTGATTTAGATATAAGTCCGGAGGTGTATGTTTGCATGTTTACTCGTTTGATCAGTCCACTGGTAAGAGTTTGGACATGATAATGCTTCAATTTTGTCTGTGTTCCTACTCTACGTGACTTCAACGAAATGTCAGCCTGCACCTCTTGATCTAATTTCCCTTTCTCTTCTGACATTGTAAGCAAAACATCTTCATTTATTTTCAAAGGCACTCTTACTCCAGTTGTTTCAGTACTTCCTACCTGAGTATATTCTCGTGATACCAATGTAATTTCAACTGTTTGCATTTCTTTGTGACTGGTGGATATTTCTTCTGTACGAGTTGTTGCATCCCTTTGATCAGGCTTTGGAGAGAGGATACGACCCTCTTCTTCTTCTACATCTATTTGTACATCAGTTATCACCCCAGTGTCCTTCAGTTCAGGTCTTGAAGAAGACACCAGTGGAATTGACCTGCTTTGTTGTATGTTCTCTCTACCTAATAATGAGTCGTCTTTTTCTTCTAATGTGTCTTTTGATATTTGATGTTCTTCGTCAGTCTGAGCCTCTCTGTCGTTTATTGTGGGTTTTTCGGTTTCACAGCTTTCATCCTTATATTCTCGTCTCTTTTCATCTCTATAATCTGATAGAGGTCCTGCGACCTCCTCAGTCTGTGATTCCGCTGAAGTTACTTCCGGCCTAGTTACTTCCGGTTCAGTTTGTGTCTCTTTTGATTCTATATCGATATGTTTATTTTGCTCTATTATCACTTTACCTTGTCTATTATCCTCTGTAATCTTGATCCCCTGGGACGACGATTTTTTGTCCTCCTCAGATTCAGAATCCTCACTCTCTGACCCATCATCAGAGTCCGTGTCTTTGTCACTCTTCGTGCTTTGATCTTCTTCCGAATCTTCGTCAGAATCTCCATCGCTGCTTTCCTCTTCACTTCCTTTCTCATCGCCACTTTGTTCTTCTGAGTCACTCTCGCCGCTTGAATCGTCTTCTTCTTCGTCATTCTCTTCTTCCGAGGAATGTTCAGCATCTTCACTCGACGAATCTGACATGCTGGCTTGTTTCTGTTTTCTTAATATTCGGTATCGGTATCCAATGATAACAAGCCGCCAGTATTGTAGATATGCCAAAGGTATATTGTTCCCTCCTCTAACAAAAGGTCCTCTATTCAGCCTTAATAGTGGAACAAATTACGTCAGTGCTCTTAGTTGAAGTGCTTGCAGAGCTAGTGCTTTACAAAAGATATATCAATCATATGCAGCTCAATGGGGTGGGTAGATTTGCATTATAGGCAATTTAAATGGTCGATCTTCCTATTTAACAGTCATATACTTTTAAAGTACCTGCAAACACGGAATGTAACGTCTCAATTTTGCAAAGGTGCATTGTTTTGAGTCTCTTTTAAAATTAAAAATTCCAATACCTTACCTGTCTTATACATTGCGATCGACACCCGGAAAACAGCACGATCACAAATAAAGGTGTTGTCCCTTTAACCAAATTACATTTAGAGTTCTTCACCATTTAACAGAGAGTGTGGACGGAAGAATTATTGGATTTAATTGGTTTCGTTAAGGTTAATGTGTCGCTGCTCTCTGATTTGAAATAGTAGCTCCAATCTACACACTAAACGATAGCATGATTATTTGAATGCTTTGCTTTAAAAAAAAAAACTCATTTATCAAATGCAGGATATAGGGCTGGCTATTTTTGTTAAAGTGAAATGTGATGATAACAAACAGTACTCTTACAGAGACTTAAAGTCGAGTTATCGTTCGTTTTTTTATTGACACGTTATAAAATTCATACAAAGGCATTTGCGCAGAGTTTCATTAATTGACATGATTAAAATTTTTAAAAAAGAAATCTAATTAATATCGGTAAAATTAATACTAGTTTAATTAAAGATTGTACATTTCTCAGTATATTTTACTGTAAGTATAACCTTTATAATTGAATTCGTCATTAATACATCGATTTAACATTTTGTGTATTCTTGGCTTAAAGAACTATTTTAAATTTTTAAATAGTAGTGTACATTTTGCCGATACGTTTACCTATTGAATTGCAATACACACAAACTAAGAATGTAAAATGTGTACCTAAACGTTGAAAAATTAAAGTCTTTCAGATTGTAGATAGAAGTACTGAGTGATATAATTTAGGCTACATTGTCATTTGGTGTGAAATGATTCATGTATAATTTTCTTATGTCCTATTTATCTTTGATAACATGATGGGAAAAAAATTAATGATTCTTTCGTCATTGAAAGTATTTACACAATATCAAGCTCTATAATTATTTGCAGCTGAGAAGATTTTTTTTGGTTCTTTTTTTTTTCATTTAATACATTATGAGATTCAAGTCCAACAAAAGGAGTCAAAAAATCTTTCCTTACTATGAAAAGTACATCAACAATATTCAAAATTTTATAATAAAACAGAAATAAACTACGTAACAGTTTTTGTACTGACATTTATTTTGTAAATACGCTTTTTTTAATAATATTTCTTCAAGCACAGATTAGTATTTTCTCTTGAACTAAAAAGTAGTACGTTGTGCAGTTCATAACTTCGTGAAGAAAAAAGATCTCTCACAAAATTTTTTTAGTCATTTAAGCAAAATCTTACGGTCCTTGATTTATCATCTAAATTTTACTACAAAGAAAATGTCTTTTATAATGACTGACAGTTGAGACCATCAATAATTAATGAACACATGCTCTTGTTTCTGCAATTTTTTTAAAACTATTGTTTAAAACATTTATTGCAGAAACAAGTGCTTGTGGTAATAAAACTTAGGTAATTGGATCCTCATGACAAGCAATTGAGATCTGAGGAAATGATATATAGCTTCCGTGACTAGCAGTGTATGTTTTGGTGGTCAGCAGTAATGATATATAGCCACCGGATAAATATAAAACCTCGTAAGAGGCAGTTGAGCCAGCAGTAGTGATACTTAAGCTAAATACTTAGCTAAATTATTTTAACTTATTAATTTAACTTCATTTAATTTAAATAAATACTTAGCTAAATTAATGAATGACACTAAACTATTAAAAACGCATGACAGGCTTTTGAGGCGAGAGGTAATGATACTTAACTATCAATTAAACATCATGACAGGCAGTTGAGGCCAGCAATAATGATACTTATCTAAATTTAGATTCTCGTGAATGTCAGTTGAGGCCAGCGATAATGATACTTAGCTAAATTTAGAATCTCGTGACTGTCAGTTGAGGCCAGCGATAATGATACAACATACGATATTGAGCCTGAGACACTGCGGTTCCCTGTCCTTTAGGAATCCTGTGAGATTGACAAACATGACGAACTGTCATCATGTCACGTGACAAAAGGCTGCAAGCGGGACAAAGTCTCGTCTTTCTTTTCGTTTTCTTTAACAGGATCGGATGTTTCTGTCCTGTGTCTTTTGCAAAATGATTTAAATTCCCACTGTTTTCCCGATGTGTTTTGTTTCTGGCTTTTTTTAACTTGGTTGGAATTCTTTCATTTCTTATTTTAACACCCATTTCACTATTCTCGTACTTATTTAATTTATCGCAAGGAATTCCTTTCTCCAGATCGAATTGAATGCTCTCAGCTGAAGCTGTTTCAGACTTCCAAGTTCCATCCAGCTCCTGATCTTCACTCGTCTTCGTCTCGTCTTCCGTGCCCTCTTCCTCTTGAACAAGATTTTCTAAAAGTGTCAGCAGGGTTTCTGGTTGTGTAGATATTGTCATATTGGGGTGCTGAGTCGCCGAAACACATGGACTTAAAACAGTCTCTGTAATTCCTGATATTGTCATACCGGGGTGCTGAGTCTCCAAAACACGTGGACTTAAATATGTCTCTTTAGTTCTTGCTATTGTCATATCGGGATGCTGAGTCGCCAAAACAGATAGACGTAAATCGGTCTCTGTAATTCCTTCGGATGGTGATTCCGTCATATCCAAAAATAACCCATCGGTTTGTGTTTCCTGAGAAGATTGGTTTAAAGGATCACAAGGCAATGCATCTGTTTGTGTAGTCTTTTGAGAATACTTTGAAATCTCACTTTCTGCATCATTACCAACAAATTTATCAGATATATCCAAGAATAACCCATCATCGGTTTGTGTTTCCTGAGAAGATTGGTTTAAAGGATCACAAGGCATTGTATCTGTTTGTGTATTCTTTTGAGAATACTTTGAAATTTGACTTTCTGCAACATTACCAACAAATTTATCAGATTGTATACAAGGTACCGGTTGGTGACCTGAAGGATCAACGTCTACAAAATCTGTCTGTGTACTCTTATTGTAAAACAGACTCCGAGATTGACTCATCGCTGCTTCTTTGTTTGTGCTATTATCCTCGTATGAGTAAGCGTACATGTATCCCTGTAAATCGTCGGTTTCCAGTATTTTATCGCCTCCCTCTACAGATCCCTCTTGTTTAACTTCACAGAAGTCTTCTACCTCTACTTTTGACATCGTCAATTTTCCTTTTACGACTTCCGTGTTAGTACCTACATCTATCGTTATTGTGGTTTTATTTTTAGAATCCGAGTCACTGTCCTCTGAAGCGCTGTCATCGTCACTTTCCTTACGAATATCATTTCTTTTCATTTCAAAGTAATTGTATAACAAGTGTTGTGAAGTTTCTTCACAGTTAACTTCCCCCCTATTTATATGCCCTGTGTGAGGGCCTATGGCCCCGCGGACATAATCTCTTCTTTCAAGATCATTACTAATTAAACTGTCATCATCATCATCATCAGACTCGTCGTCATCGCTATTGTAAGATGAAGATTCTTCATCTGGGGTTTTCTCCTTGTCAGTTAATTCTTCAGAACTATCTGTGTCCTCATCTAGCTCATCGTAACTTGCCTCACTTTCATCGTCATCGCATTTGTTATCAGTAAATTCCTCAGAACTACTGGAATCTGACGATTCTTCTGAGGGATATTGGGTTTGTTTATTACGACCTTCAGACATCGTTTATTACACACACCCTGGTTATTCGTTATAAACTTAACTCAAAAGACAGAATTGTTATTTTTATCGGCGCCTAATCTTAAAACAAACATTTTACTTTGATATTTTTTTTTCTTATCTATTGCAAAAAGGTACTTAAATGCAACTATCCACAAGTGCACTACCAGGAACAAACTTTAAAATATTGATTTATTTTACACATCGATTTCTTTACAATCCATGCCAAAGGCAGAAAATTTTAGCCATGGGTGTTTGCAAAGGATTACTGTAAATAAACTTTTATTCTAGTGCTAGAAATAAATCATGTGACTTTTGCAACCTTGCTTTATTTGCAAATATTTCTCGCCCGAACTACATGTACTTATTTCATTATGTATTCTTTAGTCACCAAAAACAAATAGATTTCAAAATAACAAATAGATTTCAAAATAACAAACTGCAATAAAAAGTTGTCACGAATAATGGACTTTACAGTATTTTTTCATATAGCTACAAATATAAATATTTATACATTGTAGAGAGAGAGAGAGAGAGAGATTCCCCTTTGTGAACAAACACATACGATTGCTATATACTTACAGAAATTTTAGAACACTAACATAATTTATGCCAAACGTAACTTCCCTGTTATAATATGCATTTTTCAAATAGAATGCAAATTTTAACACTAAAATAACACAAGCCCTGGAAATTAACAATATAAAATTTTAACTCCATACAATACAGAAAAACAGGATTGTAGCAAAGTGCCAGGGATGAGCTATAATGATATGCAATAAGCAAATTCGTTAAATCTTTTAAGTTCACAATACACTTTAAAACCATTGGGATTGCAAAATCACTTTACTGTAAGCTTGACTTCATTGTGTGTTCCCTATAAGCTTGTTTTACTGTAATTTTCTCATCACAGTACCCACAATACACAAAGAAGACAATATTACAGAGCACTATTTATTATTATTAAGCGTTACATCATACAATTATAAAGAATTTTATATTTACTCAGTTTAGCCCTGATTTCCTTATTATAAATATACAGACTCAAGTGCAGAAATGCTTCAAATTTCATAGCACTTTCTTCGAAACTTGACAGCAATAAGGAGACTGGCTTCTTAAATAGCAAAATTTAAATATCTGATGTTTTTAACAATTTTTAAAATCCAAATTCATACATATCAATCTGAGCATTTGACAATTTTTTTTTATTTTGACACCTACATTGTACAATATACATGATTAATGAGAAATTTTGTTTTTAAATAAATCTCAAAACACAAGTTTTTTTTACATCTTTGTGTCTAGTCAAATTTGTTCAGAACACAAATTCAATGTGTTAAAGAAACACAAAACATGATAGCTAACAAATTTGTTCATCAGCTCTATCAGTACATTCAGGATAACTTTATTTTATACTCAAATGAATACAGTGAGGTTTTGGATTTGTCCATTTACAGAAAATTGTGAAGTGCTTAAATATTTCAATACATCTGTGTTTTTTACTTCCCAATTTAAAGATTTGTGTATGAAAAAATTGAACAGATCCAAACAGTTAAAAATCGAGAAAACAGAACATCTTCAAATTGTCAACAAAAAAGGCTTAATCAAGAATTACATCATTATGCTTACTGCACACATTCAAAAAACTGTATATCTTATTTTTTAAAACTTTTTAAACTTAATTGGGGGGGGGGGGGGGACTTCAATATTTGACATATTTTCTGCAATTGTGTCTCTATTACTGTATAGAGCTTTACAATTGTTTATTTTCCTTTGGTGTGTAATCAAAGTTTTTTTTTTTTATTTACTTATGCAAATATAAATACATTTTAATGTGTATAAAATAACCTTTAAACATAAATTATTCATTGTTTCTTGAATTTCTGATTTCATCCAAAGCAAGAAAAAAGTGAAAATATTTCCATCCATACAATACACAATATCATATATTAAGTGATTCCATTGAATTTTTAACAGTCAGTGAAAGAAAATTTTCAAGAATATTGCACAACAAACATCCACCAAGCAGACTGAATTTCCTCTGCAGCCTCTACACCTAAAAAGATAATTAATTATCCTAATCCCAAACTAAATCAGTGAACAAAGGCTGAGTGGATTTCTTTTAATCGGGTCGGCTGAAGATTAAGTGGTATTATCTCCCCTTGTCCTGACTTTGTAGGTATGGATATACGCCCAATCAACTGACTCTCAGCACTTTTCTCGTGTAGCATCTGTAAAATTTAACAATACTGATCATTACAGACTTCAAAGTTAATTCAGAACATACAACGTACATGTATATTTAATAAAACAACACAATCTGCATGACCTTGATTTAAATGAATTAAGGATTAATACAATATGTGTTTGCACTCTACAACTGTTGATAAATTAATTTCTATGGAAAACCTTTTTTGGAAAGTCAAGAAAGTAATGCCCCAAAGACCATAAGCTGAGGTAAGATTAAGTCAAAATTTCAATTTAATTAGTATAACTTTTGAAATCATTATGGTAAAACAAAATTTTTATCATGTGTTTGTATTTACATTGTATACAAACTTGCAACATTTTTAAAATTGTGGCTTGTATAAAATCAGAATTCATAACATCTAAATTTTGACTTAATTCTGCTCTCAGTATATGGTATTTGAGCCTGGTCTTATCAGTGCTGAAAATAATGACAGTCTTAAGGAAAAACTGATAATTACACCATTGCAGTTCTCATCTTTGTACATTTTTTGACTGGTTTAAATTGATTGAGACTTGTCTTAGATATTTTTCAAGGTGTTTATAATGTGTACATTTTTGAGAATTTTTTCACTATAAGACTCACCCTAGCAAACTCGGGGGTGGGGAATGTTGACAGATCAGTCCTGACCTGTCCCCCAGTTCTATTGGCAGCCAAGAGGTTGGTGATCTGGACTTGTAGCTGCAAAAAAAAGTCATCAAATTTATAATTCAGTATACTAGTACAAGCATTTGTAGGGGGAAAGACCTGCTTAATAAAATGATTTTATATACTTATGGTGCTGTAAGATAAAGTTATAGAGTGAAAAATGCACAGGAGTATAAAAATCATGCTTCTATTTAAATTCTGGGTATAAATGTTTACAAAATGTTATTATTTTAATTTTAAGAAAATTCAAATACTGGTGTACGTAGGTTACTAAATAAATTACTAAATACTTAGGATATAGAGATTATGAGATGTTCATTTGCTTTTCATTAAGCTATCCAATTCTTTTAGTCACCCCGTTATTTTTGTTTTAAAAAATGATGGATTCAGAACAGTGACCTTTCAAATTACTGTTTGAATTTGTGCAGAGATGCGCTGGACAGAGAATCCAAAACATTCACAACTTATGATGAGATTTTGATCTGTATATATAGTTTCATAAAACTTTGTTTAATTAGGAAGAGCTGATGTTATAAGGTATACTGACCTGTTGAGTTTTCTTCTCCATTAAAGTCAGTCGGGCAGTTCTGGCCACCAACTCTCGGGTCGGGTTACTGGTCTCAGTCAGAGGCTCATGTCCTAGGAAGAACGGACAGAAGAAAGTCAAATATAATTTGCTTACATATCTAAAATTTTGATTTCGCAGCATTCCTTACCTTCAACTGCATTCACTTGATTAGCAGAAACTTCTAACAAAATGAAAATTATAACTTAGCTACCTTTAACTGATAGTTTTAAAATAAGAAAGCTTGTATACCTGAATACTGTAGATGTACTTTTTCCATGTGGGATTAATTTACACTACATATGCCATTTCAAATTTTCTGCAGATATTTTTCACAGCATTCTTAATGGGCATTTAAGGAGGTGAAGGACCTTTGGCCTAAAAAAATTCCCGTCATTCAATTTTTTTTCATATTTTGTATATTTCTAATTAAGTATGTCCCACATATCTTAAAGCAATCATTAGTTTCTTACCTTATTTTAGAGATATTAATTGACAAATACAATGCCTTAGAGTGGAGTTTTAATTCTCCATGTTTGCGGGTCCATTACTCTGTCCATGATTGGATTTTTTAAGCACAGATAAAATATATTTAAGGGGACATGTATCTTTTAAAATATTTCAGAGTATGGATAGGGTTTAAAAGTTGAAAAAGCAAATTTCTTCTGTCACACTGCATATAGATAGGGAAAATTATGTACTTTTTAAGACAACTTAAACAACAAAAAACTAAATTTGCAAAATATTCTATCATTCAATATTTTTAAATTTACGTTGAAATGCAAGTCCTTCACATTATTGATTAACTGTAAAAATTTCAAATGGTGAAGCTGACCTCAATATTGCACAGGACATCGTTAAAGAAAACATGAGCATGACAGAAACGTGTCATGTTTACATTTCTCGAGTACGGGAAAAACCAACTATGATGTCACACGTAAGCTGAATAAACAAAATTAGATATACCTACATAAGATTTCCGTGTTCAGCCATGCAAAAATAATTTTTGTGTTCCCCGTTTCTCAAAATATTTCATCACATACTGATTATGATTATTTTCACACAATAATACCGCCCCTGCATTCACCGAACATGATCTTGCTGTACTAACAGATCGTGTATGACGTCACCGATGTGTTCGATGTGCAGTTTAGAGAAACAGAGGAGTGGATCAAACTATTTCATAATGTGTTAATGTTTAAAAGAATGTTAATTTTTTTTTATTTTTCTACATAGGTTGGTAATTAAAGTAAAAACAAATTGTCAAAAATTATACAAGAACTTATGGTTTACACTTAGACTTTACTTTACTGGTCCCCAGATCCGCAAGATCCGCGCGCTCATTGCACTATGACTTAAGATTTACGTCACTCAACTGATAAGGGTTAGTCTTGCACATTTTTTGACTGGTTAGGGTTAGTCTTGCACCCACCTGAGAGATTAGGGTTAGTCCTTGCACAAGTTTTCAACTGATTAGGGTTAGTCACGCATCCATCCGAGAGATTAGGGTTAGTCCTCACACATGGGTTAGTCTAGCATCCGCCCGGGAGATTTGGGTTAGTCCTCGCATACCAAGGGATTTGGGTTAGTGTCTTGGTTTTTTTTTAAGATTAAGAAATTCAGTTGCATCTGTATTTTTGCAAGATCTTAATTCAGCTTTAACGACATCTCTTTGGTTTGTTTACATGAAAAAATGGCTAAGTACGAAAGAAACCACACTAAGCATGCGCCGCACGCGTTCTGTTGACAATTATTTTTCGTCTCCTTTTCACTGAATAAACAATATTAATCACTTTTTTCAGAAAACGAGGTTAAAAACTTCGTTTAAAACGAAGTTGTAAACTAAACTTTTAACTGTAGAATTCGATTTTGGGGTCAAAAAGGCTAAAAACCTCATACTTTTAATTGTTTTCGATCGCTCATGCGATCTCATCTATACTGAAGTCGCCTACGGCGACACTATATTTTAGTGCGTTTTTCTGGGGACCGGTAAAGTCGTTCCCTTTTGCACTTATATAAACAGAGACTATGACATAGTTAAACAGTCATGTGACCATGTGTCCTTCATCCCCTTAAAAGATAGAATGGCAATCCAAGAAATCTGTGTCATTTTTGTGATTCCGTGGAATTATGACTCATTGGAAAAAAGTACGTTTACAGTATATCTAGATATGACCCATTACCTGGCATTACCTTTTGAGGTGGTCTATTTCCTGGCTTTATCTGTAAATCTGACCATGTTATCTACCTGGCTTTACCTGTAAATCCGACCATCTTACCTACCTGGCTTTACCTGTAAATCTGACCATCTTACCTACCTGGCTTTACCTGTAAATCTGACCATGTTATCTACCTGGCTTTATCTGTAAATCTGACCATGTTACCTACCTGGCTTTATCTGTAAATCTGACCATCTTACCTACCTGGCTTTACCTGTAAATCTGACCTTGTTATCTACCTGGCTTTACCTGTAAATCTGACCATGTTACCTGTAAATCTGACCATGTTACCTACCTGGCTTTACCTGTAAATCTGACCTTGTTATCTACCTGGCTTTATCTGTAAATCTGACCTTGTTACCTACCTGGCTTTATCTGTAAATCTGACCATGTTACCTACCTGGCTTTATCTGTAAATCTGACCATCTTACCTACCTGGCTTTACCTGTAAATCTGACCATCTTACCTACCTGGCTTTACCTGTAAATCTGACCTTGTTACCTACCTGGCTTTATCTGTAAATCTGACCTTGTTACCTACCTGGCTTTACCTGTAAATCTGACCATCTAACCTACCTGGCTTTACCCGTAAATCTGACCATCTTACCTACCTGGCTTTACCCGTAAATCTGACCTTGTTACCTACCTGGCTTTATCTGTAAATCTGACCTTGTTACCTACCTGGCTTTCGTTTGGTGATGTCAATAACTCTAGGACAGGCACACATCATATTCACCTCCTAAAACAGAGTTTCATGAACTTTACATTTATAATCAGCATAAAGCAAAACATAATATAAATTGACAAAGCACAGAGATCATAAATAATACATATACAAAGCACACTCATACTAATTCATTCTAAACTTTTTAGAGTTTTTTTCAAAAGAAAATAAAAAAATTAATGAGAATAGACTCATAGAGAGATAATTTTCACTTCAAGTAACAGTATTAAATGGTACCCAGTGTATACTCTGTTCAATTCAACAAAGAGATATTACAATCTGCTTCAAATAAAGTTAGAAACTTGACAATAAACAGAGAGTTCTTACCCCCAGCAGTTTTGCTGTCTTTTGGTGACAATAAATAGAGAGCTCTTACCCCGAACAATTTGGCAGTGTCTATAAGTGACAATAAACAGAGCTCTTACCCCCAGCAATTGGCAGTGTCTTTAAGTGATAGTAAACAGACAGTTCTTACCCCCAGCAGTTTTTGCTGTCTTTTGGTGACAATAAATAGAGAGCTCTTACCCACAGTATTTATGCTGTCTTTTGGTGACAATAAACACACAGCTCTTACCTCCAGAAGACTGTTCAACAGAGCAAACATTCGTAAGCACTCACGAACATTTCAGTTTGATGGATAAGGAATTTTGGAGAACGCTCACTAACGTAGCCTCTGTTGAACAGACCTCAGTAGTTTGGCAGTGTCTTTAGGTGACAATAAACATAGAATTCTTACCCCCAGTAGTTTGGCAGTGTCTTTGCGGAGATTGGTCAGCTGGTCTCTCCCAGGTGTGTCCTCAGGTAAATCACCGACAGAGGTCACTCCTGGTCTGCTGGACAAACCACCTGATTTCTTGGGAACTCTCAAAGGAGGTAATTTAGCCATTTGCTCCTGAAAAAGTTTATCAAAAGTTTCTCTCAGGAGCAGATAAATATCTCCATCTTGATAAACTTTCTGTGTCAATAGTTTATTCATCAAATTAATTCAATAATTATACTATGATGTTTTATAAAGGAGAGGTCTGGTAGAAAATAAAGGTTTTAAATATATCCAGCTTAACAAAACATAGAAATCGACAAGAACTAAGATGTATTATAATGTAGAACAAATATATTATAAATTGTATTCTGTAATATAATGGAAATAATTTGGCAAACGTTTAAAATGCCAAGTTTTACTTCACCTGTCATATAGAAAAACAGGAGAATATTTGTTTTTCTTTTTTTCAGGGGGGGGAGGGAGGGACCAGATTCCAGGTCTTACCTTCATTTTATCTGACTTCAGTCTAATATTCTCATCCTTTACCGACTTCAAAGCCTCTCTCAGAGATGCAATCTGTAGAAATTAAACATCAGAAAAAGATTTAAACCTTCGGGAATATTACCCATGAATTTGAATTACATGTATTTACATTTTTTCCAGACAAAATATGGTGACTTCTTATATTTATATTTATAAATTTATTTTCTGCATTCACTGCATCCATTTACTAACCAAAAAAATCAGATATTTCTTATTTCAAAACGTTCCATCTAGGTTATGTATTTTAATAAATGAAATTTTAACACTAGAGGAAAATTTCACTACTTTTGCAAATCTGTAGCACAGGTAATTGAATTGTTTCATCCATGTACAAGTTCAGGATATACATAGTGCACAAGAATATTATCTGATGTAGGTACATGTACATGTATTACTGATAATGGCTTTTATAATACATGTATTTGTTTTCTGGTGTAGATGTTTATCATCTATTGATGTGTCACCTGTAATTCAGTATATAGAGAGTTCTTAGTATACATTACCTGTTGTGTGTGGTAAGGGGAGTCCTGTATAGTACACCTGTTAATTATTACCTGTAATACTGTAATTAATTACCTGTGTGATGAGGTAAGGGGAGTCCTGTATAGTACACCTGTTAATTATTACCTGTAATACTGTAATTAATTACCTGTGTGATGAGGTAGGGGGAGTCCTGTATAGTACACCTGTTAATTATTACCTGTAATACTGTAATTAATTACCTGTGTGATGAGGTAGGGGGAGTCCTGTATAGTACACCTGTTAATTATTACCTGTAATACTGTAATTAATTACCTGTGTGATGAGGTAGGGGGAGTCCTGTATCGGAAAACCTCCCCCTGAGTGGACTGGTGAGCCGGGGGAAGAAGCTGAAGCAAAAAGCATGAAATGGCGGATAATTGTTTGTTATTCTGAGCATATAAAGCTTAGAAATGGCATATTGTATAATTATTTGTGTAATTTCACTCCATTACAAGCATATAGCTATATACAAATGTATACGGTGACTTAAAGTAAGTCATAGGCATTGCTTTTGGAGATGTTTAAAAATAGGCTGCGACTGACTATAAAATTCTCAATATAAAAGAAAATGAAAATTCAGTCAATTATGTTATAGTTGTTAAACATATAAGATGGTTTTTGAAAAACAACCAATTTCATACAGTTAAGGCCAAAAAAAATTAATCAATATTTTCTCAGGCACCGCCCCATCAGGTCAAATACTGCCGCATTGATCAATTTTATTGACATATTGAAAAGGGAAATAACTCAATTTTCTATTTTTCAAAGTTGAAAAAGAAAATTGAGTTTATTCCGCTTTTCATCAATGTTTAAAGTTAGGCCTTTTTATTAGAGAAACAATATATATATATCTCTTGTTAATACATATTTTTTTTAATTAACCTTTAAACAAATGTTAGGAATAACATTATTTAAAGTTGAGTATATATTATAATTAATGTAATAGAATAAAACAAAAGTATGAATCAGTTGAAATCATTATTTTGTTGAATGACTGACATGAAAAAATGAGATAACACCTACTTACAAAAAAAAACTGCCTGCTGCATTGAATTTTGAAATTTTTGGCCTGAGAAACTATCACTGTAGATTCCTAAATATATGCGAGGAATTAATTATCTTGTAATTTCGCGAGAAGCACCACTTGCGAAATAAAATTACTTGCTTTTATTTATATGGTGCTGAATCAATGTAAAATCTCTATACCAACTGTCCACTCGCGAATTACTGTTCTCACGATTTGACGTTAAAGAGCCATTTCATGATAATAAGAACTTGCAAAAAATAAGGAATCTACAGTAATCAATTTTTTTGGAGCCTAAAGAACAATTTCCTTATTGCTCTATTTCAAGAAATTGGCTGAATATTCCAGCACTGCATCTCTCAGTATCTTCATTTTGCATTTTTCCTTGATTTGTAAATTAGCAAATATATACAAGCACTTTTTATTTCTCTCAGTATTTATGGGACCTACAGGTATGAGACAATATAATTTCCTGACTTCTAAAATACTATCCATTTTTAGGGTAGAAGCTTTGTTGTGTCTCAGCCTTTTACATCTTAATCAAAATAATTTATCAGAAATGGTTCAAGAATTTCTATCAGATTCCATTTTTCTCTTTAAATTGGACACCATTTTAAAGGCAGTGCTAAAAGACAAGAAAACAATAGCTATTGCTCTGTGAGTAGCATTTAAAGCAATCCTTATCAGGCTTTCAGAATTAAATGTAAATCGCTGCAGGAATAATGGAAATAGAAATTTATTCACCAAATATAAGTAATTCTAATCACCTTTATGGCTGTAAGAAATATTTGATTCATTAATATGATTTATACCAAATTTCTTTTTGTTTTAACGTAAGAATAGTCCACATCAATATTCCTCAACATTTTGATTTATTCCTTATTACTGAGTTTTAATCTCTATCAGTAATCTTTGACCTGTATCATTGAACTCTGACCTCTATTATACACCTTTGTCCTCTATCATTGAACTCTGACCCCTACCATTAACCTCTGTCCTCTGTCTTTGAACACTAACCTGGTTGTGTAGCTTGTCTAGTGATTCCCTCGATGAGTGTTTTCTTGGAGAGGATTTTCAGCCTCTCTTTGAGTTCTATTTTCTCTTGTTCCAGTGTGTCTATATCTTGTTGTAGTGCATCCATTGTCTCCTCAAATTCCCTGTAAACAGAGATCAAAGCAGTAAGATCAGCTGATGTCTGTACTGTAAATTACTGTAAACAGAGATCATAGAGGTAAGATCTGTAAATTACTGTAAACAGAGATGACAGAGGCAAGATAAGCTGATGTTTGTACAATAACTGTAAATTAATGTAAACATTGACATATACTACCTTTTTAATTACACAATTAACTTGCAGAAACCATACGTGTGGGGATGATTTGTGCAATACCAGGATAGTGATATATAGCCAGATATTGGTACTTGGGGATATTATGGAAACATAACTTATGGTGTTTCTCACTTTTCTTTCTTTCGGAGCTGAGCCAGGAGCTCGTCATGTTTTCTCTGTAACTTGTCGAGTTTGCTGTCCCCGTCTTTTGTCGCATTCTCCAACTTCTTCTCCAGAAGTCCGATTCTGACCTGCATCTCGCTCACCTCTTCTCGCTGTACATAATTACAAGTACATAACTGATAGAAGAAATTTAGGAGTGTAAAATTAACACAAAAAAAAGATTCAACATTTTAGTCAACTTTTTGTATCACCATCTCCTTCACTTGTAGAATGGCATATTTCATATATAATTATGTATTATATATGAATGTGTATAGCTCATCATCCTCTTGACTTGCAGTTGTTTTAGCATATAATGTATATCTTACCTTCATTTTAACTTAAGATTTTAACTAATCCATCTTTTTTATCTCAAGTTTGAGTTCTTCCACACCCACCTTCTTTTTGATCTTGAGTTTAAGTTCTTTCACACTCACCTTCTTTTTTGATCTCGAGTTTGAGTTCCTTCACACTCACCTTCTTTTTGATCTTGAGTTTGAGTTCTTTGACACTCACCTTCTTTTTGATCTCGAGTTTGAGTTCCTTCACACTCACCTTCTTTTTGATCTGGAGTTTGAGTTCCTTCACACTCACCTTCTTTTTGATCTCGAGTTTGAGTTCCTTCACACTCACCTTCTTTTTGATCTTGAGTTTGAGTTCTTTGACACTCACCTTCTTTTTGATCTCGAGTTTGAGTTCCTTCACACTCACCTTCTTTTTGATCTCAAGTTTGAGTTCCTTCGCACTCACCTTCTTTTTGATCTGGAGTTTGAGTTCCTTCACACTCACCTTCTTTTTGATCTGGAGTTTGAGTTCCTTCACACTCACCTTCTTTTTGATCTCGAGTTTGAGTTCCTTCACACTCACCTTCTTTTTGATCTCGAGTTTGAGTTCCTTCACACTCACCTTCTTTTTGATCTCGAGTTTGAGTTCCTTGACACTGTCCTCCTTTGCCTCCATTTTGTGTTTCATCTGATCCATCTCAGCAATCTGAGCTTTAACAGTTTTAGCTCTCAGCACCACAGGGGGCACCGGCTGCAACACAGCAACATTACAATATAGCAAAAACCACTAGGAAAAAAAATTAGCAACACAATGACATTACATAATACAGCAACCATAAAAGAACAACTTATAGCAACACAGCAACATTACATAACATAGCAACCATAAAGAACAAGTTATACATGAAAATGTAGCCATAGAGAAACATTATAATAACACGCAACCAACAACTATGACACAACAAGCTAATATCAATCCTAACCTTTACTGAGGAAAAGCAAAAGAAATAAGACACAGCCAAATTACTAACTACACAGCATATGATGGAAACATTTCTGAGCAATGTTTGTCACACTGATCTTAGGACAATACAGAAATTTAACAAAACTGTCTATTTTTTAACTACTTGGACATAAGATTCATTTTAGATATTACATGCACATCAATGTCAAGAAATTTTACTGGAAGACAGTAACAATTCCTGAAGTGTAGGAGCTTTGCTTTCCAACAAAATTTTGAGACAGACCCAAGCTACTCTTTTAGCATGTTTAGTATTTATTTCTATTCTGCTATGACTACAAGTGCATCCTAGCAGAGGCAGAGCAGGGCTACCTGCTGAGATTTCTATGCCCCGTTTGTGACTTTGATAATACCGAGGCTTATTGTGATGTCACACATAATAAAAAATAATACACATCAAGCAAATATTTTCATGTACCGTTTTGTCGTGAGTCCCATCAAAGTCATACTCTCCATTCTCCATAGCATTTGCCACCTTATTCATTGTACCCACTACTTTACCAAAGGACATCCTGTAAAATATCAAATGATGATGTTTATAAGATGTAAAGTTTTATAACTTGTCAAACAGTTGTTCTCTTTATAATAATGGTTTGAACTAAAGTTTTTCTTCCCGTTGATTATAAATCACCTAAGACATTCGTAAGGTCCAGCGTCGTCTTTGCCGTACACTTTGTCACTCGTCTGGAATGCAATTTCTTCCATCTTTTTCGGCATCAAGCCTTCAGAGTCTTTAACAAAAATTTTAATAACATCCATGAAAAACAAAATCTAAGAGAAGCTGTTAGTGCATATAAATCATTATTTCTGACATGTCACAAGAAAGGAGATATTTATTCTTTTAATTAACACAAGTTTTAATATTGAAAACTACAACAGAACTCTCACTGTAAACAAGTAACACAAGTAGTACACAAAACACACACAAACACAAGTGATTTTAATGTTTTAAAGAATCTTAATATGTTTAAAAATCATCACAAGATATACTTCATCAAATTCTTTTATACTTTTGATATATATGTTTTTGATATCATACTGAAACAATTCCTTTTGATATTTATTTTATTGATATTTTTGTTAATTTCACTCCAGTACTAATGAGGGTTAATTGTTAATTAGACATTCCATATCACTCATTACCAGTCTTAGGTTTCAACCATGATACAACGTTGTCTAGAAGAATCAACCCATGCAAAGAGAAAAGTTATAAAGTATATACCACTGCAGTAATCATGACACAGCTGCAGTTTACAGAAGTTTTTGTGTGATAAGAAAACTCGTCAAAATATAAATACGTGGAGAATTTTTTGAAGAATAAAACTGTATAGAGCGTAAATAATGGGTCTAACCCATGGAGTCTTGGAGCACATCACAAAAGCTACCGAGCTCAATGGTGGGATCATTTACGACTTAGAATTAGCAAGGATTGACTGAGGAGATCAGTTAAATGTGTCAGACTCAGTTGGTTGCGATAATAAACCTTAAACTTTCATATCTTAAGACATGCACATTTCTGACGTTGTTGATTTTATAGGAATATTTTAAAATTGAGTTTTTCACTAGTTTGTAAAGGATCAGACCTGCAGCATCTTCTATACATTATTTTATCCTTTGATATTACTGTCTAGATCTTCCTCAATAAAATCATAGATTTAACTTAAGGCTAAAGCATTATTGTGATTGTACAGAATGAAGGAAACGTCCCAGATCATCAAACGTATGTTTGTCACAGTCTGAAGCAACTCATGCTTGACATGACAATGGAAGGAAAAGAGAAGTGAGCGAGCTTAATGGGTCTCAAAAACTTACTCCAATATTCACTAAAGTAATCTATCAATTTAACAATACATTCCAGAATAGAACTTACAACCTTGTTGCAAAAAATAAGAACTTTTTGAGTAAGCTGCATTAAAAAATATATTATTACTTTTAAAGTAATTGCTGAAATCTGAAATCAAAGTTACTGTAACATTAACTTTTATATTTGTCAGTGACAACAGCTTTAAATATGTAACATAACAAATATAATTATCTATATAAATATAAAAAACAGTCTTTAACATATCTCAATACAAATCACTCAATATCAGAAGAAAAAAACATGCCTGACTCAATCATCTCATGCTCAAACTTACAAGGAAAGAGATCAACTCAACCACTCAACACACCAGCAACAAAATCTCAACAGAGGCAATTCAGGTCATTTCTACGCTGTATATAAATATGGAGATGGAATTTTGCCGTTCCATCCCTTTTTGATATCTCTACAGTTTTCCGTTTAGTTATGCTGTTTGGATAAATGAAACAATTCTCCCTTTAACAACTTATCAATATCCTTTCACCTCTTAATTCCTTAAGCTGGAAAACTCTCTAAAGTTTATCTACTAGTTATCTCTGATAAACTGCTCTATTATAGGTTTCATTTCACTAGCATTTAGTTCAATCCAGCTCTATACTTAGTCTAGCAGTTTATTCAAACAAGCATTACTGCACATGTATAATCTAAACACATCCTAACACTGACTATGACTCTCCCGAAGTAATAGAGCTGCAGTATTGTGTCAATTTTAAATTTCATCAGTAAAAATAAAATTTTCTTTCTTATGTATCAGATTGAATGTTAAAGATAATATACTATGTAGCCATCATTATAGTGAAGCATTTGTTGCTCATTGCTGATAAAAATGAGTTGCTGCTGGTTGCTGAGGTTGCTATTTTCAGAAAATAAAAGACAGTAGCAGGCCTAGAGAGTGTGTTACCATGGTAGTCCTCCAGTTTTCCTCCTAGCAATAATATACAGCAATATATTTAAGAGATCAAAAATCAAATTTACTGCTTTTTTATCAACATAAGACCCTAAAAAATTGTGTGGATTATAAAATATCCAGTATCTAATTATTTTCTTCTATACTTAAACACTGGGCTTACAGAAAACGTACAAAATTTTCAAAATAAAGATATCAGGCTAATGTTTGTAGGTAAAATACACATCACAAATAAAATCAAATGTCAGCTCTGACTTAGCTTTATATAAGCTTAATTTGAGGTCGACAATCAGCAAACAGAGCTGAAGTTATGCTCCTGAATTTCCTTGGAATGACCTCACCTTAGCAGAACTTCAGGAAGAAAGAAGTTATTGATAATGAAGAGGGCTTAGTTTCCCCGAACCATAAGAAAAACTATGGTTTTGTAAAATTCAATTATTAAAAATACATGTATATATTCTGTGAAATATAGATGAAATATTTCCTTAGTGGCTGCATAGTGCAAAAAATTGAAATCTGTGAAAAAAGCTGTTGATAAAGCAAAACTATTCTAACAGTAAAACTTCATCATTTATGACAAATTCAACCGCTATACTTTCTTTGCTTGAGGTAGTTAATTGTTGTTCTATGCCCTACATTTAATAGATTTTTAATTAATAAATAAAATGTCAGTGTATGCATGCTTTATTAATTTGTTAATTAAAACTTACTCATACATGTTATACTTTGATTTAAAGCTCCATTTTATTCTTTCAAAATGTTTCTTTTCCCTTTTTTTCAAAACAAATTTTTAATCATTTAAAAAATAAAACATGAAAAAATTTTAATTTTATAAAGATGAACTTTTGCTACGTGCAATTTCAAAAAAAAATTAGCTGAGAAAAATTCTGTTTTTCACTGTTAATTATATCAATAATCACAATTATAATTATAATGCTGTCCGTGATTTCTTCATTCCGACACAAGTCTCAAATTAAATGAATAAAAAGAAATTATAAGCATATAAGTATCTTATTGTGAAACTGATATTAAATAAATATGTTTTCTATTGTGTGATATGCATACAATTAACTGTATATGTAATAATTATATGAATGTGCTAAAATTATACCAGCTGAGTCAGCCAATCAAAGCCATTCACTGTAACCTTGGTAACCACTCAAACTTAAAATGTCCGATCCAAGCCTTACCTGCTAATGTATCTGAATCAAACAACAGTTTACTTTTAATTACAATATTGTGGAAATCTATTGAATAAACAGCTGCCAGTTACCGTAACTCAATATCTTAGGCTAAATCTTTTAATTTGTAACATTTTAATAGTGCGTACTTTATTACATAGTATAGCTATGTATTAATAAAATCAAGTAAACTTTATTTAACCTAATACATATGTATGCCTGTTTTTTTTTTATCCTATACTAAGTGATGTTTTCATCCATTGGCTGCAAACAAGTATGATACTGAGCCATATTCACTATCAACTGAAGGCAGAATGTCAGATTTAGGTAATATCTAACTCCAGTTGTGATCATCTGACATGACAAGACCAATTTAATAATACATTTACGGTAGTCTAAGTAAAACATTTATACTTAAAGGCTTTGTAGAAAGATTATTTAAAGACTTTTTTTATGTATTTATGTCCTCTGTCAAACACTGAACATATAAATATGTAGTGACAAATGTACACAAGTCATGTACATAAATGTCATATCCATACTGACGATAGACACATGTAGATATTCACAGGGACATATTATCATGCAACCCAGAACATGATCTATGAATTACACTCATAAATCAACTTTATTCATTCCTTCCACAGTAAAGAATAAAGTATCCCTCTCTCAATTAAATGATCCTTAATCATCAATGACTCCTCCCTAAATTGATGATGACCCCCTCCCTTCATTTGACAATAAAAGACTTCTCCCTTCATTGACAATTAATGACACCCCCCTTTTACTTGACCTTTGATGACCCTTGTCTTACCGGTCATTAGAGCAGCCTGTTGCATGGCTCCAGCTGCCAGAAGATGCAGTGTCTTTGTTACCATGGTGATATTTTTACTGCAATCCAGTATCAAATCCTGAACCTACATTTGTAAGACGTAATAAATAAAAAAAAAAACCTGCTAACACAGATTTACACTATCATATCAAGTTCATGCTGAAAAGATCTGATTTTTTTCTACATTCTTTAGTCTATTTGGCTACATGACAATGTGTAAATACCTCTTTTCCAAAAGACAGTGGAGTAGCAGAGCCATCGCCTTGAGGGAGTCTTCTCTTTATCTAAACAATTGACAAACATTTACATAACTAGGTTAACCTTTTATTATTTTAAATAATCATCCAATACTAAATAATGTTATTGCACATGACAACAAATAGTCTGGCTTTATGTCAAACATTTACATAACAGGGTTAACCTTTTATTATTTTAAATAATCATCCAATACAGAATAATGTTATTGCACAACAAATAGTCTGGCTTTATTTTACCCATGTATTGACTAATTCACTGGAAATTTTCTCACAATATTTTCTGAACTTTGAACTCTGCTAAGAGATTCTTACTTTTCGTGCACACATCTTGGTATCATTGTTACAATTCTCAAGGTCTTTGAAGAGAATGGCTATTTCAGCTTTTTCCTGCCCAGGCTGAAAAAAAAACAATAAAGGAAAACAAATAAAATGAAATCATGTATTCTTTAAAATATGATATTGTCTGTGATATTTAAAATTGAGCATGTTGTATAGTAATTTAGTCACATACTCTAACCATCCTTTTGAGTTGTACAAAGTCTGTAGACAGATAATACTCACCAGCAATAGAACTCTGAGTCATGTGATACTCACCATCAGTAGAACTTTTAGTCGTGTGATACTCCCCATCACCAGAACTTTGAGACCTGCGATACTCACCATCAGCAGAACTTTGAGAAGTGCGATACTCACCATCAGTAGAACTTTGAGTCTTGCGATACTCACCATCAGCAGAAATTTGAGTTGTGCGATACTCACCATCAGTAGAACTTTGAGTTGTGTGATACTCACCATCAGTAGAACTTTGAGTCGTGCGATACTCACCATCAGTAGAACTTTGAGTCATGCTACACTCACCATCAGTAGAACTTTGAGTCGTGTGATACTCACCATCAGTAGAACTTTGAGTCTTGCAATACTTACCATTAGTAGAACTTTGAGTCGTGCAATGTCTGTAGACACACATTCTGTGGCACTCTGTACTAGCTTAACTTGGTCAGCCATCATAGCTGTACAATCCACTTTTTCTTGGGACAGATGCACTGAATGCAGTTGCTAAATAAAGATGTATTGCACTTCAGGCTTGTGTTTTATCAATTAAATGTACATTTATATTTTATATGAAATACAAGAGATTTTCATTTCTTCGTTACATTAATACATTTCAGCATTACCTGGAAGTAGCTGATGGATTTTTCCAGCAAATCCAGAGAAATTGTCTCATCAAGCTGATCTTTTCTGAGAAGTTCAATGAAGTAATCCACTGAAGTTTCATGAGCACTAATTTCTGGGAGCAAAGTTCCGATCTTTAGCAGTAGCTCCTCACTGCATGTCTTCAGTGCACTTTAAATCACAACAGATTACACAGATAATTAAAATCAACACATTTTTAAGAGTCTTCAATGGTTTTCATCTACTAGTCTAACCATACCTAAATACTTACTAGTCATACTGCCTCATTATCCCCTGTAGTGTACTCAGTAAGAGAACAAGATTTCTGGAGAAGCTGCACTGCTCTGCCCCGTGATTCTTCAACACACTTTCTCTGTTAACCTCTTCTGTCATCTCAAACTAAACAAATCAAAACAGTTTTATGATCTTCATTTCCACATCAAAGCTTGTGAGGTTTCAGAAAGATTTTTACATAATCTAAAATCTTCCTGAATTAAAATTCTTTATTTACTTTTTTTATGTCCTTAACCTGAGGTTACAGTTCTGCTTGACTGATTTATTTACTTCTGTACCTTGTCCTTGACATGTGAGGCTAACAGTTCCGCCTTTACTGACTTAATCTATCTCTGTTCCTTGTCCTTGACCTGTGAGGCTAACAGTTCCGCTTTACTGATTTAATCCATCTCTGTACCTTGTCCTTGACCTGTGAGGCTAACACTTCCGCTTTACTGATTTAATCTATCTCTGTACCTTGTCCTTGACCTGTGAGGCTAACAGTTCCGCTTAACTGATTTAATCTATTTCTGTACCTTGTCCTTGACCTGTGAGGCTAACAGTTCTGCTTTACTGATTTAATCTATTTATATACCTTGTCCTTGACCTGAGAGGCTAACAGTTCCGCTTTACTGATGATCCGTGGAATCATGAGTAATACTAGGATTGCATCATGGTCACCTGTACATTTAAAAACATTCCAGTCGTTAGCAACAGGAGGGGGGTGGACAAAATAATTTACAGGACAGCAAAGTGAATCAACTTTATCATCCATAATTTATTTTAGAAGAGATATTTTTTTTCTTCTCATAATTATATAATTTTTTTTATTCTATACTATAACTATTACTGAGTTTTAAGATTCATACAATTAATTTTCTGTTAATGGTAACTTATTCCTTAGTTACCTCCCCTTTTCATAAATGGTAAGCTTTTATGAACCACTGTTACAAACTGATTTGTTTGTTTTCTTGTTTTATATACGTGTCTGTCTGCCAGACTTACCTCCCCTGTTCATAAAGCTATCCCCCATGAATGACTGTAACAACCCCACGTGTCTGTCTGCCAGACTTACCTCCCCTGTTCATAAAGCTATCCCCCATGAATGACTGTAACAACCCCACGTGTCTGTCTGCCAGACTTACCTCCCCTGTTCATAAAGCTATCCCCCATGAATGACTGTAACAACCCCACATGTCTGTTCGCCTGTTGTACCTCCAGTTTTCTTAGCTCCATATCTATTGTCTGCAGGAATAAAAACAACATAGGAACAGCATGCATTACTGTTGAATATATATATATATCTCTGGGTTATAGAGCTTTTATCTAAAGAAAAAATAGGGGACATACAGGTTGAGATTATGATCATAAAAACACATCATATGGTAATGTCTTTCACTTACAACAAAGTGACATTCCTCTCAATCTATTGAGAAATTAGCAGCTAGGATCTAATGCTTCAATGACTTACCGACATCAAACATGACACTAAATACAATAATACTTCATAAGTAACATTGCATTTAGTTTCAGTGCCAAAAACATTAGTAGGAGTTTTTAAAAACACACACCTTTGCAGAAAAGTACATATACTTGAGAGAATATCACAATATTGGTGTGCTTCACTTCGTAAATTTTTGCGACATTTGACGTATCCTATTTATGTCAGGGCTTCAATACAGGCTGAAGGACAAAAAGGTTTTTCTAACCACTTTTTAATTTGATTAAATGACAAATGGACTAATTCTTTCACCAACAAACCCATATCATAGTAAATGGCATTTAATAAGCATAAATGAATTTTTCTACAGCAAAGCAGATACTCAAGCAATGTCAAATCAATTACTCCATTTAAAATTTTTATTTCTCTCTCTCTCTTTCTCTCTCTCTCTCTGTCTAACCCTATGTAAATGAAGGCAGTACTTTTTTTCACAATCCCACATGTACCTACACAGAGAAGGTATGTGTATGCTACGGAAATGTGAACAAAGCAAACAAATAAACAAAACTGTTATTGTTCAAAACAAAATGTGAAGCAAACTAAATCAAAACTGGAAAACCCTGTGGGAATCCCTTAGTTACTATGGTTACCCACCGATGCCATGGTCGGTGTTGGCTGTAAATAGAACATGTCTAACCTTAATTGATGCTAGGTTTACCAAGATGTTCTTTACAATGTCTGATATGAGGCAAGGCCAATCTGACAGATGAAACTGTTCACATTCATTTAATTTTGAGTAACATGTGAAAATGTGTTTTCTGTATTATGGTTATAATTAAAACCTTCAAGCCATATGTAATGAATATGTACTTAAAGAATACAATTGAGAATATTAATCAAAGTAAAAAGAATGTTTACATGTATTACAGAAACAAGTACGGCCATTTCTGTACAAGGTTATTACACAGTCAAGCACAGCTGTATTTGTACACATGTACTGTATTACACAGCAAAGCATGACTGTACTTGTACACGTTTTATACAGTCAAGCACAGCTGTACTTGTACAAACTTGTACATGTTCTTGAACACAGAAATATAGCTTCATTTCTCACACTGTAGTAAAATTAATACTTAGGACAATTTTCTAATTTTACCTTGGCATATGCCTTAGACTCAGCAAACTTTGTTTTGAAGTCAATGACCTCTATCGTGGGAGTGGCCTCAGACTTTTGTTCGGTCTCTTCCTGTCTACTTCTCATGTCACGAATTGTGTCCTGTTAAAAAACATGGTTATTCTTAAAACATTTCAGTACCACAACATACCTTAAGAAACTTAGATGAAGGATACAATATTAATAATAAAACATTTAAATATTAAATATCAAAATAATAAGAACAGATCTTTTATTAACACTCATGTTCCAATAATTCAATGTTTCAGTAGCACCTTAATTGATTTTATTTACCTGCAGTGTGGATACCAAGTCTCTAAATTTGCTGATGGTGGCTTCGTAGTCAGCAAATGTTTCTGATGTGGCATCAAGTTTTCTTTTAAACTACAGTTAAGTTTATCTGAAGCATTAGTCACCCTGAAGATGGTGCACATAAAATTATAATTCTCAATGGGCAGCATATGGTGTACGCTAAAAGCATTTAACAATTTCTTACCACCATGAAAAAAATGTAATGTAAATAATGTTGTATTGAAGGGTTGGAAGTTTGATATTATCAGATCTGTAGAAATATGTTGAGTGGAATATTTGACAGTCTACAGATACTGTATTATACATGTATTTGGCGGTGTATTCTATTTAGTGCATTTGGCAGAAAAGAGCTTCCACTAAATTAAGTACATTACTAAAGTTCTAGTACATATATTTTTTATCTAGCAATTTTGAAATGCACTAAATCAAAGTTATCAATTTTGTTAGCATTTCAACATCCTAAAAATTTCCATTTTTACAAAATCGTAACTACAGCATCTTCCAAGATACTGACTTAACATGTAAAATTCTGACTCCCTATGTGTTACAGATCAATTGTCAGATATTACAATTCCTTTGTTGTTGTTATCACCACCTGACCTTGACCTTACCTCATTGGCTCGCCCTGTAGCTAAGTCCAGCTCCTCGCGTAATTCTAACTCTGCCTCTCTAGCTGTTTCCTGTAGCTCTTCATTCATGTCATGCAAGGCTTCCTAAAAAAAAAAAAGATAGCATACTTTATTATATACCCATCATCATAGCATCCAGTTTTACTGTTGATTTCATCTGACAGTCACCACACTATCACAGAATCAAAAGGTCATGACCCCTCAATAACAACATTACTCTTTAGTTCAGACAGGTCATAACCACTGTTACTATGTAGACTCACCAGGTCATAACCATTGTTACTATGTAGACTCACCAGGTCATAACCACTGTTACTATGTAGACTCACCAGGTCATAACCACTGTTACTATGTAGACTCACCAGGTCATAACCGCTGTTACTATGTAGACTCACCAGGTCATAACCGCTGTTACTACATGTATGTAGACTCACCAGGTCAGTCTTTTCCTCCTCCAGTTCCTGAATCTTCTCCTCCAGAGCAAGATTTCTTTCTGTCAGAGTCTCTACCATCTCCTCTGCCCCCAAAGCTGCATCAACCTACAAAAAATATAAAAATGACATCACATCCACCTACACAAAAAATAGAAATGTCATAACATCACATCCACCTATAAAAAAAGATAGAAATGTCACAGTGACATCACAATCAGTTACACAATAAAAACAGAAATGTAAACTATGACCTCACTTCCACCTGAGATATGTCACAAATGTCACAGGTACCAAAGTCACAATGACATCACATCCATCTACAGTAAAACTTGCTTATAAACAAGTCTAGCGGAAATTAATTTTTAGTTCCTTACAACTAAATTTATTTATATTTATATCAGAATGAGTTTTGATATAAGGGATGGGGAAAAGATACAACTTCCCTATAAAGAAGAATTCCTTATCTAAAATAAGGGAGTTTTAACTCTACACAGATAGAGTATTTTTATTTCCGACCTGTGACCTTTGACCTATTTTTTACTTCTGACCTGACACCTTTGACCTATTTTTATTTCTGACCTGTTATCTCTGACCTATTTTTACTTCTGACTTGTAACTTTGACCTATTTTTATTTCTGACCTATAACCTCTGACCTATATTTATTTCTGACCTGTGACCTTAGGGCTGGGATGATTAGGGGTTCAATTGATTCCGTTCAGTTTTGGTTCAGAATGATACGGTTCGGTTTTTTTTGATTCGGTTCGATTTAACCTTAAACAATCCAAATATTTCTCATTATTAATGAAAAATAATAATCTCTGCTTTATAAACTGATTAAACTCCTTTACTTCAGTCCTCACAAAAACTTTTCTGAGACACTAACAAGTGGGGATAGTGGATTTGATATTTTTACTGGCAAAAGTAAAATTTCTACTAGCCCAAAAACATAATAAAATTTGAAACTTTTGTTGTATTTAGTTATTTTATTCCATCTACATTTCATTATGAATTGCTCTTCATTTTTCTTCTGCTTATATTTCTCTATTTGCATCTTCTTCTGAGTCATTAATAAATAAATAATCAGAGAAATTATTTAATGCTGAATTTAATAGAATGAAGAATCATGTTTTGGATACCTTCTAACATAGTAGTATACATTTTTTTCTGATCATTGGACTTCCTCTTCCAAAATGAAGTGAAAGCTAGTGATTTATTTTTTTAATTCAAATTATCAAATACAATGTTAATATATTTTTATTACCCTTGTAAATATTTACTTTTCAGTGAACCAGTTGAGTAGTTGGAAATAATTTAATCAATTAATGTGATCCCTTCATGTATTTTCCATAAAATCGGGATGGAGGAAATTTGGATTAGTAAAAAAAAAGATGATCTTTTTCATGGTCTTTAGAAATAAATAATGTAGAAGTGCTAAAAGAATTAGATAGATGACATTTATGAACAAGAGAACCACACTTCTTTGATTTTTTTCATTGATTTGGGATTTAAAAGCAAAACTTGGAAAATACCTGCTACTTTTTTCACTAGCCAGTCGAGCTATTTACTAGCCCATAACAATATAAACTAACCTCTATTGCAAAAGGAAAGGACATTTGTGGAATTAAAAAAAATAAATCACTGACTTCAAACTGGCACAATCATTATAAAAAGTATTGAAATCATGAAAACAAACAGTGAAACACTTCCGATCTCCAATTGGTGGCCATTTTTGTTTATACATGTTATGTAAATTTTGAACCAAACCGAACCGAATTCCGGAATTCTGGATCAGTACACCGAATCAAATAGTATGAACGGCGTTGCACCGAAATTTTCAGTGCACCGCACAGCCCTATTTGACCTGTGACCTATTTTTATTTCTGACCTGTTCCTTAAGGTCAATCATCTGCTGGGACAGTTGCTCCACCTCTCCCGCGAACCTCTCCTTGTCTTTCTTCAGATTTGTTATTTCCGTGGTAAATTTCTCGTTGGCTTTCGTCAATCTCTGCACTTCCTGTTTCTCTTGGTTTGACAAGTCCCTCATTCTAAAACAAACATGGAATATCCTTACCATGATGCTTACAGAGTTATATTACAAGTAGTTCCCGGACTGTACATTATTTGTTCATTAATTAGTTAAGACATACTTAACGAGGGCCTCTCTCAGTCTCTCGATCTGTTGGTCTTTCTGTTTAAGTTCATACTCTGAGGCTACACCTGATGTCCCTGTAACAAACATACAAACTCAGTCATCAAATAACTTTGTTTAAATGCAGATGTTGCAGCAATAACTTAGGGTATTATATTGCAATTGAAGATTTGGCATTGTTTGTCTATAAATGAATGTCATCTGCACATTGATGAAATATTATGACTATCAGGACTAAATTTTTAGTCTTGATGCAAGTCAAGGTGGGACCTGTATCTTTAAAACTTCATGAAGGATAGGAAAAATGTCATGTAGCTTCTCAAAATAAATTTCAAGTTTTTGTCCAATACTTGTATAAAAACATTAGTTTCTTCTTGTGATATACCTTTCTCGCTGATCTCGTTCTTGAGAATCTCGAGATCCATGGCGAGCTCCTCGGCACGCTCTCGAAGTGTGTCCACCTCCTGTTGAAGTCCTTCTGCCTGTTAAAACATGATTGAAAGTAGATTTATGTTTCTTCTTTAAACAATTGGGAAACAAAGTTATATGTGTCTCCTTGTTTTTTAAATTCTGCAATGCTTGTTTTCAAACATACATGTAGATTACGATAAATTGAATTCCAAAGTCGGAAGTTAAATTCAAATTTATATACAAATACTCAAAACAGAAGAGTAAGAGTCAGTCATGTAAATGGTGTACACATTTTAATAGCGATTCTGTGTAACCACTTAAACTTCTTTGCCATGCATGGTCACCGATTTTGATGAAACTTTGCCCATTATTACAACTTGACACCGGAAACATATCAAACAAAATTTCGTTGCTAAGTGTCTTGGTTGCCATGGTAACAGCCAGAAAAGTTGAAAAAATTGAGATTTTCGGCTACTTTGAATCTTTATTAAGCCTTAATAAAGACTAAGAAAAACAAACAAACCATTCTCACAAAAACATGACACCTTGTTCCCAATTATGCTATAAAGAAACTATTTAGAATTTATCTCTAAGTAAGTGGTAACCATGGGTACATTTGGAATACATTTTAGATGCTGAAAAATGCTGAAAAATGCTCAATATTCACAAATGATAGATGTTACATGATCAAACTCAATCAACAACTTAAAAAAAAACAATAAAAAATATTTGACCTTAAGTAATCAGGTATTGGCAATATTATTCTAAAAATAACTTTCATGGTTGCCATGGTAACACAGTGTTACCATGCAAAATCTGTTGCTATTATTGGGTTAATGCTACTATCTTGAGGAAAAACAAGAAAATTCATGACTGGCACATATACATCCTTAGGACCTTGCAACACCAACAACATAAGAAAAATTGGGATTAATTGTTTTTCTGCAGTGTAACCATGGAAACAACGTACTAGTTGTTTAAAGTGATATACTTCTTGCTGCTTTAGAAATTTACTTACCTTTTAATCAAGAAACATATTATTTGACTAACCTTGAATAGTACTTATCTGGTAGAACTAAAGTTGAATATCATATATTGATAAAGTTTGTTGAAAAATACAACACTGTTGCTATGGTTACCAAGAAGTGAAAATGTTCGATTTTGTTAATTTCATATCAATATTAAACCCTATGTGCCAGCTTTTTGCATCCAGTTAGAGATTGGGTGGTAATCAAAATTGAAAGTCAGGTTAGTTATTCATAAATATCAATCATAAAAGTTTTGGGAATCTACATACAAGGGTACGTATCCAAGGAAACATAATATTTTTCACATTTTTAAGCATATTTTTTCGGTTAATTTCCATAGCAATGCTCTATTTAAAGAATTAAATTTTTGAAATGTGAAAATTAGGGTCACACCAACGCCATTAAAAATTGATCATCAGTTATATAGAAATATGTTTTTTAAAAAGATAGGATAAGATTGAAACACTAAGAGAAGAAATTCAAAATCCCTTCGTGGTATTAAAACCATGACAACCATTTCCAACCCTTAAGAAATATCATATTTCGTCCTTGGCATATGTTTCAAGGATCTTTTGTCTATTATTTGCTTGCTTTTCAACCTATAATTGTTTTTATTTTTAAGTGTATGACTTTTTAAAATTAAATGAACAAAATTATTACTTTTGAATACTTTGTTTCCATAGTAACGTATATAATAGTTGGTTTACCAAACATGTTTATCAAATATTTAAGACACCAGACCTTCAACTTTCAGAAACAGTCATTACCACTTGTTTGCTTTGCCGCAAACGTTAATTGTGGGACTCTGAACATGTTGAAAAATGCCATTTTTCAAACTTTAGGACGGGTTGCTATGGAAACCATGACACGTAGCAACCAATTTTTGCCTGATTTGAGTTTAAGGTATCAAAGACTTTCATCATAGAGAGTTTGGAGAAATTCTGAGACTATGGGTGCCACAGCTCCTATATAAAAGTTCAAGTCATTACAGAGAATGGCTCTTAAGAGCTGAATTAATATTTTGAAAAATTTAGTGTTGCAAATGTTATTATTTATCAATAAAAAATTGCCCTCAAACTAAAACTTCTTTATGAATCTCATATACAGATTTATACAAGTACCTGTTAATTTTTGACTTAATATATACCATTTATCATGTGAGGCTCATGTTCAGACACCACATATACATGTACATATCAGGGGGTTTATTTAACAGAAATTTTTTACCTTCTCCTCAGCCATTTCTTTATCTAGTGTCGCTATTTCTACAGTCTCCGCAAGGTCAGACATCTCGTCTTTATAACGATCAAAATTCTCCTGAATGTCCTTTGCGTCCTAACAAAATCACAAACCATATCCAACGGTAATTCTCAATATACATGTAAATCTCTTAAAAAACTGAAAACATAGATTACATAAAATTCAACAAATTTAAGACCAACAGCTACCGTATATACTCGCCTATAAGTCGGTTTTTTGGGAGTTAAACTTTGGTCCAAAACTCTTTATCCGACTTATACGCGAGTTATAAAAAGATTGGTATTTCAGTTGGTCAATCCCTTTAATTTAAGCTTAAAAAATACTAGCGACTTATAGGCGGACCGACTTATAGGCGAGCATATACGGTACATTTAAACCTCAGATCTTAGACTGAATTCTACATAGCAAAAAAAGAAAAACATAAGTTGTGATGTTCTTTTAATAAAATTAAAAGTACACTGTATTTACTAAATATACATGACTGTGTATTGTATATTACAGGAGATACAGGTAAATATTTAGCAGTAATCAAACAATTCTTCTCATCTGATCAGGCTAATCTTTTTGTCCTTTTCTGATAAAATAACTGGTTTTCGTTTTGTATTTCTGATAAAATAATAATCAGTAAGATAATGTATTCCTTTCTTTGGTTCAGCCTATTTTCTGAACTGTTTGTCTTACCTTTTTAGCTGCCTGGAGCTGTGTCAGTGATTATGATCTCTATGTCATACCTTTTTAGCTGCCTGGAGCTGTGTCAGTGATTATGATTTCTAGGTCGTACCTTTTTAGCTGCCTGGAGCTGCTGTTGTAAATCTTTCTGTGTTTCCTGCATCTTACTTTTGTATTCTTGGAGCTGTACAAAAAATCAGAGCAGAGACTATAACCAGTTGGAATTTTCTACTGACAAATCAGAAAACAAAGACTGATTTATGACACTATTTATATTTTTTCTTTCCTTATAAAATCATTAAGACTACATTATAAACATTTTATGGATTCTTTTAAAGATTTTTAAAGATCTTCATTATCAATCTCTGATATTTCACTAAAAATTATTCGGTCATTTTAGGAATGACTCTAATTCTTGGCCAAATTATTCGAGTATAACCTGGTTTGGGTCAGTTTACGCTTTATAATACGCGAAGCGGATTATAAAACAGCATAAACTGACCCAAACCAGGTTATACTCGAATAATTTGGCCAAGAATTAGAGTCATTCCTTATAATTTAATTTTAGAATCATTAAATAACTATGGGTGTAAATTTTCATTACTTTTTAATAGTTCAAATTTGCCGCTCAATAATACAACCGTAGTAACGGAAGTAACGGAAGTGATGGGAATCGAGGGGAGGTAAAAACTGATACATAGGCCTAGCAGCCATGTTGGTTGTTTACATGTGGTAAGATCGAATTATTGTTTGAAATTAAAGGTACATTTATTAGATCTGGAATTTTCCATGAATCCCGAGGACTGGAAATCATCTGTATGGATACAGATGATTCAGCTGGTTGTCAGGGGGGTGTGTCCCCATACCAAACCAGGTTATACAGAAATAATTTGTGTTCCTTTTTGGATATTAACCAATCAGAGGCTAGAATACAAACAAAATTAAATTATTAATATTTATATCTCCAATTCCCCATGACCAAAGGAGGGGCTGGTACTGTGGTACATGTTCATCAAGGATATAAGAGGACTAAGTAGCTGAGTAAGGCATCATTGTTCCATTGAGTTTTTTAAAGACAATGTGACTCTATATACACTGTACCTGCTGCAGCTGAATCTTGGCTTTCTCAAACTCCTTCAGTTTAGCTTTATCCTCGGCCCTCTTTATCTTCAGTGTCTCGAGTTTCTCATTGAGATCTTTGATCTCGGCTTTCAGACCCTCCATCTCCTGTAGTTGTTGCAGACTGGACATCTCGGGTCCAGCGCTGAGCAGTGAGCTGTCCAGGGACCGGGTCATGGAGGACAGGTCTGGGATGGAATCCGTCTGGAAAAATGACAAACATTTGATTTTCACAGTTTAAGATCAATACAATGTACACGTATGATGTTTTCTTTTTTTTTATTATGATGAATGTCAAGAGAATGAAAAGGAACATTTCTAAAAAAAAAAAAAAAATCACTTTATTGACATTACCATGTTGGCATACAGTCATGACATAAATATAGGATCTCCCATGATTTGTAGTTGGATATGATTTTTATCCAACGAGTTGTGTGTTTTTTATCCCCGAGCCTTGGCGAGGGGATAAAAACACACAACGAGTTGGATAAAAGTCATATCCAACTACAAATCATGGGAGATTCTTTTTATCCCTTGTTTAATACTTCACAACCATTGTTTTACACTGTTTTATATAGGACTCCACTTCATTTTACTTCATCACGCTAACGCAAAAACCATTGTGACGTCACAACTGCACTTAACTGTGGATTATGAAAAATTTATCCAATGAGTCATATCCACGGGATAAAGGGGTAAACATGGGATAAAACAAATTAACAAGAATAATACATATACAAAGTGACAATAAAATAGAGAGAGAAATTCATAACTAAGCATTGTCTATTACTGGAGATTCACATAGACACCAGAGGGCCTACAATTCTACCATGTAAGAACTCTCTCTGGAATAAGTTACTTTTTATTGTAGTTTTCCTTTGGCATCTGGAATTTTTTCTGACCCATTTGTACCTCTATTTCCCCTTTTGTGACCCTCTCTGGGGTATTTTCTTTCCTCTGGTTCTTCTTCTCTCTGGGATTAATACTAACCTTTCCCTGCATCCCCCCCTTGGTGCCCCTCTCTGCTATTCCTCACCTTTCTCTTGATTTCTGTTTTACTCCTCTGTCTGTGAATATCCCTCCCCCTTCTAATTTCTCTTTATCTCATCTCTGACATTGCTTATATATGTAGGTATTTCTTCTGACTTTCCCTTGAGTGCCTCTCTATGTGATTATTTACCAGTCTCTGACTTTCCCTTGAGTGCCTCTCTATGTGATTATTTACCAGTCTCTGACTTTCCCTTGAGTGCCTCTCTATGTGATTAGTTACCTTTCTCTGACTTTCCCTTGAGTGCCTCTCTATGTGATTATTTACCAGTCTCTGACTTTCCCTTGAGTGCCTCTCTATGTGATTATTTACTTTACTTTTCTCTGACTTTCCCTTGAGTGCCTCTCTATGTGATAATTTACCTTTCTCTGACTTTCCCTCTAGTGCCTCTCTGTGTGATTATTTACCTTTCTCTGACTTCCCTTCGGAGTGCCTCTTTGGGATTCTGCCAGATTCTCCTCACTAGGTGTCGACTCTCGACTGCTGCTCTCACGTCCAGTTTTTGGCCCTGGTAACCTTGACATTGACCCTCGACCTTTAGGGGTTGAGAGTCCACTACCAGTACCAATTTTTGAAAGGTCAGAGGGCACACTGGGGGCCTTCTTAGGGGTCCCACTTAAATCTGCCAAATTCTCAGAACCTGTTCAAAAACATTTCATATCAAAAGTATATTACTCTGAACAACAAATAATAGTCAAATTGATATTTTCACTAAGATTTATACTCTGAACTATAGGTTTACAATTATAATTTATTCCTTTTTCATACATTGTCAAAAATGTATTCAATAATATCAAACTCGGCAACTTGTTGTTGTCTGCACAGAGCTGAACTATTTCATTCAAATAGCCAAATCATGCTATATATAGTTTGTGTATGTACTGGCCATAAGAATGAAAAGAAATGGTTAATTGATATGTATATACCCAGTTTCATTAAGAAATGAGGCTTCTTCTATATGAGGTTACTTTTGAAACTGTACATGCATTATGTAAAATATATAATTCAAGATATGGAATGACATGAAATTATATTAATAAAGATATTCTGCTTATACTAAGCTACAAAAAAATTGCAAGAAATAGAATTTTCCATACACACAATATAAAAATACATCTAAGACATTTTAATGTGTTGTACTTCTATTGTTGAAATTAACTGATGTCTGTAAATGGTAATGTTACTATGATCAATATATGATCAATATATGATGTTGCTTTTTTATGTTTTATATCACTGATCATAGATAATTTGATTTCCAAATAAATTTAAATAATTCCTTTGAAATATATATACAAAATCAAGATAAATGCAGAATGTGATTTTTATTTATAGTACATATTCAGTGTATATATATTTGAAAGTCCATTCTGAGAAGAAAAAAAATCAACCAACATTTTCTCATTATCACTTACGCTGTCGAAATCCTAAAATATATTGACCCATAATTAAATTACATGGGTAAGTCATAAAAGGTTAATTACATTGTAATTTGTACAAACAGTTCACTGAAGCCTGTAACAGAGTATCCAGAATCAATCAGAATTTATTGATATACACGTAAATATCTAAATCTATTTAATGACACATTTTGTTAAGCATGCAAGATTAATTGTCATACATGCATCATTGTTTTTAAAGCAGAAATTGAATGAATTTTTTTTATATTTTACTGCAATAACAAAGAGCAGTTAATCCTTATTTTTAATTATCACTTCAAATTACATTTCTTAAAACAAATACATTTACTTGTCAGAGCTTTCAAAAATTTTAGGGATATTTATTCTGCAGGCATTAAATGTCAAACTCACAATATTTAAACAGATGCAAACATTCACCATATGCAGCTACATATATATATGCTTACTTTTGCCAGCATAACTTGGGGGTCGGAGTGCTGATTTTTTTGCTGAGGAGGTTGATGGAAGTTTGCTGGCAGGGGTCGACACCGGTGTCTTTGGTCCAGGTCCTTCATCCAAGATTGTAATCTGTTAGGAACAATAATCTATTAACTACACACATAATTTTTGTCTGTGTCTATGTCTGTGTCTATATCTGTGTCTATGTCTGTGTCTATGTCTGTGTCTATGCCAAAACCAACGATGAGTGAACTTATATTAAAAATCAAATTCACTACATACAATAATTTTGAGTAATAGTATTGAACTTGAAATTGTGGAGGCCAAGACAATGATTTATACATATCTATATTGACTTCTGAAGTATTACAGTGATAAAATCCTGATCAGAATCACTGACAGTGAGACAAAGGTGTGATGGAATATGTATCTGGGGCTGTTGAGAAATATTCTGTGATTCGGGTCCCACTGCTGACAGGGCTCTCACACCACTTTTTGGGACTGGGGTCGGGGCCTTTCAAATTGGGAAAATTACCATCATTTGGGGGAACATTGGAAAAAAATCTCATCAAATTTTGCTTTTCTAGCATTTTGTTATTTAATTCTGGTTTTGAATAAACTGTTAAACAGAACAAACATGGGTAGGCTATTAATGGAAGTACATTGGCTTTGTTCATTACTAACTTTGAGTGTTGAAAAAGTGGTTATTTGTCTCTCAGAGTGAAAATCACTAGTCACATCCTCCTGATTTTCCTTGATCACATGGTCATCGATGCTTTCAGATTCAGCTTGAGACTGATTGGTGGGCATGGTGCTTGGCGCAACTGACTGCTGTTTAAATAGAATGTCTTTTTTTGGCTCCTAGATGAATTTTCTTGACATTACCTTAATCCGTAATAACAATAACCTGGTTCCCCAAACCAGTTTACTCACCTATATGTGGTGTGAACTAATAAATGCAATTGTACGCAGAACTAGTTAGTTTCACTTTCACTTGTAAGTGTTTGGGGTTTTTTGGCGATAGTTTCATCGATTATAATTTTAGAAAAATATTTTGCTATAGAAAATTAGAAAATTTTCACCTTTCTTTTGCGGAAAAAGGTACCTTTTTTGCATTGGGAACGGGGCCGTTCAACGGCCGAAATTATAGAGAATCGAGAGCCCTGTCTGATAGCCTGACAAACATCTTAAGGATGAAATCAAACATTTAATACAAACCTGTGACTGCCTCACAAATATTCCATGATTTGGTTCACATGTAAAATATGTCTTCCCCTGCACTGTTCCATTGTTCTTTCCTTTCTCTTCATCCAGAACGACACCAATCCACTTACCTAGAAACAGTTAATGTATAAAAGACAAGTTCACATCACATCAGAAATTCTGACTATCAGAGGAATAAACCAATCCATTTACCTGACTATTTTCACTATTAAAATATATAACAAACAAGTTGAAGTTACATACGAAAATTTGACAATCAGGGGAAAAAAGTATGCACAATGTCCCTCCTAATACTGGTAAAACAGTCCTTTTAAAATTTCTAAATTTGTACAAGTCTATAAATCATTTTCATCTACAACAAATCAAGTGTATTATCATGTTGATTATATTTACCGCTAGAGAAAAGTGTGGTGCCGACGTAAGCCACTGATCCTACCAGACCTTTGTCTGTCAGCTCGACTCGAGTTCCAACTTTGACAGACTTACCGTCTGCCATCGTCAATTCTGAAACAGAAATAGTATCATGTGTCTGCAACATAAATATTACAGTCCCTGAAACGTTCTACTTTCCCATTTTTCCGTTCGCTCACCGTTCGTTCACCGTTCGTTCAGCGTGCGTTCACCGTTCGTTCACCGTGCGTTCACCGTTCGCTCTCCGTTCACAGTTTTGCGTTCACCGTTCACCGTGCGCTCGCGTTCACCGTTCACAAAGCGTTCAGCGTTCGCTCTTCGTTCCGTTCACTTTGCGTTCACCTTGCGTTCAGCGTTCACCTATCGTTCAGTTTTCATTGCCATTCGGAACTCCGAAGTGAAAGGACTTATCTTTTTGTAGTTAAGGAGTTACAGTTTTTTTTTTTAAACTAACATATCGTGTTTGAAGAATCATTATTTCATGAGGAAAAATATCTACGATATATATTTTTATTATTTTAACTTAGCTGTTAGGTTATTTATTAAATTACTCTGGAAAATAAATGTTGTTACAAGCATGTACCTATGTAGAACGATGCTGAAATATTAAATTTAACTAAGGGCAATGTGCAAATACTTCAAGCACTGCAACATTTTGTTGTTTTGTTAAAGACGACAAATCATTAATGGAGATATAATTATTCAAGTCAAATAATTACGCAGCAAAATTACGAAAATATTTATTTCTAATACATTTTTTTTTTCAATTACTACAGAAAATAGAATAGAACTAGTACTAGTTCTGAGAGTTATACATAGTACTGCGGATATCCTGTTAATTTATTATCTTTAGAACGAATTGAATTGATAGTGTGGTTAAAGGAAATATTTATTTAAAATGTAATGCACTACAGAATTTCTCTACTGTAATATGTAAAGTATATAGTTATAGAGAAAAAAAAAACTTTCTTCACCGTAACTTAATATGTTTGCTAATCGATATGATTAATACCCCCCCCTTTCCCCCTAAATCGATGACTTAGTCAGTACCATATTTCCAGAATGTTTTAATTAACATTTAAAAAAAGCTACGGTCTTTTTTAGAAAAAAAATTTCAGTCTCAAAACAAACATGCATCTAAAAAAGTCACAAAACAATAGTAGATCAAAATGTACATGTGTCGGCGGTGGTATTTGAAATTGGCAGAGAGTATGTTTCACATTCAAGTGTTAATGCCTAATGTATTTTATTAATTTATTATTCAAATGTTGGAATCAAATCTAGAAATGATAAAAATAAATGTTATAACTTGTTGGAAATACTCGCACTTCGTCTTCGATGTGACGAAACTTTCACACCTGCACAGTGTCGAATGATTTTGATTGACAGGACAAGCACGTGGACTTCGTGTGAACTTGAAGCAGGAAAATAAAAAACAAGTATGACTGTCAAACAAATGACTGTCAAACAAATGGATATGATTTGTTGATAAAAAAAAGTTACTTTCACTGTCTGATATATTTAGAAAAAAATTTCCGAGTTTTTGTTTGATATAGGTACAAACATTTGGTGAAGCCTGAAAGGAGGGGGGGGGGCTAAAACTGAATATTACTCTCTCTCTCTCTCTCTCTCTCTCTCTCTCTCTCTCTCTCTCTCTCTCTCTCTCATTTGTCTGTTTAATAAAAACTATAACACCATATTACTTAAATATCAAGTTCTATAAATTGAATTTATAACAAATAATATGAATATGTATTTTTGTATCATCATGATCTTGTTCGAGTATAATCACGGCCATCTAGAGATGCATGTAGACGTCTGCTCAATAAATCATAATGAAAAATAGAAATGACACATAATATATTATTGTTTTAAATGTTTAAAATACGAGCGTATAAATGTAATTAATTTTTTTTCATTACTTTACACGAAATCGCCTTGACACGGAGATATATATATATATGAATATAAGTTACAACCGCTTTAATTCATTCTTTAAATCATAAGATTTCTCTGATTTGTTATCAACTAAGAATAAACATTTTTATTTTCCAACTAAAAACAATATCTTTTATACTTCAGCGTTCGGCAACAATTGCAATGTTTTAATGCTATAAAAAACGTGTGATTAAAAAACTTAATGTGCATGCATCGTCTTTCTGAGGACAATTTTGGAGAATTTATTTTATTGACTTAATTATTCATTCATTTATTTGTTTACTTATTTATTATTATTATTTTTTTTTTTTTGGCACCTGACATTATAATACAATAAAATAATTTCAATGCAAGGAAAAGATCAGAGGCATTCCGAATATATCGTTCATCTTGCGTTCACCGTTCGTTCACCGTTCACTTTGCGTTCGCGTTTGCGCTCCGTTCGCGTTCTGCGTTCGCTCACCGTTCACCGTTCACACATCGTTCACCAAGTTGCGTTCAGCGTTCACACATCGTTCACTCACCGTTCGCTCTGCGTTCGTTCAGCGTTCGTTCACTGTTCGTTCAGCGTTCGCTCACTGTTCAAGTGGGAAAGTAGAACGTTTCAGGGACTGTATATGATTCATTTGGCTGGTGAAGATTAAATCAGCTAGTGAGTGCCACTGCCTTATATCAAGGTCATATCTACAAATAAAATAGGAAGATAAAAAAAAATGCCATAGACACCATATTTATATGGTAAACAAGCCATATGTGTAAAGGAATTGCATCTGACTTGTAATATTTCATAATTTATATGATTTTCAAACATGCTGAATGACTGATATAGAGTAGGGGAGGGTTGTATGAGCCTGTCCACAAAGTACCTATGATAATTTACTGGTCTTCACCAATTTTAGGGTTTAAAAGCAGCCTTTGTCATCCAGTTTGGGATTAATTCTACATTGAAATGACTACAATTTAGAATGGAAACTGTTCAGCATCAGTGAGTGACTCAGTCTATTTGGCTAATTTGGGGTCATTAAAAAACTTCATATCGTTTATTAAAAACAAAGCAATAACATGCATCATGCACAGACTTATAAAACATTAGAAAATATGCCTGTTACTTACAGGAATGTACACGCTGATGTTTCTGATACGAGTGATCAATTTAATGATGGATCGCATGAATTCATCTATGCGAGACCGCTCATATCAGTGAAGATAATTTTTTTTTCATCACTCTTTAGCAGTTTTGCCCGTATTAATAATTTGTCATAAAAGTATTTTCAAATAATCATATCGCCGATATTATCATAAATTATCCGCCTCTTGTCTTCAGTGTATATTTTTCTAAATGTTATATGGGATCAAAAAGCGGCTCTGATGTGTTTTGTGCCAAGGCATTTCGACCCGACGTCCTTAGTACCAAAATTTTAGTTTCGATGTCGTTTTAAATTACGCTTATTATCTCTGCAATCGTTACTCATTTAATTTTGTTATATGACTGAACAATTCCTAACTCTCAGATTGGCTGAGACCAAACACTGCAGAAAAAAAATACTTTATGTTTACCTGTAAGTACATATGTACGTGATCTTGCGGGTGAACATAAGGATTTGTTTTTTCTACATTGGACTTAAAACAGATTGAAACCTACCAAATCGATACAAATAATTCTAAAAATTTATTTCGATTGCACCCGACTTCAACTCAGCTAAACATATTCAGGTAAATAGAATAAGGGGGGGGGGGCTATTTTTCTGAACGTAAATTCTTACTATTAAGAAAAATTGGAAGATTGGAAGACTGGTTGCCCACCCCACCCCACATTCTGATACAGTATAGTCAAATCGTATGTTAATGAACCATACCCTCCCCCTCCCTCGAAATAAAATTTGAGATTAGAGAATTCTCCTCTGTTGGGGGGGGGGGGCTGGGAGTTTAAGATTATTTCAGGTAAGTTGTCAATTTTTTTCCCTTATCAGCCCCCCTCCAACGTACAGAGATCTGTATTTTAATCAGATTGGTTTGCACCTATAATAGATTAAGAAAATCCAACGTGTTGTGGTCATTTTAACCCCGCTTCTCTCATTGCATTTGGCTAGGACTTCAGCAAATTTGAACTAGATGGCATGGATTGCTTACCGAGTTTGTATGATTTAATCGTATAATTTAAAAAATATATTGCTGGGGTTTTTTTTTAAGTCAATACAATGATTTAGCATCCTTCGAAGTACAATATTCACCTCGCCTTTCGGGCTCGGTGAATATTGTACTTCTCTGGTATTGACCTCAAAACAGCAATAATTGTATAATGTCGATTTCTATAGCTTTAAAATCCCACTGGGCATGGAATAAAAAAATACAAATAAACTCGCCGAAGAAGCAAACTTTTGGGTGGTAAAAAGTAAGTTAATAATAAAACTTTAGTTAATAACTTTAAAATTGTATACAAAATTGATATTTTACCTTCTCCTTCAGAATTCATTGCATGGCATTTTCGCTCTAGGAAACAGATGTCTCCTATCCACGCATTGTTAAATAGCAGTCGGCCATTTCACCTTTATGTGGCCAAGCATTATCAGCTATTATCAATAAACTGGTCAATATCAGGCGCGGATCCATTGACATACTCATGACATACATAATCCCATCTCTGATGTTTTAGAGGTTCGTGTTTGCTATATACTCCCCAATGGACTTCTGAGCTTGATTACTGTTCGTTATCGTCATATTTCATGCATTGGTCTCATTGACTGCATACTGTGTTATAATGCTCTTTTTAATACATTTTAATTTTGAACAACCCCTTATTTATTTATTTGTTTAGTTTTCTATGAAAGAAGGGGAAGAAATATGTCCATCTCCAACTAGTTCTAATTGTAACGGAGACCGTACGATATACTGAAATGTTCCCCCAAACTCCTTTTTTGGGCCTCATTCCCTATAAGCTTCATTAAATTTGGCAAAATCTCTGTATTATAGACTTATATACAACTTATTTTCAGGGGTATGTAGGGGGTGTAATAATGCACATGTAGCAGGCTAATCAGATTTCAGTGCATGTGCATGCACGTGATTCCGATAATCACATATTATACATCATCTCAATGACATGGTTTCATATAATATAGAGCTACATTTTAGATTTCAAAGAATTCCACTGAAAGCGTAAAAAGTTACAGCAACCTGAATATTGACCAATCAGAATCCAGCTCATGTGCATGCGCGTGTTTTCAAGAATTTCCGTATGTATAACATGTTGTAAAACTTATAATATATAAATATATTTTAAATTTCAACGCATTTTGTCAAGAAATTCAAAAGGGAGCTATTGAGATTTTCGATTCAGCCAATCAGAGCAAAGCGCACGTGTATGCACATGAGTTCTTGCTAGTTTGACCATGTCATCTTGTGTAAGCTGCTAATATATATCTTTATATTCTGAGTTGCAAAAAATATAAAACTTACGCCTATATCAAGTATATATATTTATTTATCATTTCACTCACTGCACACGCGCCACATCTGCTTCATATATTTGGATGTTTTACTGACTATAGACGATAAGAGCCAACTAACAACTAACTAAAATTGTATGACAAACTTTGGCTTTTCCATCGTCAGCTTTCTTATTTATTTAGTAATTTTCCACTATCACCTGCATAACTTATTCGACTGCATGAATCATATCTAAGTGCATGCTTTGAGTACGATCAATTTTTAAACAGGGTACTGACAGATAAGTTGATGTTATAGGGATTTCAACAAACTGGTTTGGAGTCAGCATTTCGTAAAATCTATGGCCGATATAATGACCTTGTTAGCAAATGTAACCTATCGTTGGGTCGTATTTTGGCTGTCTTAATTCATACAAATTGTTAGGCCTTTGTTTTTATACTTAATTTGACTACGGAATGTTCCATCTACCTTATCAATACATATATATGGCTCATGGCGGGTGTGACGGGTCAACATGTGACTAACTCCTCCTAAGCACCTGATCCCACCTCTGGAATTTCCGGAGGTCCGTGTTTTATGCCCTGTTCACGGATTTGTATTGTTTGTTGATTTTTTAAAGATCGACCACTGCTCGATCGTTATCTTCGCCTTTTTCATTATCTAACACATAAATCATAAGTTTAATTCAAAGCTAAAATTTCAATTAACTTGTAGTTATAAGGTTTTGCGTTACTTTATAATTACCATTATAGTAATAAATTATATAGCTATAAAATGTTTATTTACTCTGTACATGTAATTATAAATAGATTAGTTTGGGTAATTTATTTGGAAAAAAAAATCACTGTATTATGAATCATTTTTCTACCATTCTAACTCCAGAGTAAACTGAGTGTAGATAAAAGGAACAGGGCAATGTCAAAGGGATGGGGTCAAAGATAACAATGTAGTTTCCGCATATCGAGAGAGATTCATTTAAATTTGAAAAGTCACTTTTCAGGGTCGTTGAATGTTATTCTGGTCTACATTGTGATGAATTTGAGTAAGAATTGACATATTGTGAATATGGACTGATGTTGAGCCACAGTATATGAATATAAAGGTGGACAATTTAAAGCTAGATAGAGTAAAGAGCAGGATGATATTCTTATTATTGAACGAAATCAAGACCTAGCATAGGGCTGGGAAGACCTAGCATAGGGCTGGGGTTGGGCTGCAAGCCTAAAGTAGGGCTCAAAGTTTTACAATGGAGCAATGGGGAGGGGGTTAAAATCTTTTCAATGATGGACAAGGTCATCGTTAGTCACATTAAAATACAGACATCCTAATCAAGAGAAGACTAAAGTTTAAATTCATGGCCTTTGTAGTATCATTTATCTTTGTATACAAAAGATAAAATCGGGATGCACATTTTTGAATAAAAGTCACCTACTGATATTATTATGAACACGATAATTTCATTTTAATTTGCATGATTTGGCCATACAGGTGGGCGTTGCAGCTATACTGTAGTCAAGAAAGAAGACAAAACCAGAAATATTTACTGTGTCTTTAAATGTGTTACCATTGGAGAAAAGGCAAGACAACGCAGAACAAGATTCTTAATATCTTTGGTGTGAGGTAATATAAACTATATACAAGCAAAAGCATTATGATGCAATTTAACAATATATTACATTGAACTTTATAAATGAAAAGTGTATTGCAATGCTGCAATGAATTAAACCTTGGTTTTATATTATACCCGGTATTACAGAGACGTAGCGCTAGCATCGTTTTAGGGGGGCAGAAGCCAGTTAATTCAAGTTAACTGGAAAAAAACTTGACAAGGAAAAAAAAAAATGGGGGCGGGGGGGGGGGGGCGGGCTTCAATGAACATTTTCAATAGTAAAAAGTTATGTCTGGAAAAAAGTGGGGAGGGGAGGGGGCAGGCTCCCCCTGCCCCCCCCCCTTGATGTTACGTGCCTGTACATGTATTATCAACATATAGTAGAATTTCTCTGTATGACAACCTTTCGATTTAAAAAAAAAAATCGACGATAGAAGAACAAAATGGCACATGAATGATGGGCGTTTCCTTAGTGGGTCACATGAGTCAAGGTTTATCTTCCTTTTGAGACAATCTGAACAAATACTTTACACCAGTTTTTGTTAAGTTTGTGCCCCTGAGCTTTTATTCGTATTTGTTCATGATGAAACTAGTAACCTGTCGAGTTTGTAGAGTGCTTCCATGTCATAAAAGGTCGGGGGGGGGGGTTATCCTTGGGTGCCGTTGAGAAAGTTACAGTAGTAATACTATGATGTTTTCATTACTCATATTGATTAACATTTCATTATACTTCATCGGTGTGTGTCGGCGAGAATATAAGCAATAAAGGAGTGGGTTAATGTAATAAAACAATTCTCTCTCTAGCTTTCACTATAACTCTCACTCTCTCTCTTGCCAGTATAATCTTAGCCAGAAGAACCACTTGTGTTTGGTGGATTTTGACACTGTAAAACATCAATACCTTAAAAATTATTGTATACTAAGTAATTTGTTTATTTTTTCTTGTTTGAAACTTCTCACATACATGTATACTATAATTCTAAAAGTTTCTAAACATACATTGTAAGTTATAGATTTGCGTGTACTTAAGCCCCGGGATCCAAACGTTGTATAAGCCTAAGCTGCAGTGATTAAAAATGCTATCTATCTGAGTTTGCATGGTACAATAAAATATCATTCGGGAATGTTTGATGCATTTTACAATAAAAGAAAAAAGTTCTGAAATTAAGCTTAGGCGTTTTATCAAAATCTAAATTTGTCATCATAACATCTAATCTCAGATTTTACAAAGAAGACAACGATACATATAGAAGACACCAACATCAAAAGAGGGCAACAGATGGACAACACGATTTTTAGATAGAGTTTGTAAGAATAACAGAGTACGAAATCAACAGAGGACAACTTGAATACAACAAGACCTACAGAGAACAACTAGAAGATATCTGCAACAACAAATGACAACAAGAACGACAGAGAACAACTAGAAGATATCTACAACAGCAAATGACAACAAGAACGACAGGGACAACAAGATGATAATAAGCGGACGATAAGGGACGAAATCACAGAGGACAACTTTAGTGATAAATACCTCAACACAATACAAGAGCAACAAGGTCAACGAGAGCAACAACTGAAAAGAACCACAGAGGACAACCAGAGCAACAAGGGACAACAAAAACAACAACTGATGACAAGAGCAACAGAGGACAACAACAAGAAGAGGACAACTACTACAACAAAAAAGGACAACAAGAACAACAGAGAACAACAAGAAGAGAACAACAAGAACAATAAAAGACAATAAGAACAACAAAGGACGACAAGAACAAGAGGACAACAAACATAACAGGCCACAAGAATAAGACAGGGCAACAAGAACAAAAAAGGACAGGAGAGCCATAAGAGAAAAAGATCTTTAACAGACCTAGAGGAAGACAAGATCACAAGATCATCAGAGAATTACAAGTCCAAGAGAGGAGAACAAGATTATCATCAGTGTACAACAAGACAAAGGACAACAAGAACACAACAAAATCAAAAGGAAAACAATTCTAATTGAGGACAGCTAACAAAGGACAGCACTCACAGAAGACAACAAGAGCACAACAAAACCAACTCAGAACAAGACCAATACAGAATAAGACCAACGGGGAGAATAAAACCAACACAAAACAAGACCAATACAGAATAAGACCAACGGGGAGAATAAAACCTACACAAAACAAGACCAATACAGAATAAGACCAACGGGGAGAATAAAACCAACACAGAACAAGACCAATACAGAATAAGACCAACGGGGAGAATAAAACCAACACAAAACAAGACCAATACAGAATAAGACCAACGGGGAGAATAAAACCAACACAAAACAAGAATAACTGGGGAGAACAAGATCAACAGAGAACAAGTCAAGAAAGGACAAGAACTATAGGGAATAAAAACAACAAAGAATAATTTAAGAACTTCCGAAAAATAAAGAAACACAGAAAAGCTCAGTCAAGTGTTCTGGAGGAATGTAGAAAGTGCAAAATTTGTAAACTAGATTTGTATGACACACGTCATGAGTTAGTATTTTACTGCTTGAAATATGGAGACATTAATACCAGAGCCCTGTGTGAGACATACAGCTAAAGACTATGAAATCTGGTGTATGTCCTGTGAACTTCCCCTGTGTAAGAGTTGTTCACCAGAACATGGAGACCATACTATAATGAATATCCAATTAGCCCTATCACAGTACAAAGAAATTAACAGAAAAAAGCTCCTTAGCGTCAAAAATGTCATTTTGCCGAACGCTCGCTCTCTACTTTACTCAATCAAATCCGAGAAATACATGGTAGAAAGTCATAAAATAAAAATTTTCAACATCCGAAAATACATGGCAAGCAGAGCTCAGAGTCTGAAAGATGAGATAGAAAAAGTGCTTCTCGACCGAAAATCAAAAGAAATCTACTTAAAAACAAAGTTACAACACACGTATAGAGCAATAATCTAACAAATATTTGACTTGCAGAAGTATATGAAGAGATATGAGCAGTCAGAAAATAGACCAGTGCAATTCTTCCTGTTCCCAAAGAAGACCCCTGTCCCCAAGACAACATTCATTTCTTCCATACTTACCCTTATAACTGCTGAAAACGAAATCAACAAAAAAGATGTGATTGAATCACTAGGAGAGATTAATATCACAGAAATGGGTAAAAGAAAGGTAGGGAGTAGACGACTGTTGAAAATGTCAACAGATTTATCGAAAAAATCCGTCAGAGTGACGGGTGTTCGATTTGTTGACCACATTTCTTGTGTGACGTCCAACCGGATGTGGCTGAGTGATGATAATAATCTAATTTTAGCAGACAAAAAGGATGAAACTATATGTCATCTTACAGACATAGATAGCGACATATATAGTTATGGATTACATACAGTTTCCAACGATGGAGATCTGATATATATAGACAAGGATTCAACCATCAACAAACTAGATAGAGGCATCAAAACAAAATTTATCTTGATGAATATGACAGAAGCATGGAAACCACGTTGTATTTTTTGCTCCCCTTTCAACGGAGATATTCTTGTCGGGATGAAGAAACATGACGCGGATGAAGGCAAAGTTGATCGGTACAATAGCACAGGAAAACCCATCCAAAGCATAATTTACAACACGAAAGGTCGGAATCTGTATAAAATTCCTAGCTATGTTACAGAGAATCATAACGGAGATGTAATTGTGTCTGACCAGGGCCTGGAAGCCGTAATAGTGACAGACCAACATGGAAGGCGTCGCTTTTCTTACACAGGGCCTCCATCTGGATCTCCGCTATCACCTCGTGGTATCTGCACAGACGCTTTTCTACACATCATAGTGTGTGATTCTAACACAAGGACAATGCAGATGATTGACAAGAATGGTCACTTTTTAGAATGGCTAAGGACAGAACAAGATGGAATAAGTATACCATGCGGACTGTGTTATAATGATAGAAATCACCTACTTATGGTAGGATCATGGAACAGCAACACAGTGTGTGTTTACAAATACATTCAGACACTAAAGTTTCTAACAGACAACTAGAAATTTGATCAGTCAGCATGGGTCTTGTCGAGTTTATTGTATCTAGGGGTGGGATTGGAGGTCTGTGACATTGAAATTTCTAATCTTAGCATATGTGACATTATTATTACATGTATATTACCTCAGAATAAACAGCATCCTTATAGCTACATATTGCAGTTATAAAAAGTTTATCAAATCTATATCCCCTAACAATTTTAAATACATTATTAAATGTGCTTTTCTACCAAAATAAACGGTGCTTTTTAAAATGCGAGGTAATTAAAATAATCTTAATGTGACAGATGAAGATTTGACTTTGTTTCATTTGCAGCAGGCAAGATTATTAATCCCAGGGACTGTACTCGGACTAACCGTCCTCCTCTTAAAAGAAAAAAAATACTCTTTGTTTATTCATTCTTACAAAGTAAGAAATTAAACCAGGGCTGGGGAACTCATCTGAATGACATACATAGTCAAGCGTTGTAGCAAAATATTTCTATAATTGTAAAGAAACCAAGAAAATTGGGGGGGGGGGGATTAAAACGATAGTCTAGTCAGTCAAATACATTAACTACAGTGTATGAATGATTCCTACATACGATTCCTGCAAATTACACACCAAATACACCCAACTTTAATGTTTACGTCAGTAAGGTAATCAGATAGATTGACTTCAGCATACTACATATTAGGTTTCCCAACATACTGAACAGGTTACCTAGCATACCCAGCATAATGAACAGGTAACCTAGCATACCCAGCATAATGAACAGGTAACCTAGCATAATGATAACCTAACATATTGAACATGTTAAAGGGGCATGGACACAATTTGGTCAAATTTTATTTTTTCCATTTTTAATGTTTAGAATCCTTTAAGTAATTCTAATGATAAACCAAAATTTGAGTGTCCATTGTCGATTTATATGTGACTTATAGAGCTCAGAATTCTTTGTTAAATAACCAAAGCTCAGGCCATACTTCTTTTTTTGAGCACTGAGTAAACAATACTAGGTTTATTCCTAAAATGTGACAAATGCTAGGTGCAAAACGAACTCATAGATAGCAAAATCTGCTTGAAAAAGAACTTTCACTGGGATATTGAACCAATGTACACAAAAACATGGCACAAACTTTGTTTACATAACAAAGAATTGTGAGCTCTGTATCTTGCTTATGGCTTGACAGTCAGTCATCCACATTAAAATTTTGACTGGCCATTAAAAATACTTTAGTAAAGGACTATAAACTTAAGAATAAAAGTGGTTAAATAAAATTTGATCAAAATCGTGTCCATGCTCCATTAACCCAGCATCCTCAACTAGTTAAACTTCATACTGTGCAGGTAAACCCAGCATAATGAACAGGTTACCCAGCATACTGAGCATCTTAACCATTATTGAGCAGGTAAACCCAGCAAACTTAACCGTAAACCAAGCATACTGAACAGGTTAACTCAGAGCACTGAACAAAAATACAACTTGGTTTACAAACTGTAAACATTTTCAGCCTGATTTAACACCAAATGATATCAAACAAACATTACCCTTTCTTTTTTATTTAAAAAAAAATCATGAATTTTCCATAATTCAACACTGACAAAACATTTAAGAATAAACCTAGCACAACATACATAAGAAAGAATATTGAATACACACATACACACAAACAAACAAAATAAACAAAATGAAACAAAAAAAATCATTACAGCAGATATATATCAATTCAACAGTAACTCAATTCATGTATTGTAAATCATAAAGTCTTACCAATTCAGTAGGTAACCTTTATCAATTAACATAACAGGTAAATCAAAACACAAGGATAATTTAAATAAAATGTCTTCAAAAAATAAAATAGCACTCTCATGTTAAAAGTGTTTCATAAAGGAAAGTACACTGTGGGAAATCAATATCAAATCCCTAACTGGTACGTGTGACATGTGATCATTAATTACAAACAATTCATAAAGCTTATCAGTGGCATAAATAAAATCATATCACAATTACAAATGGATTGTAGAAAACTGGATAATTAACTATAGATGAAGCAAAGGTTGATCAAATACATCAACATCATTCCACGAGTTGTGTCTAAAATTACTTATACAAGCATGTAGAGTGTCCAAAGAAAATACCATATACTAGTTTGATATGAAAGATGATTTACATGTATGTATACTAATAATGTAGTGCACATGAAAATATTTTTCACCTCATTAAGAACTTTCTGAATCATTTGAAAAATAACCAAATAACAAAGTTTACTACTGCATACAAAGACACACTAAGAGATAGAGCTAAATATATTATAAAATATAAATGACATAACTCCTTCCTAAAGACAGGTGAAAATAAAACTAAAATACAGTGAGTCATATGAATATTAAGCAAAATGAACAAGCTTTAGCAGGGACCTATATACTAAGGGGATAGGCAACTCTCGCAAGTCTCGCGATACCTCGTAAGTTGCGGGATTTCGTAAGTCAATTTTAATTAAATATATCTCTTTTGCTATCAAATATTTCAGAATAAAATCTTAATTTATCTATCAAAAAATTATTCAAAATTTGTTATAAGCACCGTTTTTATTCCTTATTTTAGAAGTAATTACGTTTATTTAAAAATCAATGCGTGCCCCTGATCGGCCGTATTTCCGAGAAATCGCCGATTTTAGTGGTTGTTTACTTAATATCTAAATTATTTTATAATATGTGCTTTAAAATTTATTAAATATCCATTCCGATACACAAAAAGAACAGATTACATTAATCAGAAAACAAGCTTTTTACTCGGGAAAAAGTAGTTTGAAAAACTTGCAGTGTTGTGTGTGCCGTTTTGGGTAAATAAACATGGCGCTGAAGGAGTTGCCTATCCCGTTAGTATATAGGTCCCTGGCTTTAGGCTTTATATCAAGAAGATATTAAGAACCAAAACAAAAACAAAACAGAAAGCAAAAGGAGACAGTGTACAACAACTAAATATATAAAGCTAGTGACACTGAAAATGCCATGTAATATAATTACCAAAAACTGTAGGAATACAAATCATTTAAATTGATTTGCATGCATTTTGAAGGAATAAATATTACTTATACTGGTAAGTTTCACTTAGACTATTTTTCACTAAATATCACCATTTAATTGTCTCAATTTTTATTTGTCATGTAAACACATTGATATGAAACCTTGCAAACAAATCATTGTGAGCAGTGTTTTAAACATTTGTTATATACATGTATATTTTCATACATGTGAATAACTTGCATTTCAGCTATCCTGTACTGGAAGCGAGTGTTATAACCTTGTAGGACATTTTTTGTAATACAAGTTTCATAATCTAAAGAAGCTTTAAAATCATGTTATATAAACCTCTTAGATCTAAAGCATAATTTCTATATTATTTTATGTCTAATTTGTCCATTGTTAGACTCAAGACTAAACAACTGACAATTTCATTAATCTATGAGTGTTCTGAATGTCTTTCTTATCGATCATGCATCAGATGTTAATATACATGTACATGTAAGTCAGCACACTCAAAATAAGTGCAATTTTTCTTCTCAACTGGTTAACCTAATCAAAAAATAGCACACTTTAGTCATGAAAACAACATTTGTTTCAAACATGTATTATGTGTACATGAATTATAGGACATGAAGCAGTGGTAAAGGTGCCAAAATAAGTACATCTACTGTATTCCAATAACTGACATCAGAGTACAGACATGATTCCGTTACTTAGCTTCAACACAAACAATTATAAACTAGTGTACAAACAAATTGTTGTAGATTTCCTTTGTTCCTTATCTTAACATTGAGTTCTAATTACATCATTAAACTGTGTAAACTAGGCATGATTACATTAATGCCCACATGTACTATCATAATAATTAAAGCCTGACTTTATTTATCCACACGGTGAATCATTCTTGTCAAAAATCATAAACCAAAGCAAGCTACATATACACTGTAGGTAACGATAACAGTTTGATAAATATACCAATAACATTTAAAATTCAGCACTTCTTTATAACATACATGTAGGTTTCAACGCAACACACAATTATTGACAATTTATAAAACATAACAAAAAACTTCTTTCTACTGGGTAATTAGAACAAAAAGCATGCACATGTATGTTTACAACTTCATTTATACAGGTCACAAGATTTGACAATATTATGACCAAAACATAAAACGGTATCATTATATATATTACATATATTAAAACAGACACAGTGTATATACTAAAGACAGAGATGATAAATCAATAAACTTCAAATTCAGAACAAATTACTTAATATTTACAGTTACGTGTAAATCAGTTCAAATTGTGCCAACTTTCTTTGGATTCAGAGGCAGGTTCTCTGTGCTTTTTATTGTATATATTTGTGGTAAACAATACAATGTTTACAGAGATGACTTGTATGCATTTTAACCTTAATCTCATTTTGAAAGAGACAAAATAAATTAGAAAATTAGGAAAATTGACTTCTGAATTTACAATGATTTAATAATACAGCATAAAATCAATTCAACTTTATCACATTTCATTTTTAGATTTAACATTGTTTCAGGAGATTGTCTAAAAAAAAAAATGTTAACTTCACCCAAGTAAAAAGGGAAGTGACTTTTTTTATTATATAGTGCATGTCTTACAAATTAATGCACTGCTTTTTGTCTTGTGAATTTACTGTACATTTACTTAATCAGTGTACTTAAAACTTATTGCATCTTTGGGTTTATTTAATAATTAGGGCAGTAAGACTTAACACTGTCTGCCTTTTTATTAATCTCTAATCTAATTGTGAGAAGTCTTATTCTGGTAGTGATCACAAGTACTCGATAGAAAACACACAAAGTATTACACCTGTACGAGTCTCTCTAAGATAAGCAGTCTAACTGTAATGCCACACAAATAAGTGATTCACAGATATGATAACAAAGCTGCCTAAAAAGCAATACTTGAAAACATCACACACACAAAATAAGCCAACAGTCCTGTCTTGTACTGCCAACTAAAAACAGCAAAGCTGCATGGAAAGAGTACTAAGGAAAATCTACACAAAAGAAGTAATGGATAAACATAGACTCACCAAGTATGAACACAGTGAAGTCATAGTTATAACACAATAATTCATATTCCTACAGAGGTATATCAGATTGTCTCTACAGTTCTTTGTGTTTATAGGATATCCCTCACATTTCACTAGAGGTAGGCTTTATCTATCAACAAGGCTGACTTAATTTTTCTACATGAGATGACCTACAGTGAGTTCTCAGAGTTTAGTAAGCAGGGCATGGCAAAGCATTTTAATGATTTTACAGAAAACTTAAGTCTAGTGTTTCTCAATAAATGAACACGACTTAACAGAATATTGTACATGCATGTACATGTACATGTATATGGAAAAGATCATCACCACCTAGTTTGTGATGGGACAGGACAATTGTGCTGTACGGGGGGGTTCTCTGCTCTCTCTATAAGTTCTCTCGAGTTGAATCTACATGTATCTTTGTATGACATGAATGAAATTACTCATGATTGCTTTTGTACAGTTATCTTTCTCTACAAGTACTACTTTAATTAGGTCGCTGTCTTGTGTACAAGGGATATCAACTATTGGGAACTCTTTATAATCTTCTTTCAGGAACGAATGGAGCAAGTTCAGTTTATTTTGGGTAGAGATGAGGAGAGGGAGGGGGGTTTGGTTGGTTGGTTGCAAGATATCCATTCCCTAACTGACAGAAAACATTTAATTTTATGAGATTTCATTTTTAAACTGGAATTTAGTGAAGATGAAAATTTTATGGCTTAATGCATATCAAAGAAATTAAATTGATATGGATACTTTCTTGTTCATGAATTACAAACTTCGGACTGTAAATTTGAATCACACCTGTACATATTATTATTATTACTTTCAATGATGTTTTGTTCAATAAGCTGTGAATGGTATAGAAACCAGGTCCCTGGTAACTCAGTTCACTGGCTTGGTGCATGAATTTGGACCCCAGATTCTTGTTGGGCAGTACATGATAATTTTGGCAGTATCTGTGTTTATCTCTGATCTTCTGTTTCCATGGTCACTGTATAGCCATACTTGCCACAGCCAATGAGAAGTTGACACCAGTTGTAATTCCCATCACCAGACAGAAGGCCATGATCATCCCGGCGATTCCAGCGACCTCAGGTTCTACCAGCCTGTCAAGCAAAGGAACATTTATTACATTCAGGCTGCAATAACATCCACTAAGATGGAGCCTCCAACACTGAAAATATAGCCAATCAGTGTGTCCTCTATGTTAATGTATTAATCAAGAGTTTGGGGATGATGACTTCCTTTGGCCCATACTTCATGGTTAGACTGCTATAATAACCACTGGTGAAGGCCAGAAGAACCCCTCCCACAATGTACACGTAATCACTGATTATGTCCCTCCATAGTTAACATAATAATTAGAGAGTGCTTATCACTTACTTTGGCCCATACATCATGGTGAGACTGCTATAGTAACCACTGGTGAAGGCCAGAAGAACCCCTCCCACAATGTACACATAATCATTGTCAATCAGAATAGGGAATGTCCTCACTTTGTTCTCCACCTCAAATCGACAGAACAGGAAGAAAGGAATGAAGAGGCCTCGTAAAAGGACAGGGATCCAGACAAATCGGGGACCAGGCTGTAATAGAATAAAACGTGCAAAAGGAAGGAAAGTATACAGCTAAAATACACAGGGGTCCTGTAATAAAGCTGTTCATCACAAACTTACAATACAGACATCAGTTGATATATACTTATATTGGGATCTCCCATGTTTTGCGATTAGATTTTTTTTGGAGGGAAGGGTCTATCCCCAAGCAATTAACTGGGTAGATACACAAAAACAAAAAAACCTCGTATCCATGTATTTTATATTTCTAAAGCAACATTGCCCAAATCTGGGTTATGTTGATTTGAATAATCTTACGTCATGGTGTGTTGGCAATACTAAATGTTTGCTGATGGTGATTTACGCGAAGTCAGGAATGTCCATGGACTGTACAGAACCCTTTGATATGCTATCAGAATCAAACTTCCTGACCTTAAATTGTAACAACAACCAGAAGTCTCTGACAAGACCGTAGCTCTACTGTAACAACAACCAGAAGTCTCTGACAAGACTGTAGCTCTATTGTAACAACAACCAGAAGTCTCTGACAAGACTGTAGCTCTAATGTAACAACAAAAACTTACAATCTTCTTCCACTCTGAGACAATGTTTCCAAGGAACGCAAATACATTGAAGCTCAGGAAACAGAAAATGGCCGTCCAGTACTTATCTGTAAAACAACAAACAGAACAGTCCTGAGTGACTTCAACAGAATCTCCCTACTAATACCAAGTAATCCAAAAAGTAAAGATGATGTGCAATTATTTAAAGAACAAAATTGTTATTTGTAACTTCCTACTTTCTATTGGGAAATCCTTTTTGGTAACATTACTCCAAATTCCAGGAAATATCGTCAAGGTAACAAAGAAAATGAACCACACACACAGAGCCTGGACCCAGATCTACAAAATAGGTTAAGGTCATTTAATAAGCAGAGAAAAGGAGAATCTTCAAGCAAAATAAAACTGCTTTGGAACAAATTTCTCACCTTTTTGAGGACCTGACCAAACAGAGCACAGGTCTCCTGGAATGACCTTGATGGACCTGAAGTGTTCTGTTGACGCCGCACCATAGCACGGTGATGCTGATAAAATTTCTACAAAAACAAAAAAAAACCACATACCGTATTTGGCTGAATATAATACGCACTTTTTTCCCAAAATAATTTTCTGTGAGAAAGGGGTGGGTATTTTACACCACAATGGGATTTTGATAGGTTTTTCTTTCATGTGAAACACAGCTATCATACGCACACACCGTAGTATTACCTAGAGACTTATGCAATTTCTTGCTGTTTATCGCCGTATTTAAAACTTCGGAAAGTTATTGTTGGAACGTAGGCTTGTTAAAAATGTTATATTTATAACCTTTTGATAGTTAAATTAAATTTAAAAGCAAGTTAAAATTAATTTGAGCTGCATGTTCATCGTCTCCATGTAGGCCACCATTAACAATGTTATTTATAGATGTTCACACATTCCTTTGCCACGTGCTTCCGTAATCATAGTACACATGTACCTAATCTGTCAGACACCGGTCAAAAAAGTAATAAGTCATTTTTTAATGAAATACAATAAAATAAAATTTTTTTTAGGTTTTAAATAACTCAGTAAAAATTCATTTCAACATAAACACCCCTCTATACGTCCCAATGAATGGAAGCCAATGTTGTGAACACGTGCGCTTGTCACTTGATAATTACCCCTCAACACCCCTCCAAGTAATTAAATTGTTTACCAACTCCAAAGCATTGTTTTTACAGTTAGAGCACTGATTATTTACTGCCCTTATTAATGGCTTTGATTACTTTTCTTTGCTAAAAATCGGGGGTTGGTTTATGATCTTTCGTATGTGATTACGACACATTAAACAGTTAAACGCTTGTTAAATGTAATTTTACTTTATCTTATATCGGCCTCGTGTTAAAATGATTGAGTTAAAAAAGGAAATAAGAAGTATGTTGAAACTTAAGTGTTATCATTTACCCGTGCTCTGTAGAAAATAAGATATCTACGAAGATTACCTCGATGTATGAAGACATATATCCCACCTTTGTACATCATTTTTCACAGCTTTGGAGGTGTGTTGAAAACTTTACACGCTTGTTAAATTTTGATTTTATTTTTATAACATCAGCTAATTAATTAATTAATTAATTAATTTCAAGTTCAAAGGAGGAAAATCGTAGTCTATGAATACTTTGATGTTGCAATATCGCTTGCTCTGTTAAATTTACGTAATTTTCAACATGATTACCTTAAACTAAAAATAATATGATAACTGTTAAACTTGCAACAATATCTCGTGCTTTGTTGAAATAAAATTATTTCTACAAAGAATAGTATACGGCGACGTATAATTTCAATATCACCGTATGCTAAAAAAAATTAATAATAAACTCTATTAATTCTTTAATGCAACATTATCTCGTGTTTTGTTGAAAATAAATAATTTCTCCAGATTGCCGCGATATGGAAAGTCAAGATTAAGAAATAAAAACGCATTTGAATAAAATATCGTGTTCTGTAAATTTTCGGCACTTTATCTCCGCGCCGATTTTCATTGCAAATTACCGCGATTTTCAAAAGTTCAGAACACCGCTTGGTAAAATTTTCTGCTGTGTATAATACAACCGAACTGCGTTTTTTCCCCCAGTTTCAGGCTCAAAAAGGGGGGTGCGTATTTTACACCAATGCGTATTATATTCGGCCAAATACGGTACATGTAATACAAAAGATAGAAAATCTTTATGCCTCCAAAACTATAAAAAAAAAATTCAATCCTTATTTTACAGCCAGACACAAATGTGATCTACACTCATAGTAAAACTAACTCACTGTTAAAGGTAGGAGAAAGTATGCATCAAATGCAATCAGCAGGACAGCTATAGCACACACAAAATAGTAGATAGCCTGGGTTCGGGGATCAGGGGCACCTGTCAAAATATATATGTACATGTATGTAAGTATCAAATGCAATCAGCAGAACCCACATACAAAATAGTAGATAGCCTGGGTCCAGGGGTCAGGGGCACCTGTAATCAATGTTAAAATATATATGTACATGTATGTAAGTATCAAATGTGATCAGCAAAACCCACACAAAATAGTAGATAGTCTGGGTCCGGGGGTAATCAATGCAATGTCAAAATACTGTACGTGTACATAAATTGGCGTATTCAAAATTTAGCGCAACCACTGGGTATGGAGCTGTTTGCGAAATCACGAATTAGCGCTACATATGTCCATGCCGTATATTGTATTTATAAATGATTTCTTAGCAGTATTTATGAATTTGCGCATCGTTGTCTGTGCCAAAGCCGCTAAAATATGAAGCCTGTTTTTTTAAGTACACATACAGTATAAATATGTACATGTATTTAAGTATCAAATGTGATCAGCAAAACCCACATACAAAATAGTAGATAGCCTGGGTCTGGGGGTCAGGGGCACCTGTAATCAATGTTAAAATATATATGTACATGTATGTAAGTATTAAATGTGATCAGCAGAACCCACATATAAAATAGTAGATAGCCTGGGTCCTGGAGCACCTGTATTTGAAGCATTGTTAACACACATGTATATAGGCATCTAATGATAAGCAGGAGGGCTATAGCACACACAAAGTACTGTAAATGTATTACATTTGGCTTTGCTAAATCAAGTACAATGCTAAATGTCTTGCACATATACACATAAATAAGAATATAAAGAAATGCGCTAAATGAAATCTACACTAACATATTCAAAAATCAATTTCCGCCAAATATTGTACAGGCTAATAATAGTACATTTACAGTAGTAGATAGCCTGGGTCAGGGAGTCAGGGGCATCTGTGAATGATACAATGTCAATCTCTTATTGAGTTTACATCAACACGATTTGAACCAAAATCATTTCTCTCCTTGAAAAGAGATAAAGTGTTTAATTTCAAACTTAAGTTGGAGGGACATTTAAGATAATAATTCTCATACTTACTGATGATGCAGATGATATTGATGACAGCAATGAACACACCAGAAAAATTCTGTAATTAAAAACAAAATCTGAATACACCACTGTTTAAATTTTTTTCATTTCGACATTTTTATCTAGTTTCTTTACACAAATGTGTTTTGTGACACACAGATACTGATTATAAGAAATAATTTTTTGGATCATACTGACTGAATTTGATTGAAAATCTGCAACAACTTCATTTAATCAGATCAAACATAATGATATCAAATGTGTTCAAAAATGATTCCTCTTGAAATGGCAAATCAGATTTACAAGCGAATTAAGTAAGAGGCAAAATCTTCACATCTAAAAGAAGAATGAGCAATCTAAAACAATGAAAGCCATCTCATTTTAAGCTGAAATACTCCAACAGTCGGTCTTTGAGTGCTAGTATCTGTAGTCCATTCAGCTTCTGTTTGAAAGCTAGGACTTGCACTCAATAGTAACTATTCTGAGAGAAACTATTGGATTGGAATGACCCGTTGAACTTACTGTTCCCAAGACGATGGCATTTGTGTACTTCATGGGCAGTATGGCTGCCAGTCCAAATGTACTGTTCTGGTAAACTCCTGTGGCCACTGAAAATATCGACAAATCATAAAACATGTGTCTCCCAAGTAAAATAAAGGAATAAATGTGACAATCTATCAGCAGTACTCTCAACAAGAATATCATGACAAAATATAGAAATGTTCATATTACAGATACTATCTGTCACAATACAATGTGTATGGAGATGTAATATTTAACAGTTTTATCCAGAAACTAAACTAGAATTTAGATACATGTTCATACATTCCCTATAGACATACATATCTTTACACCCGGAGACTGCATTGTGAGACAATATTTACATGATTATTTTGTTATAACAATTTGTAATAAGCAAATAATCTACTCACTATTTAGTATCAATCTACTCACTATTTAGTATCACAGCTGTCATCATGGTTATCCAGAAAAACTCCACAGACCCTAAGAAAACAAGAATACAACTCAGTTTATTACAGCCTTTGATGGCTGAACAAGCTTGGAATGATTTAAGTTTTTAAGAAAATTCAAATTGAATTTAAAAAAAAAATCATCATGTCCCTATAGAACCATCAAGTGCTTTCTGATGGCTTTCAGTTTGAGACAAAACACAAATTGTGCTCAAATTCATATATTTTTTGTCTCATTATTGTATCCACGGTAACAAGCTTACAATCCGAGGAGTCCACCATAGCCAGGATCACCGTGGTGATAAAGACAACAATCATTATACTGATGGAGATTATGATCCTCCGTGGCGAGGCTTGTCTGGAAACAAAGTATAACTGAGATAGGTATGCGTAAGGAAACAAAGTATAACTGATAGATTTTGTTTGCTTAAGGAAACACAGTAAAACTGAGAGAGATTTTTTTGCTTCATATGTATGCTTCAGGAATAAGTCCATTTGTCAAAGTATGAGGAAATATAAAACATACCCCCTGAAAACTGCATCTACATGTAGTATTGAGGGGAAAAGGGGGGGTAAAGGGGTGGGTAAGTGTTCAGCTGCTTTTCAATGAAAGACCAGTTGGCCACTGATCTTTTTTGTTGACCCCCAACTTGTCAAAGTTTTTTCAGGTACATTTTTTTGTTTCTCTTTTTTTGCCCCCACCCCCCAATATGAAAACTTGTTGAAAAACGATGCTATGTTTTCAATATAGAATGCATTAGAATGTATTTGAATACTTACCCTCCACACTGACAGAATGTGTTGATGCCACTCATCACAAAGTTGGGAACCTGGGAGAAGATTCCCAGATAAAACATAAACTTTCCTTTCAGTTCCACCACTTCTGTCTCATTCTTACCCAGCTTATACTCCTCAAAGTACTGAAAACAGAAAAATACTCCTCAAAGTACTGAAACAAGAGGCCCTGGGGCCACATCGCTCACCTGAGCACTGTGGCTAGGAAAAAAGGAAAAATCAGTTTAGCATTGAAAAGCTTAAATGCATAAGTGGTCCTTACCTACCCCTAAAAGTGAGTGGGGGGGGGGGGGGGGGGGGTCATGATTTGAACAAACTTGAATCTACACTAACTAAGGATGCTTACATAATTTTTTGACTAACTGTGACTTTTTTATCTACAAGTTTGAACTTTCATTGTGGCCCCACCCTACCCCTGGAGGTCATGATTTGAACAAACTTGAATCTACACTATCTGAGGATGCTTCCCTATAAATATGACAAACCGTGGCTTTGCTGTTCTTGAGAAGATTTTTAAAGATTTTTCCTATATATTCCTATGTAAAACTTTGATCGTTCAATGTGGCCCCACCCTACCCCCGGGGGTCATGATTTGAACAAACTTGAATCTACACAACCTGAGGATGCTTCCACATAAATATAACCAATCATAGCTTTGCTGTTCTTGAGAAGAAGATTTTTGAAGATATTTCCTATGTACACCTATGTAAAACTTTGATCGTTCATTGTGGCCCCACACTATCCCCGGGGGTCATGATTTGAACAAACTTGAATCTACACCACCTGAGGATGCTTCCAAATAAATATGACCAATCATAGCTTTGCTGTTCTTGAGAAGAAGATTTCTGAAGATTTTTCCAATGTACACCTATGTTACACTTTGATCGTCCATTTTGGCCTCCACTCTACCCCGGGGGTCATGATTTGAACAAACTTGAATCTACACCACCTGAGGATGCTTCCATATAAATATGACCAATCATAGCTTTGCTGTTCTTGAGAAGAAGATTTTTGAAGATTTTTCCTATATATTCCTATGTAAAACTTTGATCGTCCAGTGTGGCCCCACCCCACCACCGGGGTTCATGATTTGAACAAACTTGAATCTACACCACCTGAGGATGCTTCCACATAAATATGACCAATCATGACTTTGCTGTTCTTGAGAAGAAGATTTTTCCTATATAGTCCTATGTTAAACTTTCATTGTCCATTGTGGCCCCACCCTACCCCCGGGGGTCATGATCTGAACAAAGTTGAAAACACCACCTGAGGATGCTTCCACATAAATATTACCAATCACTGCTGTGCTGTTCTTGAGAAGAAGATTTTTGAAGATTTTTCCTATATACACCTATGTAAAACTTTGATCGTCCATTGTGGCCCCACCCTACCCCTGGGGGTCATGATTTGAACAAATTTGAATCTACACTACCTGACAATAATTCCACATGAGTTTCATCTTTCCTGTCCCATTGGTTCTTGAGAAGAAGATTTTTCAATAATGCCATTAATTTTTTGCTATTTCATAATTATCTCCCCTTGGAGGAGGGTGTGGCCCTTCATTTGAACAAACTTGAATCCCCTTCAGCCAAGGATACTTTGTGCCAAGTTTGATTGAAATTGGCCCAGTAGTTCTGGAGAAGAAGATGAAAATGTGAAAAGTTTACGACAACAACGACGCCGCCGACAGACAACGGACAAATTTTGATCAGAAAAGCTCACTTGAGCCTTTGGCTCAGGTGAGCTAAAAACAGAGGAATACTCCTCAAAGTACTGAAAACAGAGGAATACTCCTCAAAGTACTGAAAAAACAGAGGAATACTCCCCAAAGTACTAAAAACAGAGAAATACTCCTCAAAGTACTGAAAACAGAGGAATACTTCTCAAAGTACTGAAAACAGAGGAATACTCCTCAAACTACTGAAAAAAACAGAGGAATACTCCTCAAAGTACTGAAAAAACAGAGGAATACTCCTCAAAGTACTGAAACCAGAAGTCTCTGATGAGACTGTAGCTCTACTGGTTGTATTTATGAAGGAAGATAAAAGTTGCACTTGAACTTGAAACTTTGCAACAGCAATAAATAGAATAATGATCCTTGGTTTAGTCTCTTTTTGGCAAGATTTATTATTATATCAGACTAAAACTGTAGGAGGAGTAGCCTTTTAAAACAATTTTACTGAAATTTTGATTTAAGTAACCATGGCAACATCATTCAACAAAATCAAAAAACAATAACACCAATTATGTATCTCTGTAGTCTACTTGTACGCTACATTATACTGAAATCAGACAAAAAAGTGTAGGAGGAGTAGCGTTTTGAAAGTATTTCAAGAAAATTTCTATTTTTAGTAACCATGGCAACACCATTCATCGAAATCCGAAACTGGTACAGAGAATTACGTATCTTAGTGTAGTTTACTTGTATGCTAAGTAATACTAAAATCAGACCAAAACTGTAGAGGTAGCATTTTGAAGGTATTTCAAGGAAATTTCTATTTTTAGTAATCATGGCAACAATGTTCATTGAAATCAAAAACCGATATACAGAATTATGTATCTTAGTGTAGTCTACTTGTTTGCCAAGTTATATTGAAATCAGATAAAAACTGTAAGAGGAGTAGCATTTTGAAAGTATTTCACAGAAAATTCTATTTTTAGTTACCATGGCAACATCGTTCATTGAAATCAAAAACCGATAAACAGAATTATGTATCTTATTATAGTCTACTTGTTTGCCAAGTTATATTGAAATCAGATAAAAACTGTAAAAGGAGTAGCATTTTGAAAGTATTTCACAGAAATTTCTATTTTTAGTTACCATGGCAACATCGTTCATTGAAATCAAAAACCGATAAACAGAATTATGTATCTTATTATAGTCTACTTGTGTGCCAAGTTATATTGAAATCAGATAAAAACTGTAAGAGGAGTAGCATTTTGAAAGTATTTCACAGAAATTTCTATTTTTAGTAACCATGGCAACACCGTTCATCGAAATCAAAAACCGATAAACAGAATTATGCATCTTAGTATAGTCTACTTGTGTGCCAAGTTATATTGAAATCAGATCAAAACTGTAGGAGGAGTAGCATTTTGAATGTTTTTCACAGAAATTTCTATTTTTAATCTCATCTACAATTCTCATCTACTAATGAGTTTATAGCATTGAAAAACTCACAAGAATATAACTGTAGCAAAGTACATACTGTTTTAAGTAAATTTAGTATTGATTTAACCTATGAATACTTACCCTGCAGCAATTTATTTGTCTTTTTTATCTCATTTTTGTACCGTTTCATCACAGATTTTACTACTTATGCACAGGTATTGATGTTGAAACAAGATCTTACTATTTAGATTTCACTGTTTTCCAGTGTTAGATCTTACTATTTAGATTTCACTGTTTTCCAGTGTTAGATCTTACTATTTAGATTTCACTGTTTTCCAGTGTTAGACCTTACTATTTAGATTTCACTGTTTTCCAGTGTTAGATCTTACTATTTAGATTTCACTGTTTTCCAGTGTTAGATCTTACTATTTAGATTTCACTGTTTTCCAGTAATAGATCTTACTATTTAGATTTCACTGTTTTCCAGTGATAGATCTTACTATTTAGATTTCACTGTTTTCCAGTGTTAGATCTTACTATTTAGATTTCACTGTTTTCCAGTGTTAGATCTTACTATTTAGATTTCACTGTTTTCTGGTGATAGATCTTACTATTTAGATTTCACTGTTTTCCAGTGATAGATCTTACTATTTAGATTTCACTGTTTTCTGGTGTTAGATCTTACTATTTAGATTTCACTATTTTCCAGTGTTAGATCTTACTATTTAGATTTCACTGTTTTCCAGTAATAGATCTTACTATTTAGATTTCACTGTTTTCTGGTGTTAGATCTTACTATTTAGATTTCACTGTTTTCCAGTAATAGATCTTACTATTTAGATTTCACTGTTTTCCAGTGTTAGATCTTACTATTTAGATTTCACTGTTTTCCAGTGATAGATCTTACTATTTAGATTTCACTGTTTTCTGGTGATAGATCTTACAATTTAGATTTCACTGTTTTCCAGTGTTAGATCTTACTATTTAGATTTCACTATTTTCCAGTGTTAGATCTTACTATTTAGATTTCACTGTTTTCCAGTGTTAGATCTTACTATTTAGATTTCACTGTTTTCCAGTAATAGATCTTACTATTTAGATTTCACTGTTTTGCAGTAATAGATCTTACTATTTAGATTTCACTGTTTTGCAGTAATAGATCTTACTATTTAGATTTCACTGTTTTCCAGTGTTAGATCTTACTATTTAGATTTCACTGTTTTCCAGTGTTAGATCTTACTATTTAGATTTCACTGTTTTCCAGTAATAGATCTTACTATTTAGATTTCACTGTTTTCCAGTGTTAGATCTTACTATTTAGATTTCACTGTTTTCCAGTGTTAGATCTTACTATTTAGATTTCACTGTTTTCCAGTGTTAGATCTTACCATTTAGATTTCACTGTTTTCCAGAGTTAGTTCTTACTATTTAGATTTCACTGTTTTCCAGTAATAGATCTTACTATTTAGATTTCACTGTTTTCCAGTGTTAGATCTTACTATTTAGTTTCAGTGTTTTCCAGTGTTAGATCTTACTATTTAGATTTCACTGTTTTCCAGTGTTAGATCTTACTATTTAGATTTCACTGTTTTCCAGTAATAGACCTTACTATTTAGATTTCACTGTTTTGCAGTAATAGATCTTACTATTTAGATTTCACTGTTTTCCAGTAATAGATCTTACTATTTAGATTTCACTGTTTTCCAGTAATAGATCTTACTATTTAGATTTCACTGTTTTCCTGTGTTAGATCTTACTATTTAGATTTCACTGTTTTCCAGTGTTAGATCTTACTATTTAGATTTCACTGTTTTCCAGTGATAGATCTTACTATTTAGATTTCACTGTTTTGCAGTAATAGTTCTTACTATTTAGATTTCACTGTTTCCAGTGTTAGATCTTACTATTTAGATTTCACTGTTTTCCAATGTTAGCTCTTACTATTTAGATTTCACTGTTTTGCAGTAATAGTTCTTACTATTTAGATTTCACTGTTTCCAGTGTTAGATCTTACTATTTAGATTTCACTGTTTTCCAGTGTTAGATCTTACTATTTAGATTTCACTGTTTTCCAGTGTTAGATCTTACTATTTAGATTTCACTGTTTTGCAGTAATAGTTCTTACTATTTAGATTTCACTGTTTTCCAGTGTTAGATCTTACTATTTAGATTTCACTGTTTTCCAGTGTTAGATCTTACTATTTAGATTTCACTGTTTTCCAGTGTTAGATCTTACTATTTAGATTTCACTGTTTCCAGTGTTAGATCTTACTATTTAGATTTCACTGTTTTCCAGTGTTAGATCTTACTATTTAGATTTCACTGTTTTCCAGTGTTAGTTCTTACTATTTAGATTTCACTGTTTTCCAGTGTTAGATCTTACTATTTAGATTTCACTGTTTTCCAGTAATAGATCTTACTATTTAGATTTCACTGTTTTCCAGTGTTAGATCTTACTATTTAGATTTCACTGTTTTCCAGTAATAGATCTTACTATTTAGATTTCACTGTTTTCCAGTAATAGATCTTACTATTTAGATTTCACTGTTTTGCAGTAATAGATCTTACTATTTAGATTTCACTGTTTTCCAGTAATAGTTCTTACTATTTAGATTTCACTTTTTTCCAGTAATAGATCTTACTTGTTTAGCATTGATCAGCATGTTCCATGGCATCAGAATGCCTATTCCATGGACTACCATGATAAAGAACACAAGTCGGTACCTGTAATACAGAAAACAATTCTCAATGTGTCTAGATGGTAATACACTATAAATAATTCTGGAATTCATAGAAACTAAAGGGACACGGCACTGTTAGTCACAAATCACATCTGTGATTTTCTCTCATGTCTGACATGTCACTAGAAACTCACAATCAGCATGAGGATGCAGGGCCTAGTGAGGGGCTGTGCTAGGGGCATACTGCTGAAAAATGACACAATGTAATAAAAACTGAGCCATGCAGTGCCCCCCGCAAATATTCTGTAAAATGTGAGCATGTATGATTTTCTAGAATGTAAGTTCATCGCAGTCGGTGCATCACTATTCCATCTATCTAAATTACTAACTTTGATGACGATGATAGTATGGAACAATAAAATCAGAACTGCCGTTCAATATATTGATATTCCTGCATTTTTGTCCGACATGGTTTGATGTGTCAAGTTGTCTTGGATAGCTGATCCTAACATCACGAACAGTCTCCCACCTCATGTACAATGAAATACCATATCATCGAAGTCTATTTATTTTGGCCTATCCCTCAATCTCTAAATCAGCAATTTTGAAACACTTTTTGGTGCATTTAGTGTCAATATAATTTTTTGAAATACTTGCTGTGTTAGATGATAAACAATTTATGAAATTCTTAGGCCTAGATACAGAAGAAAATCATTTCCACAAGTTGAGTGTCAGATACAATGATTCTTTATTAGTTCCTATAAAATTTTTAAATGGTGTTGTCAATAAATAAATTGAAATTGAAAAATTTCCTTAATTTTGTTGTCAGAAATCATGGAGATATATCGATTGTCAGCCTTTACAAAAAATAGTCATGATATTACTATGATATATTTTTGAAATGACCCCAATGTATTTTCTCTTTAATTTCAAAATGGTTCCATCATTTCATGAAAAGTCGGGCCATTGGGTCCACCTGTTGTTTGACCTTCCCAGGCACTGAAGATGAGCAAAAATCTAAGGAGACTAGGTCCTATATAGGGCTGGGTATCAAGCTGGAATTTCGTATTGCGAAATACTGCGATATTTTTAACTGTATTGCAATATGTATTGCAATATTTTCATTAACCATGTTAACAATTAAGGTGATCATTTCTTATTTCATTAACCTCAATTATAAGCAAAATGTATATAACTAAGATAAATTTATAAATCACATTATAACAAAAAAAATCCTTCTGATTTATCTACAGTTTTTCACCGAAATACAACCATACAAAGGCAAGCTTACTGTTTGGCACGATTGAAATTGTTTCTGACATCTTTAAATTTTATATTCTACTTTAGAAATCCCAAGCAAGCCCAAACATTTTGCAGGTATATTGGTACTGAAAAAACGTATGGTAATAAGATATTTTTTGTCAATGAACTGCAACATACCAGAATATCGATAGTATTGCACAGCCCTAGTCCTTTAACATTTAGTTTGAATGATTTACATCTTATTGTTGTGTACCTCCAAAAAATGACAAAATCAATGGCAGTCGTAAAACTTCACACTGAGCTAATAATTAATATTAGTCTCTAGAATTTGATGCTAATATGGATATTAATATTTTTTTTAATAAGAATATTGAACCTGAATTGGATAATAGAAGCAAATTATTGAAGGTAAATAAAAGAAATTAGGACTATATAACTCAGTATCTTCAGCTCAATGGAATTCGGAGCCTAAGTAATGAATGCGTCCTACAGATCCCTACTTATCATAATACTACTCCAAGTGACTCTAAAACTGAATGTGTCTTCCTCTAAGCATTCTAAACTATTGTTGTTAAATCTTTAGTTGAAAGATACTCAGGCAAGTTATAACTTTACTAGGGATGTAATGATATACTGGTACACAGAAATACACAACAAAATTGTACTGTATCATGTTACAACTAGAAATATGTCCATAGGACATGAATGCCCCGCCAAGGGTATATTAGTAATGCAACATTTTAACACAAATTGAGAAAAGTGAGGTCAAGGTCAAAGGAAAGGTCAAGGTCAAAAAATATTGCTGCAGTTGAATAGCTTACATCAGTATGTATCAGCATATGACGTTTGATTCAGAAACTAATTTAAGAAAAGTGAGGTCAAGATCAAAGGAAAGGTCAAGATCAAAAAATGTTGATGTAGTTGAAAAGGTTACATCAGTATGTATTAGCATATAAGTTTGATGAAAATATTATGAATGGTTTCTTTAAAACTGAGCTAAACACTAATTTAAGAAAAGTGAGGTCAAGGTCAAAGGAAAGGTCAAGGTCAAAAAATATTGATGCAGTTGAATAGCTCTCATCAGTATGTATCAGCATATGAAGTTTGACACTAATTTAAGAAAAGTGAGGTCAAGGTCAAAGGAAAGGTCAAGGTCAAAAAATGTTGATGCAGTTGAATAGCTCTCATCAGTATGTATCAACATATGAAGTTTGATAACACTATCTTGAATGGTATCTTTAAAACTGAGCTAAAAACTTATTTAAGAAAAGTGAGGTCAAGGTCAAAGAAAAGGTCAAGGTAAAAAATATTGATGCAGTTGAATAGCTTACATCAGTATGTATCAGCATATGATGTTTGATTCAGAAACTAATTTAAGAAAAGTGAGGTCAAGATCAAAGGAAAGGTCAAGATCAAAAAATGTTGATGCAGTTGAAAAGGTTAATTCAGTATGTATTAGCATATGAAGTTTGATGAAAATATTATGAATGGTTTCTTTAAAACTGAGCTAAACACTAATTTAAGAAAAGTGAGGTCAAGGTCAAAGGAAAGGTCAAGGTAAAAAAAAATTGATGCAGTTGAATAGCTCTCATCAGTATGTATCAGCATATGAAGTTTGACACTAATTTAAGAAAAGTGAGGTCAAGGTCAAAGGAAAGGTCAAGGTAAAAAATATTGATGCAGTTGAATAGCTTACATCAGTATGTATCAGCATATGATGTTTGATTCAGAAACTAATTTAAGAAAAGTGAGGTCAAAATCAAAGGAAAGGTCAAGGTCAAAAAATGTTGATGCAGTTGAAAAGGTTAATTCAGTATGTATTAGCATATGAAGTTTGATGAAAATATTATGAATGGTTTCTTTAAAACTGAGCTAAACACTAATTTAAGAAAAGTGAGGTCAAGGTCAAAGGAAAGGTCAAGGTCAAAAAATGTTGATGCAGTTGAATAGCTCTAATCAGTATGTATCAGCATATGAAGTTTGATAACACTATCTTGAATGGTATCTTTAAAACTGAGCTAAAAACTTATTTAAGAAAAGTGAGGTCAAGGTCAAAGGAAAGGTCAAGGTAAAAAATATTGATGCAGTTGAATAGCTCTCATCAGTATGTATCAGCATATGAAGTTTGTTAAAAATATCTTGAATGGTCTCATTAAAACAGAGCTAAACATTAATTTAAGAAAAGTGAGGTCAAGGTCAAAATAAAGGTCAAGGTCAAAAAAATGTTGATGCAATTGAATAGATTACATCAGTATGTATCAACATATGAAGTTTGATTACACTATCTTGAATGGTATCTTTAAAACTGAGCTAAACACTAATTTAAGAAAAGTGAGGTCAAGGTCAAAGGAAAGGTCAAGGTCAAAAAATGTTGATGCAGTTGCATAGCCCTCATCAATATCTATCAGCATATGAAGTTTGATAAAAATATCTTGGATAGTTTCTTTGAAACTGAGCTTTGAACAGAGCTAAACGCAAAGTGTGATGGAAGGACAGACGGAAGGACAGAAGGACGGAAGGACGGAAGACGGACATGACAAACACTATATGCCCCGGCCATATTCATGGCGGGGCATAAAAACTGTAAACCTGTGTTTCACTATACAACATTTGAAGCAATTTATTGCACTTCCTTTATATCTAATCTAATATAAGTAACTTATTTTTATTCACTTATGCTGTTTTTAATGTGTTCAAAGCTAATGAAATGTTACATAATGTATTTAATATTAACTTGATGAAATAATCTACAACTTTTATCCTTGCACATTATAACACAGAGTTTCTCATTGAAGAACAGGAACACACGAATTATGTTTAAAAATATGAGAGATGAAATATGTATGATACGTATCATGATACAGTCTCAGTGTGTCATGATATATCATGATACGCTCTAGCTGTATTGTTACAACCCTTAACATTACATAAAGTAGACAGACAGACTGCTAGACACACAGACAAGGTGAGTTACATAGGGCCTCTACATCTTCATGTGGGACCCTAGAAAACAATTAGTTGCATAAAAAATGAATCCCTGCCGAGATTTTTGACTACCTATCAGGTGGTGTGTGATCCACGGGGATGAAATCCACATCTTCTGGGTTCTTGTTGAGGGAGTCCAGCCCTGGTTCTATAACAGGCAGAAACTTCTCTGTCTGTTCTGAGGAACTTTTGTCCACTACAAATAAATCAGACAAAAACAATGTAGTGCTCAGCAAAATTCAAAGTGCCTAATTTTTTTTATATACAAGAAATTTTAGTAAAACATAATGATAGACCACGTACTGCTTATTCAGAATATTATGCCAAAATGTAATAGTAAACATTATAAGTATGGCTAAATCAGAGTGTTTTAAAAATGGTATTAGTTAATTATGACATTGCTTTTCACAATTATTTAGCAGAACTATTACAATGTAAATCAAGAACTCTACATATGAACAGATATTTATATGATCACCCCAACGATTGAATGAGTCTATTTTCATGACAATCCAAATTTAGCTCCAGAGTTCAGATATGTACCATTGACAACATATGATATAAAAGCAAGCAGTGCTGACAGTAAAACCAAGTACATCAACCTGGTCAAGGTTTATCGTTAACCCAGGGTTAATGTGAAAATATTGGCAACTAGGAAATTCATATATTTCCAACACAGGAAAAGGATGGAACAGGAAAAATAACTCTTTTTAACTCTTTTAAAAATTTCCACAAAATAGGGCTCATCAGTGCATTTAAGAAATGGACTCATAATGTTGAGCCCCCCTTCCATCCCCCTTCCCTATGACTGCATGCACGGTGGAGTCAAATTAAGTCTTCAAAACATAGATAACTTTTACAGGGAAAAAAGACCAATTCCTGCCTTCTACAATGATTACAATTATTTACAAATGATAACATATTTATATAATTCAAAGGCTATTTATTCATACACATTTATAAATTATTTCTTGTAAGTATTATCTGGCCTTGGATCCCAGACACCACTGCTGAGAAAAGGTTAAAGGTCACATATAAGGTAACTTGATACATGTAAGAAATGTGTTTTCCATTAATTTAAAAGCATGTTTTTCTTTATACCAAGTAAGCTAAATAATTTCACATTTGCAGGAAACCATGGAATAGCTTTTTATTGCTGGCAGCCTTTCTCTTTCAGGCAAAGGGCTCTATATGCTAATTAATTCAAGTATTCTAAAGTTCATGGATGTTTTCATGGAAATTTTTTTTTCTTTTTCTTATTACCAGTAAAATAGAGTTCTCGGATTTAAGTCTGTTAAAGCACACCCAACATAAAAATTACGAAACATATCATACATGCATGTCTCTTTGTTAATTAAGAGATTAAAATTAAGAAAAATAAGAATGATATACATGTTTATTGTAAAATTCATTCATTTTTTAAAATTAACTTGATTTTCTTTCAAGTAACACTTCATAACTATAGACAATTACATAATTATTTTCATTCTCAAGCCTCTGTAACTGTAAGCATCACTTATATTATATATATGCCTGCTGCCTGACAGATTGATATGTATACAGAGTTGACAAGCATGTACCTGTACTAACTAACTGATATATACATTACACGTGTACTACAGAGAGATGCACTATACAGTCAATGAGTGTGTACTTACTAAGATTTCCGTTTTTGTGAGGGCTGTAGCTTTTTGGACTTCCTTTGGTTTCCATCGGGTAATAATCCTTACTGCTCATCTTATCAACTGGGATAAATCTATTTATAGCTACAATAAAAAAGCACACTCTCAGCTGACTTTAATTTTATCCAGGTAGAAAATTAGAAAGGCCCAGATAAAAAATAAACAGAAACCACTGCCAATCCAGGCAGGAGTTAATTACTACTGAACTTTATCACAGTGTGCAATGGCAGTTCATTTATTTCTCTCGTCTATTGCAGCTAGAGTTCCTGACTCTGACCCAAAACTAGGTCACTTAGGAGCTGACCAACATTCAGCATAAACAAACACAACCACAATCACAAAACTGGCAAACAGCTCATTTACCCAATACTAGATAGCTGTTATATAATACACACAGAAATACTGGGTTCACAGCTTTTTAACTATGTAATATATAAAATAACATTGTACCTTTAAATAATATGTATAATATATACAACTTACTGAAGGGTCTTAAAGCTAGATATCCCTGTATTTTGACATTTCCTTAATAAAGAATGAATTAACACACTATCTTATTATGATACAAGATTACATCATAGAATAGCTTCCCTACACATCATATAGCTTAACAAACACAGAATTACATAGGTACGGTAGTAATCAGTATTCATTTCTGGTTTCAAGGTCATTTAGTCTAAGGATAAATCAGGGTATAAACGTCAATAAAACCCCTGTCAGCTGTCCTATGTAAATATGGTCAACGTGTCTAAGCTTCAGGCTTCTTTTTTGTGCATATATTATCATATAAAGATCAATGATCCTCATTAGCAGGGTAACGTTTAGTATTTGTAACTCACTAGACAATGTTACCTGTAACAGGTCAATGTATTCTACACAGAAATCTCCCTATTTTATTTATAGTTATGGAAAAATGAGGAGAGACATCGATCTTTGTGAAAATGAAATTATAAGCTTTGAGTTACGGTACTTTCAGCTACAATATTATATTTATAATATACTGTGAAAGTCATAGAATTAACTTCTAGCCAGCTGCTCTGTCCAGTTTTCTGACTTCCATTTATAAAGGTATTTTATGACATTTCAGTATCTATAATATTTTAATTTTAACATTTCCTTTATTTGTATAAAAATATCCTCTATCTTGCTGTGTGTCTAATCAGGTTGTCAACCTTTTCAACAAGGAAGAAACAAGTGTGTGGAGGATTAGACAACCTTTAACGTCCCTTACTCTTGAATTTGATTCTAAACAAGATCTGTGCACAACGGAATGAATTTCCATACATCATATGGAAATAAACATAAGAACAGTTCAAATAAATTTAATAATACAACTAAAAGCAAGATGATTCAGTGCAAGTTGACAATGAAGATTATGAAAAGGCATGGAAATTAAAATGGCCCAAGAGAACCTTTCAAAGAAGATGATAAATTTGTTGCCATTTAACCTTTTATTGTATTAAAATATGCTGGTCAATTTGATGTCAGAAACTTGCACTTTGTTTTGAAGAATGAGATTGAATATCAAACACAGATCTGTTCCAGTAAGCATGGCCCAGTTATAATGGGGACAGATACGTCACAAAGCTAACAGGATAAATATCCTTACAGACACTGGTCACACAATTCAGTTCATGTAACCTCTGAACTTGCATCAAACACAGCATCTATCACTTCTCCATTACTTGTCTAAATTATGGACAACACATGATGCATTTCTTAATTTCAATTCCTGTCCTTTGTGACAAGAGGTCTCTTCAATATTTACTGCAAACAGGATTGAATAATATATCGGAGATAAACCGACAAAAAATACACAAAACCGTTCTGCAAGGCAACCATAAATGCTGTTAGGTGTATGCTAACTGGTGTATTAAGGAATTCAAGCATAAGACTAGTAATCAAAAATTACACCTTGACAAATGTTATCATTCAGAAGTTAAGGGCAAAGTCTCACACCAAATGAATGTTCTAGTAGCATGCATCCCTATACTTTGGTGCAAGTAAGAGCCTTGGTTAACATCCCTTTGCTCCTTATATACCTCGGACTCTTACTTCTGTAGGCCATTTATTAACGAGCTAGTTCCGACCGAGATCTGGTCAGAATATACTATGCATGAAATAAATTGTAAACAAGTAATTCTCAAGTACTTCTATATGCATGAAGTATAAGAGTCACAAGAAATCGTAAAATCCACTTTAATCAGTATGTATCAGTGTTCATTAATTAAAATTGTCATTATTGCAATTAAAATCGTCATGATTTGACTTCACATTAATTTTGTGGACTGCTATTCAGAAACACAGAAATTTGAGTATTTCATATATTTCTTTCCATCAGTTTTTCAACATTCCATTCCCTGATTTTAAGGACATACGCAACGTAGTTTGAACTTTATTGTCTTTTTCCCTGGAGTTGAAGAGTTCCAATACTTAAAGGAACTGTGTGCTACATTTTTATGTCCACATATGTTGTTGTACACTTCTTCTAAAACAAGTTTTGGATAAACAAAACATCTAGAATATATGTTTAGTAATTTTTGTATATTTTTCTTTGAATTATACAAGAATTTTCATCAATTGATATCTTTTCAAAACCCCTGGTAATGCATGCTGATTTTTTGTCTACGAACATCTGATGGTACTATAATCTTAAATTGAGAATATCTTGAAAAATTATCAGTAGGTAAGGTACCTTGCGTATGTCCTTAATGAGACAACCTGTTTTGGTTTCTGCATTAATTTTAAAAATAATGCATTGATCTCTAATAATAGATCTAGAGATTAAACAATGTTTTAAGCATAAGTTTCATTGCAAATGGTGACTATTGAATTGTTGTGTGTCACTCATATATGTCAAATGAAAGCCTGACTTTTTCATTAAACAATTCATTTCCACTAGAAGTTTCAAGTGATGAGAATTTTTACAATGAATACTAGAGGTTATGAGGTGCCAAGTCAAAAGTATCTCGCCTTGATCCTCTTAGCATGCAGGAGTATGTGCATCTCTAGATACAACATCCATGCAAGTTTGATGGCTTGAGTACCACGGGTATTGTCACGATATGATATATGTATCATGATACTATGACATGATACAACTCTGTATCACGATACAATTGAATATACAGTGTAGAGCAGAAAATTGTTTTGTTCTGTATAATGACATAATAAAGGTACAACAGTATAACATCTGTGTATAATAGCAATTTATTGTATATTGTGGAAAAGAACAATATCTTTGTTAACTTGATCACTTACTCGTTTCGGATGCCATTTTCTTTTGATTTTTTAATATTTGATTGTAAAGTAAAAAAAACACTTCCAGTTTCATGATTCCAGAATGATAATACAATATGTGTATCGTTGAGACACACAATCAATACTATCGATATATCGCTATATTGTTACAACTCTAAATTTGTTCTGGGTGGTATTTATAGTAATTAACTTATGGATGGACTTGCTACAAAACTTTTAATATATAATGGTCAATCATCTGGAAAATGTAAGTCAGATCCAGCATCCAAAGCATATCTGGTAGTGGGCATCACTAGATGCATCATCCATGCAAGTTCAATCACCACACAGCATTATATAGTTACTTGGGATTGGACCTGCAGTCCATTCAATCATTTATAAAATTAAGGTCAAATTCAGCATCTGAAGCAAGTCTATAAGTGTTTATCCCTAGATAACAGAAGATGCATCCATCACCCAAGAACTTTAAGCTACTTGGGAGTGACAACTGCACCAAAAACTCTCTGCTGCCAAGACATTAATGGAAAATATTGTTTGAAAATGCACCATCTGAAACCTAACTGATACAGTGAAACATACTAGATCCGCTCCTTCTACATGACTAAAATATATATCAAAGTTATTGTTTTACATTATGTACTCCATAAGATTTAAGATTGATTACTCATTGAAATCATAGTTTAGTAAACAATGTATGTATTGTTTATAATGCTTCATCATTTGTAAAATTTTCCTGTAATTTGTCACTTAATAATTCTGCTGTCATTCCCTCAGATTCTCATCAAGAATTTTTAAAGTTTTGAAGTAATTTATGAGTTCCTGTTCCTGGCATTAACTAAGTAACCAAGTTGATCTAATCAAACATCCCCCCTTCCATATTTTAATAATGAGGTGCATAAATCATAATAAAAGTGTTGATTTGAATCATTTGCAGCCCAGCATATTTCACTTACTATACAGTACACCAATACTTAATTTAATCATTTAAATCCGGGATAGATCTCTTTGTTTATTTCCTTGTATTTTTTCAGTAAGAGGGCATTGTACTTGTACTAACTTGCTACTGTAACACTTATATCTTATAGTACTTATAGTACTTGTAGCCACATGAACCATCAAGGAAGGAAAAAATCACATTGTCGTATGACAACCTGATTAAAAATTACGTTCATTACTTCAGTATATAACAATAAATTTAGATTTACATTGTATATTTCTCTTATTATCATATTATAATAGAGATGGATGTTGACATAGCACGTGCTAAAGCCTCATTATTGGCACGTGTCCAAAACGACAATCAACGTCAAGTATATGACCATCTATTTTATCGACAAAAGAGTCTTAAAGACAATGTTGTCTAAAACAAACCTGCCAAACAGATATCCTTAGCAAATAAAGTAGAAACTGTGGCTCTGTGTTAGTGTTTTGTGTACCCTGGCGCTTAAATCTCATTCGGAATTCCTCGGGAGATGTTTTGAAACACGATAAACGAACAACTTGACAAATACTTGTTACACCGGAAACTACGCTGCAAACCAATTTGATCGACGAAAGAATGTCAGAAGGCGAGCTTGGTATGCAATTCTGAAGTGTCTGTCCTTGCATTGAATATATTTTATGTTTAAAAATAGTTTTTAGGGGTATATGTACCAACTGATAGGATTTTTAAAGAGCAGTTTAACTTATTGTTTCTTGAAACAGTCTCTCACATTCGGTAGCACGTCTTGCTCTTGTGGTTGTTATGTAGATGGGGCATGGTAAGGCTTGTTCGCTTGTGATCATAAGCTTAGATAGTAATCACCCGTATAAAGTTCAAGTTCGAATCCCTGTCGCTTTTTCTCAAAGCCTGTTCCATTGGCAGGGTTTGACACGAACAGCTGACCAAGGCACCTCCGGTTACCTGTAAATATTGACTTGTCATGTGTATGAAATTGGTAAACTTTACTGGTCCCCAGATCCGCAAGATTCGTGCCCTCATTGTACTATGACGTAAGATTGACGTCACTCAACTGTTGAGGGTTAGTCTTGCACACTACTAGACTGGTTAGGGTTAGTCTTGCACCCACCTGAGAGATTAGGGTTAGATCTTGTATCCATTATTTGACTGATCAGGGTTAGTCTAGCATCTGCCCGGAGATTTGGGTTAGTCCTCGCATACCATCTGAGAGATTAGGGTTAGTGACTCGTTCTTTTAGATTACCGCATAATCCCTATTAACCACCCCTGCCCCTTTAAGTGCCCCCCTAGGTCTTTTTCAATTGTCAGGAAATAAGGGTCCCCTGTACAGTGATTAAAATCATCTAGAATCCTATCGAAATTCTGCCATAATTTGAAGAAAGTGAAAATGAAACTTGGTTATTGCGTAACTCATACGTAAAGTATTCCTGAAAGTGAAAGATTTTTAGAACAACCTAATCATTATGTATCCGAAAGTGAAAGTTACCTACAAAATTTGTTCTCCTTGACTATTCTCTAATTTCTTGGTAGAAAAATGAATCATTTAACATAATTTGGGTGGATTATCTTAACTTAAAGGAAAGTTAGACAATATTTTAGTGGTTCTCTGAATTTTTTTTTTTTTTTTTTCCAAAAGATTTTTTGAAGTTAAAATATGACATTAAATATTATTTAATAAATAGAATACCAAAATAACCGCCCCCTTTTTGCAATTTTCTAAGAGCCCAGGGCGGTTAATAGGAATTATACGGTAATTAAGAAATTCAGTTGCATCTGTATTTTTTGCATGAACATAATTCCGCTTCAACGGCATATCATTGATTTGTTTACATGAAAAAAATGGCTAAGTACCAAAGAAATGACACTAAGCATGCGCTGCATGCATTTCGTAGACAATTATTTTTTGTCGATCTTTCAATGAATAAACAATATTTATTAATTTTTTTTTTCAGAGAATGAGGTTAAAAACTGTTGAAAAACAAAGTTTTAAACTAAACTTTTAACCATAGAATTCAATTTTGGGGTCAAAAAGGCCAAAAAACCTAGTACATGTACTTTTTATTTTTTTTGATTGCTCACGTGATCTCATATATATTGAAGTCGCCTATGGCGACACTATATTTTAGCACATTTTTCTGGGGACCGGTAAAGTAAAGTCATTCTGCTTGAAATAAATATTCTGTAGGTAAAGCACTTGACTACTGATGCAGGGGTCCCTGGTTCAATTCTCATTCCATCCATGATACATTTTCTCCTTTCCTGTTACAGCTGTAATAGACAAGTTGGGGTTGAAACTAGCTTTGTTCAGTATCAATATTGGTATAAATAGTTACCAAAATGATGTATTCTATAACTAATTAATTTATATTTAGGGTATTAAAGCTAGTTGAATGTTTTTAAGGCTTATATTTGCATGTCCGGCTTAACCTAACCAGGGGTTGAAATATACGGTAGTCCGATGCCTGGGGCTAGTCATTTTAAGACTAAGGCTAGCTAGTTTAAATGTAATGATAGTCCATCAGACTAGCAGAATGGAAAAAAAAATCTTGTCATTTTAACTTTTGCTTTTCTATGTAGACTATTTTTTTTTAGGTCACCTGAGTCACTCAGGTGACCTATTGCTATCCGTTCTCGTCCGTCGGCGTGCGTCGTGCGGTGTGCGTCGTGTGTTAACATTTGAACATTTTTAGCTTCTTCTCTGAAACCGCTTAACCAATTTCAACCAAATTTGGCATATAGCACCTATGGGTGAAGGGGAACAAAAATTGTGAATTCCATGGTCCCTGCCCCCCTGGGGCCTGAGGGGTGGGGCTAAAACCACCAAAAATAATGCAATCTTTAAAAATCTTCTTCTTTACTCCTGGACATCAAGCAGTCAAACTGTTGGCATCATTGTAATAAGCATTGAGTCCTCTACCAAAATTGTGAAATTCATGGCCCCAGGGTCAGGGGTTCTGGTGCTAGGGTGGGGCTATATAGATCATATAGGGAAAGTGCATTATTTCTTTGAAAATCTTCTTCTCTGCTCCTGGGTATTAAATAAAGTAACTAAGTACATAGTTATGAAGAACAAGAGTGCCTCTTTCAAAATTGTGAAATTCATGGCCCCAGGATCAGGGGTTCTGGTGTTAGGGCGGGGCTCTATTGATTATATAGAGAAAATGCATTAATTCTTTGAAAATCTTCTTCTCTGCTCCTAGGTATTAAATAAATTTACTAAGTATATAGTTATGATGAGCAAGAGTGCCTCTTTCAAAATTGTGAATTTCATGGCCCATGGGTCAGGGGTTCTGGTGTTAGGGCAGGGCTCTATTGAGTATATAGTGAAAATGTATTAATTCTTTGAAAATCTTCTTCTCTGCTCCTGGGTATTTAATAAAGTAACTTAGTACATATTTATGATGAGCAAGAGTGCCTCTTCCAAAATTGTGAATTTCATGGCCCCAGGGTCAGGGGTTCTGGTGTTAGGGCAGGGCTTTATTGATTATATACATTAGTTAAAATGCATTAATTCTTTGAAAATCTTCTTATCTGCTCCTGGGTATTAAATGAACTAATTTAGTACATAGTTATGATGAGCAAGAGTGCCTCTTCCAAAATTGTGAATTTCATGGCCCCAGGGTCAGGGGTTCTGGTGTTAGGGCGGGTCTCTATTGATTATATTGTTAAAATGCATTAATTCTTTGAAAATCTTCTTATCTGCTCCTGGTTATTAAATGAACTAATTTAGTACTTAGTTATGATGAGCAAGAGTGCCTCTTCCAAAATTGTGAATTTCATGGCCCCAGGGTCAGGGGTTCTGGTGTTAGGGCGGGGCTCTATTGATTATATAGTGAAGATGCATTAATTCTTTGAAAATCTTCTTATCTGCTCCTGGATATTAAATGAACTAAGTTAGTACATATTTATGATGAGCAAGAGTGCCTCTTCTGAAATTATGAATTTCATGGCCCCAGGGTCAGGGATTCTGGTGTTAGGGTGGGGCTCTATTGATTATATAGTGAAAAGGCATTAATTCTTTGAAAATCTTCTTCTCTGCTCCTGGGTATTAGATAAACTAACTTAGTATATAGTTATGATGAGCTAGAGTGCCTCTTTCAAAATTTTGAATTTCATGGCCCCAGGATCAGGGGTTCTGGTGTTAGGGCAGGGCTCTATTGATTATATAGTAGAATTGCAATAATTTTCTCTGCTCCTGGGTATTAAGTACATAGTTATGAAGAATAAGAGTGCCTCTTTCAAAATTGTGAATTTCATGGCCCCAGGGTCAGAGGTTCTGGTGTTAGGGTGGGGCTCTATTGATTATATAGTTAAAATGCATTAATTCTTTGAAAATCTTCTCTGCTCCTGGGCATTAAATAAAGAAACTTAGTACATAGTAAGTTGAGCAAGAGTGCCTCTTCCAAAATTTTGAATTTCATGGCCCTTGGGTCAGGGGTTCTGGTGTTAGGGCAGGGCTCTATTGATTATATAGTAGAATTGCATTAATTCTTTGAAAATCTTTTTCTCTGCTCCTGGGTATTAAATAAACTAACTAAGAACATAGTTATGGTGAGCATGACTGCCTTTTCAGAAATTGTTTCATGGCCCTTGGGTCAGGGGTTCTGGTGTTAGGGATGGGCTCCATTGATTATATAGTAAAATTGCATTAATTCTTTGAAAATCTTCTCTGCTCCTGGATATTAAATAAACTAAGTACATAGTTATGATGAGCATGGCTGCCTCAGAAATTATGAATTTAATGGCCTCTGGGTAAGGGGTTCTGGTGTTAGGGCGGGGCTTTATTGATTAGATAGGGAATTGGCATGAATTCTTTCAAAATCTTATGTGCGCCTGGGTATTTTTCAAACAAAGGAAGTGCATGGTTATGATAAGGAAGAATGCCTCATGGCCTTTGGGTCAGGGGTTCTGGTGAGGGGGAAAGAGCTCTATTGATTATATATAGTGAAAATGCATAATTTCTTTCAAAATATTTTTTTCTACTACTGGTTATAAAGTAAAGAAACAAGTGTATAGTTATAATGAGAAAGGGTGCTTCTTCCAGAATTGTGAGTTCGTGGCCAATGGGTCAGATGTTCTGGGTAAGGATGGGGCTTTATTTATTTAATTTTATGGTGAAAATGCATTTCTTTGAAAATCATCTATGCTTCTGGGGATGTTCAAGGCAAACAGAGTAAAAGTTTTAATATGCAAGGGTATTTTTACCAGATTTTTGAACACCTGGACCATTTAGTCAAGTGTTCTAGTCCTGGCCAGGGCTCTATTAACTTGTATTCTGCTGAGCAAAGTTATTCCCCTTTGCCATTCACCTTTGATAATTAATCAATGTAAATAATGTATTTGAAAGCTTAATAGAATAAGAGAATTATGCAAGATAATTTATTGTATAATGAAAATGTACTTTCATAGATTTAATGACTTGGAAAGTCAGATAGGCAGATAGATACTAGACCAATTATTTTGTTGATGCTAATCATACTATTTTTCTTGCTTTTGGGCAACAAAGCTTCATTTTTCAGTTTATGGATCCTCTAAATTGTTGTATTGTACTCAGGTGACCGTTAAGGCCCTTGGGCCTCTTGTTTTGACAGAGAACTAGTTTTATTAATTTGTTTCTGTCACCAAAGCATTTGAAACTTTAACTTGGTTATGTTTTCATTTTGCATAGAAAATTGTTGGGCTAGTTAGTTTGAGGTTTGGGCTAGTAATGTTTTACTGATCAGTAGCCCCTGGGCTAGTGGGTTTTCCAGGAAAATTTCAACCTCTGCCTGACTCAATTTACTGTGACCTATGAAATAATCTGTCAAAATATATCTTGAAGTTGACATGTGCAAGAGATGACATATTTATTAAAATATGGTTTTAAATCTTACTTCTTTAAAATGCTATAAATGTATTATAATTAGCATGCATGATGCTTGGCAGATATTGATTTTTGGACAAGTTAGGGTAGATTTGATTGAACTCATTTCTTAATGTTCTTCTTTATGTGTACCTGTGCAATACATTTAGCATTGTACTTGAATTAGTGGAAGCTGCTTTCCTCCAAAGGCACTTAAAAGAATGTAATACGTTTACAGCAAGTAGGTTATAAGAAGTGAATTTGCAAGATTGGTCAGGGTTAGTAATTTTATGGTCAAGGCTAGTAATTTTATAGTCAGGGCTAGTAATTTTATGGTCAGGGCTAGTAAAACTCATGGGAAATAGCCTAAAAGGTATAGTACTCATAAAAGTTAACATCAAACACTGATTGGGTTCCATATCATGCCGTAGGAGTGACAGGTAAAGTACCTGTAAGAAAAGAGTCTACATTGGTGTCCTTAGAGACATATACTTTTAAGATGTTCAGATAGCCCAGTTAGTAATTAACTTGTCTTTAGTTAAATGAGCCCAGGTTTGAAATCTGATTTGGTCCTATACACTTCTGTCTCCATGTTATATGCACCTTTGGTTTTTGTATGAGAAGTGAGACTTTTTTTTCTTAGTACAGGGCTCTAATTGGCGACTAATTTAGTCGCCATAGCGCCTAAAATGTTTTATTGGTGTTTAAAATTTTTCCATAAGTCGCCAATTTGGCGACCATTTTAAATTGACTTGGTGATCGTCGAAATTTTAACATTTTTAACAATTTTTCTGAAAAAGCAAAAAGAAATTTAAAAGAAGAGGAAATTATTTTTAGCAATGGACTTGTCTTGTTTTCTTATTTACATCATGGGTCCCTATATTGATTACTGTTAACTTTTAAAGTTGGTGCCTTAAAAAAATTGCCTGGCGACTAAAAATTTGCATTGGCGACCAAATTTTTCGATAAGGCTCCAGCTGGCGCCTAAATTCTATAGGTCACTTAGAGGCCTGTAGTGGCCTGTAGTATGAAAATATCTCTCGTGACACAGTATTTGTCAAGTTTCCAGTTGAAAACGTCTTTCAGCACACATTCTCACAATGAATAAGATAAAGTAAGTGTATTGTATACCTGCGAAGGAATTCTGTGAAATCACTTACTTTTAAGTTAAGATTGTCATTGTACATACATGTATATCTTCAGTGTTTCCTTTTCTATTTGTTTTACAGTGTTTCCTCTGAAGTGTTCTGTACAGAACTATGCCTGGGGTAAACTTGGCAGTGAGAGTGAAGTTGCCTCACTTCAGAAAGCTGCTGATCCATCTTTCCAGATAGATGAGGATACGCCTTATGCTGAGGTTGTACAACTTTTGCTGATTTTCATGCATACAACTAATTTATTTTGTTCTGTGAATATGACATTCTGAATATTATTTGTATGTCATGAACCATCACTGAATATATGTAATTTTTGCACTGATAAAGAATGGTGTTTGCAATTTGTATTGAAATAATTGTAATACTTAATCACTAAACTTAATTGTTAGCTACTTAATTACCCTCATACCTGTCTCACATGTATCGTGACTTTTGATTGAAAAACTGGGAGAGGAATTCATACAAGTAATAGAACCAACATCAATCCATTAAAACATTAAAAAATATGTTAAAAACAGAGATAAACAAAATTTTGAGTTGTCCCTTTTTCTTCAGTTATGGATGGGAACACATGTCAACTGCCCATCAAAGGTAAAAACTCCCAAGGGAAGTAACCTGTCACTGAAAGACTGGATTACCCAGCATCCTCAGCAGCTGGGAGAGGCCGTCAGAAAAAAGTTTGGGGATGACCTACCATTCTTGTTCAAAGTTCTGAGTGTGAACAAATCACTGTCTGTTCAAGCTCACCCAAACAAGGTTTGTAGAAAGAGGATAAATTTTGTTAACATAAGTTCTTGCCCTTCATGTGCGTTCATCTCAAAAGTGAAAATTTTTAAACAGATGTACAGTGTAATTTTTCTTTCAAAAGATTTGGTAAAATATTTTGCAGCAATATTTTGTTCTGTGATTTAGTGTGCAACACTGTATTTCCATGCATTGTAAAAATCAAAATTAGTATTAATACCCCAGTACAAGAAAATTATGCACATGTAGTATTTTATAATGATTGCATGTTTCTATCATGTATAGAAAAGAGAGCACATTTACTTTTTGTTGTCTTGATTTGGTTTTTGCAGAAAAAAATGAATAAATTGATGTCAGAAGGTCATTGAAAATGTTTCATGTACAAAAGTATGTTAAAAATGCATCTGAGGAGATTTTGAGATGTACATGTATGTCATGTGACTAATTGCAGGTTCAGGCAGAAAAGCTTCATAAAACGTTTCCTGACATTTATAAGGATGACAATCACAAACCTGAACTGGCCATTGCTCTGACGCCATTCAAAGCATTATGTGGATTCCGTCCCATTCAGGAAGTAGCAGAGTTCCTATCAAGTATGTTGAGGGATAATAAAAAACATCTGTTGTTCAAACAGACATTTTTATGCACAGCTATGAATATGGCGGGGGCATATAGTGTTTGTCACGTCTCTCTTCCATCCTTCTGTCCTTCCATCTGTCCTACTACACACTTTGCATTTCAAAAAAACTAATAGAAGTAATAGTAAGATGCAGTTATCCATCTATTTACAGTATAGCTGTCTGTCCGTCTGGTTGTTTGAAACAACTTTTCGAAATGCTACTGCTCCTACAGTTTTACTCCAATTTTAATATTTGTTACACATTGTAAAGTACACAATTATATAATACATAATTCTGTTTATTGGTTTTCGATAAACAGCATTTCCCTGGTTACTTTAAATCGAAATTTTAAAAATTCTTTTAAAATGCAATTCTTCCTACAATTTCATTCAGATTTCAATAAGCTTTGGTACACTGGTGCACAAGAAGATATAGATAAACAAAGTACCTATCTGTAGAGCTACAGTCTTGTCAGAGACTTTCATAGTTCATTAGCTAAAGCTTAAAAATAATTGAGATTGTAACAATTTCTAAGGATACAGGTAAAATGTAATCTAAAAAATGGAACAAAATAAGAGAATACATTAATTTTTTTCATTTGAAGTCAAAAAGAGAAAAAAACAGTATTTTAAAGAAATCACAGATGTTTAAAGACGTACAACACACTGGGGGAGATAACTCTTGCGATTTCAATAAAACGTTTAACATAACGTTAAATTTGACGTTAATTACAAAGCGTCAAAATGACGAGCGATACGATCCCGATGTAATTAATGTAAGAAAATAGAATAGAGGTTTTTATTGTGGTTTTTTTAGGAATACCAAATCCTATCTTTGATCATTTGCGCAATTGCAATAAATCCCCCCCTCCATAAAAAAGAAAAAAAAGGCAGGTTCCTTATACTTCTTTAATTTAAATTTAGTTAATTAATTCTTTAATATTGTATTCATGATATACACAAAGGCATTTTTTTAATCTAAAAATGTTAATGCTACTCTACATTGCTTTTTCCCGTTACAATCGGCCGCATAACATTGAGAATAAATATTACTGGTATTATTATCATATTACGAAAATAAACCTTTTCTTGCTTTTCTTTGCTTTGAAAAAAAAAAAATTAAAAAAGGTAACCATTTTCAGAAGGTCACTGATCAAAGATAAACAACTCTAGATCTAATAATGTAGAGGTGTATGTCTTTCCTCCCCTTAGCTGAGTTATTTCTCCTGTTTTCTGAAGAATTGTGTTTTTTTCCCCCTCATAAATACACAGATACATTTACAGTGTATTGCAAGGAACACAAGAACTGAAAGCCAAAGTAAATACAAATTAAAGTAAGTATCAACAGTGAAAAAATGTTTACTGAAATTAATACAACGGTTGCACCCCACTGAGAAAATCTTTTACTGTAAACAGTTTCAGTTCGCATTTCCTCGAATAAAAACAAAAACGATTGATACCAATGTAGATGATACCATTGTAGATGATTCAGGCACATGAATAATTTTAACAGTGATAAATAATTTACATTTGGTACAATTGAAGTTCATATGGACAAATACATCATTTCCATTTATTGAAACAACAGAAGGATACAGTATTGGGGGTGGGGGTGGGGGCACCCCTCTCGTTTGAAAACAGAAATAATTAAAAACCTATATGTACATATATTCCATTTTCATCACAAGAGAGTTGTACATACACCACTGTTGATTCACTTAGAAAGTAATATTCAATGCAAGTAGAAGTCATATAAAGGTTTGAAACTGCACCTGTGTGCATGAACTCCAAACCGGACACGTGGTCATAAATTCCTTAGATAAATAGTTTTACTAAATATAAATATAAAAAAAATAATATTTAGAATAATAAAAAATATTAGTAGTCAATATTTAATATGTATACACGAATGAAGGACATTACTTTATAGGAGTTCAATATACCAATTATATATATATTGTGCAAACGTAACCGATGTTTTTTTTTTTTTCAAGCTCAAATGTCCTGCATTGCAGAGAAGAATGCGGGGGGGGGGGGGGGGGGGGGGGGGTGTTAAAATTTCAGAAATTGCTTATTCATCTTCATTTAAATGCAGATGTAAAGTTTTATATTTGCGATGAATATAATGTTCATTACATTTTTTAAGTAAATGATATTTTCCAGCTAAGAATTTTTATTTGTATTTGTAGAATCATAGCATTGCTTTCGTCCCAAGTCTGAAAGACGCTGTGAGAAACGTAACTTACGGAGATAGGGGAAGGGGAGATTTTCCGCTATAAATTCAAAACGCATCGTTTAAAAAATTTTCAAAAAATTATCAAAAACATTTTGATCATCAGTTACAAGAAGTAATTATTCTTCTCAAAATTAAACGACAGATTTTTTCATAAAAAAATATTTCATTGGAAAATCATGCATTTTTCAATGCAAAAATGAACCATAGTTTTTCAGTTTAAATTCTTCAAAATCATTTTTCTTAAAGTGTACCTCTACAAAATCACTTTCATTGTTTGTGTGTTAATAGTTAAATGAATGATTCAGCAAATTTTGGCAGCTAGGCTAACCTTAAATATTTTAAAATAAGGGATTTTATAGTTAGTTGGTTGAATTTTTTTTGTACTCATGATCAGCCAAAGGGGGGTAACTTTAGGAACTTCCTGTCCAAATTTGGCTCGAACGATTTTGACCAAAATGTACATACACATAGTAGATATTGTCATGTACAAGATATGCAAAAATAGCGAAAAATAAACGACAGGAAATTTTGGGGGTAGGTGTGTTGTACATCCTTAAATTGTTTCTAAGGGTCTTTGTAGATAATACTATGATTGAGATTTTAATTATGTCCATTATTCATAATAAAGGTTGAAATTTTGAATGTTTCCTCTGAGCAGAGATTGAGGAGTTGCGAGCTGTAGTGGGAGGACCCAAGGCCTGTAAACTGATCTCAGCCAGTAAGACCCCGGACATGCCCCTCCAGAGGGAAGCCATGAAAGACTGCTTCACTGCATTGATGAAACGAGATCCAGAGACTGTCCAATCAGAGCTCAAACTCCTCATAAACAGACTACAAAATCTAGGTAAGCTCAAACTCTTCAGAAAAAGACTACAACATCTTAATAGTAAGAATGAAACATAGAGCTCAATCTCCTCATACAGTAAAACACATGCTTATAACAAAGTGCCAGGGACAAGCGACTTTGCTTCTTTATATTAAAACATAATTCATTATATCTGTTAAGTAAACAATATATCTTAAAGCGATGGGGAATGGAAATCACTTTGCTATAAGTGTCAAAATCATTATAAGCATGTTTGCTATAAGTGTGCTTTACTGTATAAACAGACTACAACATCTAGGTAAGAATGACACACAAACTACACAAAGAGTGAGGATCTTTATTAAGTCATAAGATATACAAGGATTTTCCATAGAGAAGTGAACTGTTTTACTCTGATGTTTTATTTGTTGTAGACAATGCTGGAACAGACACCAGTGTGTTTGAGAGTGAGGTTCTCTATAAGTTATACAAGGAGTTCCCTGGAGATGTGGGCTGTTTTACTGTGTACTTCCTTAATGTCATAACACTTCAACCTGGAGAGAGCATGTTCCTGGAGGCCAATCTACCTCACGCTTATCTCTCAGGGGGTAGGTATTATAAATAATCTACCTCACACTTACCTCTCATGGGGTAGGTATCATAAATCTATCTCACCCTTATCTCTCAGGGGGTAAGTATCATAAATTTTTCTCCCCCCTCCCAAGCTTACTTCTTAATGAGGTAATATCCTTGGGAGAGGGAACAAGTTATCTTAGCCTTCTGCCCAATCTCATTCAAAAATACAAAAACAAAATATGGTTTTGTAGATAATGCTCTCCTCTTTTTTAAAACAAAGTTCTTTTTCTTATACATGACTGTATTTACCATTCAAGGGATCCATATTTTATTTATACCTTATGATAACTGGTAAAATTTTAATTGACATTGTTTTGAGATTTTTCTAAATCATACAGGAAAACAGTTTTATTTCTTCATTGTTTCGACGATTTTTTTACAGATACAATGGAGTGCATGGCTTGTTCAGACAATGTGGTGCGAGCAGGACTGACTCCTAAATTCCGAGATGTTCACACACTGTGTGAAATGTTAGATTATACAGGGAAACCAGCAAACAAAACCAAGTTCACAGGAAAGTCCGTCACAGAGGAAAAAGTCACAATAACGACCTTCAGCCCAGCAATACGAGACTTTGCTGTCAAAAAATTCCAGGTTTGTTGAATTCATTGTGTTTACATGTATTTTCACAGTTCGTCTACACAATTGTCTCCCAAGAAATAAAAAAATATACTAAGAACCCTATTTCTGAAACTTTTCTGTCTTCGTATTGTGAATTTGATGAGTTTTAGGGTGGTATCATAATTGTTATGAGAAATCTAAAAAGCAGCTTATGCATACATTCAATATTGCAAAAACTGGAAAAAATAATCCAGAATTGTGATATCGTTATTTAGACCAGCCCTGGATGTACCTCTCTGCGGCTCCCAGCTTTACCCAGCCCAAGTATTACCATTGTGATTCAAGGAAATGGAATTGCCAACAATGCAACATTGGAGTCGTCACTTCCTGTGAATCGGGGCGAGATCTTCTTCTCAGCAGTTAATCAGGAGGTAACAATAGACGTGTCGTCGGAGTCCATGATTCTGTTTCAGGCTTACGCTGCTGTTTAGAGGCATTCAGACACAACAGAAGTGCCTGACTTTAGATCCCTCTCTTAACTTGGCAATTTATTTATAGCATAAATCCCAGTACTATTTTTTTGTATATTGGAAGTTTTTCCCTAGCTAGGCTGATTTCTTTGTTCTAATTTATAATCTCTTAACAGCTGTATATGATGTTGATTGTTTGATTTATTGCAGTAAAATATGCCAACTGTTATGATTTCACTCAGATGAACTAAACTCAACAAGTTGCAAACAAATGAACATAATTCAGAATTAAAACTTTTGTGAGGAATGTTACCAGTCTGAGAATGGAAATTTCTATTGATATGTTAAAACTTTAATTATTACTTGTAATGTGACTTGAATACATATAGTTTATATTGTATGGGGTATTATTTATATTGGTGCATTATTCCTCTGATTTTTGTGATGCATGTTAACAATTTATGTTAAGCTAAGCTTTAAATTTTTAGACTGTTTTTTTTACTGATGTGTGTTTATTTTATTTGTTCTGTATCTGATAAAATTACAAAACTTTTGTTTCTGTGTCTGATGGATCATGAGTGTTATTATGATTTGGAGTCATGTTTTTGTTGTTGATGGAGGAGAAACCAAAGTTTTTTTTAGGTCACCTGAGTCACTCAGGTGACCTATTGCTATCTGTTTTTGTCTGTCGTCGTTCGTCGTTCGTTGTCAATCGGTCGTAAACTTTTGAACATTTTTAGCTTCTTCTCTGGAACCACTGAACCAATTTCAACCAATTTCGGCATATAGCATTTATGGGTGAAGGGGAGTAAAAATTGTGAAATTCATGGCCCCTGCCCCCCTGGGGCCTGAGGGGTGGGGCTAAAACCATCAAAATTAATGCAATCTTTAAAAATCTTCTTCTTTACTCCTGGACATCAAGCAGTCAAACTGTTGGCATCATTGTAATAAGCATTGAGCCCTCTACCAAAATTGTGAAATTCATGGCCCCAGGGTCAGGGGTTCTGGTGCTAGGGCGGGGCTCTAATGATTATATAGTGAAAATGCATTAATTCTTTAAAAATCTTCTCCTCTGCTCCTGGGTATTAAGCCGATGAATTAAGTACATAGTTATGATGAGCAAGAGTGCCTCTTCAAAAATTGTGAATTTCATGGCCCCTGGGTCAGGGGTTCTGGTGTTAGGGCGGGGCTCTAATGAATATATAGTGAAAATGCATTAATTCTTTGAAAATCTTCTCCTCTGCTCCTTGATATTAAGCCGATGAATTAAGTACATAGTTAGGATGAGCAAGAGTGCCTCTTCCAAAATTGTGAATTTCATGGCCCCTCTTGGCGAAGGGTTCCGTGTGGGGGGGGGGGGGGGGCTTTTTTTCTATATACTGAAAATAAATTAATGCTATGAAAATCTTCTCTGCTCGTGGGTATTGAGCTGATGAACTAAGTACATAATTATGATGAGCAAGAGTGCCTCTTCCAAAATTGTGAATTTCATGGCCCCTTGGTCAGGGGTTCCATGTGTGGGGGGGGGGGGGGCTTATTTATTATATACTGAAAATAAATTAATGCTTTGAAAATCTTCTCCTCTGCCCCTTGGTATTAATTAAACAAACTAAATACATAGTTATGATGAGAAAGGATGCCTCTTCCAAAATTTTGAATTTCATGGCCCCTGGGTCAGGTGTTCTTGAGCTTGGGTGGGGTTCTATTGATTAATAAGCAAAATGCATTAATGCTTTGAAAAACTTCTCCTCTGCCCCTGAGTACTAAGCAAACAAGCTAAATGCAATAATATCAATGTAAATACATGCATTAAATTTAATTATAAGTAAATGTGCCTTTTCTTTGCTTGTGGTTATCTAGGAGGCAGAGTACACAATTGTGATGTGAAGCAAATGAGAGTTACTCCCCTTTGCTAAATATTGTTAATCAAGAAATCCTTGTATATAATTTAATTAACAGGTTATTTGATTGATTGAGAATACAAGAAAGAATGTTATATATATATAGAAACAAAATAAAATGAATGTTTGGTTTAAATGAGCAAAGTATGCTCAAAGTCAGATTCTTGCCTGGAAAGCAGTATAAAAGATTGACATAAAAGATTATTTATATATTTAGCAAAAGTTGTAATTGTACACAGTATGTATACTATGTGGTGATCTAAGTTAGTGTCACTTATAGAGGAGTTGTGGTTGACAGGAGACTGGATGTTGTTTTATACTTTATCAAAGTGAACAAAGAATCGCAGAATGCCAGATTGACTTATTGTAATTAGTGACAAGTGGCAAATAACCACGTTGTATATACCCAAGTCTGTGTGTACTGAATTGTAGCACTAGGCAAGTGACAAAAAAAATATCTGTATATATTGAATACCTTACACAATAGGCAAGTGTTCTTTGCATTTGTATATTTTGCATTCATTATCATCCCTGTAAGACTTGGGAAAACCAAGTATGATCCAAAGGAGATCAATCGGGTCTAGCACATTACAATAAGCAAGGGTATTTTTACCAGATTTTTAGCTCACTTCGACGAAGTCGAGATGAGCTTATGCTATACCTCCGACGTTGGCGTCCCGGTTAAAGTTTTAGGAGCAAGTCCACTCCCAAGTAACTATAAGCCCTACCTGAACCAAACTCGCATGGATGATGCATCTAGGGATGGACACTACCACACTTGCTTCGGATGCTGGATCTGACCTAGATTTTCCAGATGAGTGACCAAGTTAAAGTGTTTGGAGCAGGTCTTTTTCCAAGTAACTATAAGTCTTACTTAAACCAAACTTGCATGGATATTGATCTTGGGATGTATACTAACTAGAAAAAAATATGATGTGAGATTTGCCTTACTTATAGATAACATTTGTCGAGGTGAGCTTCATAATCTTTGATTACCTATGTTTGAAATTCTTTAGCAACATTGCTTCGTCTATCAGTTAATTTTGTTTTATACTTCCATGGATCCTTTAGTGTTGTATTATACTCAGGTGACTGTTAAGGCCCTTGGGCCTCTTGTTTTGTTTATTTTATCAAAATGCAATAAAGGGCATATAATGAAATAGCATGATTGTTTTATTTTTAGGTTATCTGGGCTACTTTGTGGTTTATAGCTCGAATGGAGTTTTTTATTTAATATTATTTCATTATTATTATCAAAGTTTTAATCATATTTAGTTTCTTTTAATCTTTCCACAAGATTATGGGAGTATAGTGTCCCCTACTAATTTGTGTAATGTTCTAAATAGTAACTAAAATATAACTACCAATGTTTCAAAATTTAATGAGATGTAGAAGAACTTTGTTGGTGATATGATCAAATCTTGTGAAGCACAGGCTTTTCAATATATCTGTTCTGTACCAAGTTTATTTCCCAGAAGAAGACGTTAATGGTAACCTAACAATAAAACTTTATCATAAATGTGATGACTTCAACTTTTCTGTTGTCAACTTCCCTTAATTCAGTAGCAAAAAATACCATTATCAGCTGCATTTGGAGTTTATGTCTCCTAGTTGAATCAATATGCAAAATCATGCTCTACATACAAAAAATTCTAAAACGAGACAAGCTTTGACAAATAAGTTGATGAAACAAGAATATCAGCAGTCTTGTTTAAAGTCAACATTTTGCAAATTATATGGACGATAAAATGACCTTGTCAGCAAATACAATCTAACATTAAGATTGTTAGTCCATTGTTTTTGCATGTGGACTGTTGACAGGGGATGCTTACTCCTTCATGGCACCTGATCCCACTCTGATGTTTTTAGAGGTCTGTGTTTGCTCTGCTCCATTTTTTTTTCTGTCAATCGACTTTTGAGCTTAATTGCTATTCATTATCTTCCCATTTCTAGTAAATATTTTAACTTTGTTAAAGCGGTATTCTCTTATATCTACATTTTAGGCAAACATTGGGATAGAAATACAACCGACTTGTTCATGTTGTTGTCCAGTGAAATAAACAAATGAACTTTTTTGCTCTTCAGTTGGTTCATCTAAGAAAAAAAAACATTTGCAGATGTAAATATAATGGGATGAACCTTCTCGTCAGTTTTGAGCCAGTGGAAACCAGGTTTCCTAAGATCAGGCTGTGGGTCAGTTGATTTTGATAATTCATAATTATGCAGATTAGTCTATGAGATACTGTAGAGGTAAGGCAGTTTTGATCGCCGGTGGCCAGATAGCTTGGTAGAGCACCTGACCAGTGAACCAGGGCATCCGGGATCAATTTCAATTTATTCAATGCGAAGGATAAACACCCTTTGGTATGTTTCAATTTTTACAATTGTATATACATAGGAGATTTACAGTTATACGTATATATTTCAAAGTGATAAAAACAAAATAATTAGGGTATGATGGAGATTATACAACAATAATAGTTCTCATATTAATATAAATAGAGTTCACAGAATAAGACTGAATTATTGTAAGTAATTCTCCTTGTATTTTGTGTAAGATGTGAAAATAACGAACAGTGATCAATCTCACCAATCCAATTAACGAATCGTGAACATGGCAAAAAAACACGAACCCCTGGTACTCCTGGAAACACCAAAGATAGGATCAGGTGCCTAGAAGGAGTAATCATCCCCTGTTGACCGGTCACGCCCGCCGGGAACCCTATGTATTCATCAGGTAGACGGAGTAGTCCGTAGTCAATTTTTGTATAAAACTAATGACCTAACAAATGGTATTAAACATGTCAGATGCTAGACAAAATACGAGCCAACGCTAGGTTGTATTTACAAACAAGTTCATTATAATGACTGTAGAATTTGCGAAAACTGACTGGTTTTTCAAATCCTTGTAAAATCAATTCATTTGTCAGTAGATTGTCTTTGTTTAAAAATTGATCATACTCAGAGCATACTCTTGCGTACAGAATCAATTGAATATAAAAACAGGTTGGCTAATAAAGAGACACAATTAGTGCCCTTCGGAATTCCAACAGATTGTTGGAAGACCTGGTCTTCAAAGACTGCCCGATGTTGTCAGTGAGGAACTCCAGCATCTTTTTTAACATCAACTGCAAAATACTTGAATATAGAATCTGAATGATTTTTACAAAGTAATTTTATAGATGACCAATCACAAGATATGAAAAGTTGCGAGTTCCGTTTTCATTGATGAAGCAGTGTCTATGATATCAAAAAGCCTGCTTTTTAATTTATCGTGGGGAATAGTTGTATAAAGCGCAGAGAATGATTCTGAAATATCCATCCATAACGTACTTGTAACTACTGAATCAAATGCCTTTTTATAATCAACAAAACGACATAATGATTTTTTTTCTGACTTTGTGTGTATTCTATTCCTTGTCTAGTCCATCGCATTTTTCTCTTTCACCAGGTTACATTTGGTGCCGTGACTAACCCCTAAAGTTAACAGGTTAAGTTCTAGTCAAGGTGCAGTACGTGTAGATTCAAATTTAATCAAGAGCCAATCAGCCCTTTTTGTCCCCTCCTTTGAGTGAGAATGAGAAAAAAGAAAGTGATCTAGATAATAATAGGGGTCGAAAAATTTCAGATATAGACCAGATCCTATAAGAACTAACCACAGTCTATGTGAGATGTCAGCGTGAGTTTGAGAAGTCTTATGCCCATATTGATACCAGTTTTTAAACCAGGTCTACCTCTAAGTCTTTTAAATCTGTTTCATACCTGTTTCATAAAACATTACCTATCATAGAAAAAAGATTCACAATACAAAAGTGTTTATTTAAAGGAACGTGACAACAATAAAATTAGTAAACAACAAGAAAATATCCTTTAATCTTGAGTACACTTCAATCAGTACATGGGTAAATATCCCTTAATCTTAAATACACTTAAAACAGTACACAAGTAAATTCAATTTACTTGAACTTGAATACCTTCACTGAGTTCTGTTTTAAAAAGCATATATATATCGGGAAACTATATGGTACCGTGCGAAAACCGAAGGACATCCTGAACATTTGTACAGAGATTGAGTTTTATCACAATGTCTTACTGGTGTCTGAACTTATAAAGTTCCGATTGGTACTGAGTAAAAATAAATCCAAAATTATACTCTAGTACATTTACATGCTCGTCACTGAAATATTCTAATACCTCTGGGTGACGTTGTAATTCATATGTAAATGCCTTGGTTCTCAATATCAGTATCTTAGCATTTAAAAGTTGATGCTATTTCCTTCCATCTTATGAAAAAAATGAAAAAAAGTTAGATATACATATATAAGCAGTTACATATGTTTACAAACCCTATCAAAATAATGATCCAAGATCAATGTCATAAAGTCAATGTCATTAGAAGAAAAAAATAATGAGAATTCTGGGTAATTTATTGGTAAAAGAAAAAAACAATAGAAGGCCGAATCAGAATATACTTTCTAGAACATGCGTTTGCTCTTGATTTATCACATAATTTGGAAATAAAAATTATTATGGGATATATTATAGATTGTAAATAGTATAGATTCCTCCGACATTCATTGTTTGTGTCAAGTTATGTTAGAATTTTGACATCATCCTAAGAGTTCCTTCAGATCTCAAAATCTCGGGGTTTTGTATGAAATTTCTCTACATTTTAACTTTGTTGCGTTGCAGAGGTGCAATAAGGTTTTTGGATGCCCCATTTTTTCTGAATGAATGGTCAAACAAGTCTTCAGTAGTAGCCATAGTCATAACTATTGTTGCCTAAGCTTGATTCCGTTCGAGATGCATATTTTGTCTCATGAGTTGAATTCTCAGTCAGTTGTCAATAAAATACAGTCCTACATTGAAATCATTGTGATAATATATTGTGCTATGGATGTGAACTTAATTGATCAGTAGATATAGATTGTCGATAGTACACAGATGTATGTCTTGTTATCTATTGAACACATTAGGGCAGATGCAAATACAGATACATATCATTAGTCCTACTATGAATGCATCATGTGAACTATATATAATCTATATTATTGAATGATATCTTTGAAGATCCCATACATGTACCAGGTATTGCGGCTACAGATGTTTTTTCCAACTTCCAGTTTTCTATGTCACATAGAAACATCTGTGTGGAAAAAAATTGTCAAAAGAAAGTGGATGAATAGATGATCATCAATTGACTGCAATCTTGTTTGATGATCGTGTTAAGGTAAATTAGGATTATGTTGAGGTATATCAGTATTATGTTGAGGTATATCAGCATTATGTTGAGGTATATCAGCATTATGTTGAGGTATATTAGTATTATGTTGAGGTATATCAGTATTATGTTGAGGTATATCAGGATTATGTTGAGGTATATCTAGTATGTTGAGGTATATCAGCTTTATGTTGAGGTATATCAGTATTATGTTGAGGTATATCAGTATTATGTTGAGGTTTATCAGTATTATGTTGAGGTATATCAGTATTATGTTGAGGTTTATCAGTATTATGTTGAAGTATATCAGGATCATGTTGAAGTATATCAGTATTATGTTGAGGTATATCAGTATTATGTTGAGGGTATATCAGCATTATGTTGCGGTATATCAGGATTATGTTGAGGTATATCAGTATTATGTTGAGGTATATCAGCATTATGTTGAGGTATATCTATTATGTTGAGGTATATCTATTATGTTGAGGTATATCAGTATTATGTTGAGGTATATCAGTATTATGTTGAGGTATATCCATTATGTTGAGGTACATCAGTATTATGTTGAGGTATATTAGTATTATGTTGAGGTATATCAGTATCATGTTGAGGTATATCTATTATGTTGAGGTATATCAGCATTATGTTGAGGTATATCAGTATTATGTTGCGGTATATCAGTATTATGTTGAGGTATATCTATTATGTTGAGGTATATTAGTATTATGTTGAGGTTTATCAGCATGACATTAAGGTATATCAGTATTATGTTGAGGGTATATCGGGATTATGTTGAGGTATATCAGCATTATCTTTAGGTATATTAGTATTATGTTGAGGTATATCTATTATGTTGAGGTATATCAGTATTATGTTGAGGTATATCAGTATTATGTTGAGGTTTACCAGTATTATGTTGAAGTATATCAGTATTATGTTGAGGTATATCAGTATCATGTTGAGGTATATCAGTATTATGTTGAGGTATAACAACATTATGTTGAGGTGTATCAGTTTTATGTTGAGGTTTATCAGTATTATGTTGAAGTATATCAGGATTATGTTGAGGTATATCAGTATTATGTTGAGGTACATCAGGATTATGTTGAGGTATACCGGCATTATGGTGGCACTTTTGATGTCCCTAAAACTTTATTTTACATGCTCCGTTAAAGACATGCTCTGTTCTGACAAATGTGTTGGATACAGCTTATTCTATTAAAGGAGAAAAGCAAATAATAAAAATGTGGAAAACATTATAGAGAGCCCCCCTTAAAAAGTTCATTATTTACCGTAGG